GGGCAGTAAAGCCTTAATAGGTGCATTAGTTTATTACAGGAGAAAGGACACACTTACCAATTTTGTGGAGAACAACAGAAAAGTGATATAACTAGCAGTGTAAGTAATTACTGCTGGCAGGGAGTCAAGTAAGTAAAGTAATGACATTAAACATTTTGAGTAGCTAGCCCAACACTGCAACATAACTCAAATATAGAAACATAGAAACCATTCAAATTTGCAATGTCATTCTGTCCAGTGCCAGTCAGCTAGGGGGAACAGGGAAGAAGAAAAAACATGGTTGCTAAGAATTTATAAGTAGTTGGCCTTTTGCGAGAGGTATTCCTCTACTAACCTTATGCAAGAGTATGCAAGAATAATTACGTACATCAGCACATTTGGTTCAGCACATGTTTTCTCATCACGTGAAATCAATCTGCAAAGGTATCTACAGTACATAAAAGCTAAATACAGGATTAGATGTCCTGTTTCTATGAACGTGCAAAAATACTCTGAAGCAAGTTTTCCAGCATTGGCAAAAAGCAAAGACTGGAAGCAGAATGACCATTACTAGCAATATTTTTGAGAGCTATTTTCAAGTCTGTTGGGGTATAAGTTAAAGACAAATCTCATCTTATTAGATACACGCCCAAGTCAAGTCTGGAGTCCATTCATTAAAAAAAGAACAACAAACAAAAGAGAAAACTGTTAAAAAAAACCTCATAATTTCATTAAAATTTAGTGAAGACTCAAACTTTTAAGGTCAAAACAAAAAAAGACTTTGAGTCTTAAAAACATACAGTTCTGCTTCTCTACAATACCACTCTCTCTCCCCCACTTCCTGTCTGTCTCTGTCCCTCAATCGTATCTAAATCTTGAAAAAAAGAACGTAAAGAAGTAAACCTCCACAATTACATATTTGTGGCTGGTGCACAGACCTGGCATGTTCCTCTTAAATTTTTAAACATTTCAATCTGGGGCTTGCCACCTTTGCCCTGGCCCATTTCCGACCCTCAAAATTATTATTCTTTTTTGTTGAATCTTAACAATTTAAACTACCACTTTATACACAATAAAAATAAAAATACAATTCCATTCAAAACATTTTTATTTGTTTCAGGTAAAAATGAATGGCCAAGGTCAAAGGTGCCTGCAAAGGGTTAATAAAAATAGAGCAGGTTTCAGGAATTCAGTTGTTGTTTGGCTGGGAAATACAGAGATGATAGAAATGTATTGAATGCTGTTTGAAGTTAGTAATGTAAATATTATTAGACTATTGTGTTATGTTGTAGTACTTGTAGTGGCCCTCCTATCTGATGACATTACCACCAGTGGCCAAGAAGAAGTGTACATGAGAAATGGACTGTACTTATATCGTACTTCTAGTTGGAAGACTAGAAAGTCTGCTGTCTGGTTTACAAGGTGGGCTTTCTAGTCTTCCTCTGACTAGAAAGGCGGACCACTGAAAGCACTTTTACACTACACATTGACCCATTCACACACATTCATACAGAGGCTCATCATAAACAGAAACTACGTAATTCATTCACATACCAATGCACAGCATTAGGAGCAATTTAGGGTTTAGTGTCAGTGCAGCAGGAGCAGCCAGGGATTGAACCACCAACCTTGTGGTTGGTGGATGGCCCGCTCTACCTCCTGAGCCACAGGCCCCATCATCACTGTCGTCACATGTAGCTTTTCCTGCCTTCATAGAAAAAGGCTGTCAGTGTGAAGTTAGTTCTAGATTGTATGTATGTGTGTTTGATCTCCTGTGTTGTCTTGGCAACAGTTGATTTGATGTTACTGCAGCCCCCACTGAGAACTGGGTGGGTGGTACAAGCCAAATTTCCCTTCACAACCATATGTGGAATGTACCAAAACCTCAGGGGTGGTGGGGGTTAGCCAAGTCACTTTTAAAGATGTTCTGTATATTTTAGGCGACACTGAGTAAACAAACAGCATGACTCGTACAGTAACAACAAAAAAGCCTTGAAACAAAAGTCTCCATAAATAACTCATGAGGTCACTGTCCCATCACTCACAGCTATTACTCTCTTCTCATTTGTGTGGCTGCATTTGTTCACACTGACATTTCAAGTTATTAGTGGTTACTGCAGCTTCTTAAGCTTTACAATAAAATATTTGTATTATGTGATTTAACAAGGCAATTAAAGTGCAACAACACTAAAACACAGCCAGCAAGACAGAACTAAAACCAGACAATTACAAAGACAGTGTAAATGGGCCTATAAATATTCCCCAGAGACACAGTTGTCTTAGCATGAAGAAAGATAAAAGGCAGAAGACAATAAGATCAGGACTTTGGTCCCTTTTAGATGTTTTTTTTTTTTTTTAAAAGACCTTTTTTATTCTTTTCTCCTTTTCTTATTTTTTTTTTAAAACTGCTTACCTTTTTTTGTTTCTAAGCTGTAGCACTTTGAGATCTTTTGATGAAAAGGGCATTATTAAAAAAATGTTATTATTATTATTAGGACAGCCTGGTCCCTAAACCTTGTCATCTGAGTTCATAGCATGGGTTTGTCCTTTTCTATGGTATTATAGTAAGACAGCAGGTGTGTCACCCTGAACACAGGAAGTCTGTTAGGTCTTTTTGAAGCATACTGAAGCCTTCAGACCAGTGGTTCACAAAATCTTTCCTTAAGTGACCCCTTTTGTATCATTGAGTAAACTGATGACCCCTGACCAAGTGACACATTTTATGGACATTTCTATGTGTTATGTTCAATGTATAACAATAACAACTGCAGGAAGTTTGTGTTAAGTAAGTCATTTGGATGATTTTTAAGCAGATTATTTCTTCTTAACCTCTAAGAAAATAAAGAAAACGAAAGGAAAGAGAGGCCTCATTCCAGATAAAGTTGGAGAAACTGTGTTAATTCCCATTCTGTGTTCTGTCTACCAGATGCTTGGTGAGTAGTGGGATAAGGAATGCTGGAACCCATTACCAAATATGGTGTTTCAATGTGTCAGCCCCCCAAAATGAGAGTCATCAGAGTGATTGTATAAAAGCTTGATTCCTGGTAAAAATAAATAAAGGAACAATAAAATATAAAAAGATTATCTTCTTGTGAGCATCACAGTGTGTAAACTGTCAATTTCAGTACACACGTAATGCTCAGTACATTTCCTGGCAGACTGAGCTATTTCGTGTGTAAAAGTGGCCTTGAGGGTGACCCTGAACAGAGGGGCAGGGGATTACCAAACACATAGGGATTTATCCACTGGGGATCACAATGTTGGTCAACAAGTGGGTGTTGTAGAGTAGTAGTGGCAGAGATTAGATTAGAGAGATCTAATGTAATTGCTTCCTTCCAGATACTGATTCCGATACCTGAACTTTACGTATGGGTTTGTATTGGTTGGGTTTAGGCATGAAGAGTGAGATTGGTTAAGGTAAGAATGTTATATTGTTAACGAACAAGGTGTTTAATTCCAGTAATTTACTTTTAACTAGGTAATCCCTTAGGTTTTTGTTCCTCATGTAGGCTGAGATTATTTTATAATCCTTGTGCATGTTTGTGTTTTGTATTTTCCTTCCTGATTTGCCTGAGGAAGGAACTGGAGTATCCCCTCGTTTTTAATGCCTTAAAGAGGATCTTAGTAGCCTCTTCAAAGTCTGTTATTTGTGTGCTGATTCTGTTGAATCTGAGTAGTTGAGATTTAATTATTTCTTTAAATGTGTGTTTGGGTGGAGGCTGTTTTTGTGTAGTAGTGCATGTGTGTTGGTGTCTTTTGAATAAACTTTAGTGTCTAATGTGTGTTTGAGTGAATGTAGGTCCTTTGTAGGTGGTGGTGTCCAAAAAGTCTATGTGTCTGTTATGTGTGGTGTATTTAACTGTGATTGAACTATGGTGAGTGTTTAGTATCTCTATAAATTGGTGGAATTCTCTAGGCTATGTGTCCATGTTCCCCATATATCATTATCTGTAGTAATGAGTCGGATGTTTTGGGCACTTCTCAAAAACAGTTTCCTCTCAGTGTGCCATGTAAATGTTGGCATAGGCTGAGGCAAATGTTTTGCCCATGGTCGTGCCTTTAATCTGTAAATAGAACTCCTTGTTAAACTCAAAGGATTTGATTTCTAGGAGTTACAAAAGTATTGTGTCTGGCCTGGTCGTTTTGACGGCCTGCAATCCTGTTCTAGTTTCTATGTTGGTGTATATACTATCTATATCGATGGGGAATAAAATGGCTCCCTCCGTCACCCTGGTGTTTTTTATTTTGTGTGTGAAATCATATGTTTCCTTGATGTAGGATTAGGCTTGGGGTTAAGAATATCAGGGCAAGCCAATCAGAGTCAGAGTAAGATGGATCATGACTTTGGGCTGATAAATTATGTGATATCGGATCAATGCATAGACTGGTTCACTTCATTTTAGGATGTATCGGAACAACTGTAGTGGGTAGTCGTACATAGTATCCACTGGGTACTTATTTATTTTTGGGGATTTGTAAACAAGATAACATACTTGTAAATGTGCATTAACTTTGTAAAATCTATGTTTCTTAAAACATGACATATTGGTCCTGTTTTACCAGTTGATGGGAAACAGTAAATCCTTGATTCAGGTTTGGTGTCCTCTGCACTTTAAATATGGAAAAGTTCCACTGTCAAAATATCTTTATCTTGAACAGAGTGAACCGAAGGCAAACATTGGAATAATATTGTCATGACTAAAAAACAAAACATTCTCCTCTGAGGACACTGTCATTCCTGTGCATGCCAGAGTGATGTGTGTCCATGTGTGTCCGGTGTGTGTGTGTGTGTGTGTGTGTGTGTGTGTGTGTGTGTGTGTGTGTGTGTTTAGGTATCTTTGAATGAGACAGGGAAAATACTTAAGTGACTTTCCATATGCTCTGTCATGCTTAGGGAAAAGGAGACAGACAGACAGGGTTAGAGAGGGGTGGGGGTGGATGTGTGTGTTCATGAAAGGAAGCCTGTCCAGACAGTGTCAGATGACATCATAGTCTCTAATAACTTCTGTCTGTGTGCGTAGGTGGGGGGTGGGGCTTCAGACCATGCAGCTCTACACTATAAAAAGATGGAAGCTCATTCAGACATTCAGACTCAAGCAGCAGCAGTGAAAGAGACTGACACAACAGAGACCAACTGCAGAACATCTGACACACTTCAATCAGAAGGTAAGGACTACAACTGGACTAAACATTTAGAGCTTTAGAAATTGGAATTATGACTCTAATATAAAAATACTGTCAGACTTTATTGGCATTAGAGTGCAATAACAGAATCAAATCTTCTACTTCTTCTTCAACAAAGTCAAGTTTCTTTCTTCTTGAATTTTATGTTATAGAAAAGTATTACTCTCAGTAATATGATTTATCAAAAACACAACATGGTTATCTAAACATATGCAAATGAGAGTGCCAAATAGGAACAGAGTTAGCATTAATTAATGGCTATAGCTAGGATTTAAGATATATAGCGGTCATGTCTCCCTGATTTACTAAAAATGCCCATTATTTCTACTAAGGTGGAGTAGGTGCCTATGATTTAGAATGTGTTTTATACTAGATTTAATACTAGCAGTGGTGTAAAGTAACTAATATTAACTAAAGTAAACGCAAGTTTTAGGTTATATAGTTGTTGGTTATTTTATATATTTTTTTAAGTTCACCTCCAGTCAAAAATCTGTTTTTCTACAGTGTGATGTATGTGCAGAGTTTGACACAAGTAGGATGTGATGTAGAAACTTGAAGCCACCAGTGCACATACACTGAGAATGGGCAGATAAGTAGGAGACGTCTTGTGCCCGCAGGAAATGAATAACATTTGCAAATTCATAGATGCTAGAATTTTTAATGAGGAGTAGATGACTTCTTTAGGATTTGAATGCAGAAATTTCAGGATATTTTTTCAAAAAAACACATCAGTCACACATTATTGTTTCAAGCAGACTATTTGTATGTATGTCTGAATTCATGTTTGGAGGATTCCATAGATTAAACTAACCAACAACAGGATATAAAGCAGTTACATATAACTCAGACACAGGAGACACAACCATCAGGATACAATCAATGTCAGTATAACAAGACAAGACAGTTTTATTTTAATGATTTTCTGTCAGATCAATTTGATTAAACACATAGAAATCAGTGTTGTGTAAACAGAGGCTAAATGTTATTTAACACTATTAAGTACAAAGTGTAGATACGTTGAACACTGGGTATAGTCATTATTATACAAATATAGGATTTATTACATCACTTAAGACTAGATTTATTCATCTGAAGAAGTCACACAGGTCTTCTCTGTGGTGATCAGCGAAGCATGTTTGTTCAGAGCTGGAAGGGATTGCTTATGCAAACAGAGGCTGAGGTCACAGAACTGACCTGGGACCCAGAGCCAGGTCTATGATGCTGCTGCAGCTATGGAGGGCTGTTGTACCTAGAGTGTGTGCACTATTGATGTCTGTTATGGAAAACCAATATGACTGACGCACACAGTGTTTCCAGTTAGCACACTGGTTCGAATATATACACATCCAGAGTGAGTCATACACACCGGCTACATTCTCACAGAATTTAAAGGGTTAGTCAGATTGGATCCTATATTAGAAACTAAGCATCTACATTTTTGGGAGGATGGAGTGGTTAATATTTAAAGTAAGACCTGGGCAGATGAAGGAATTATATAATAGAAGTGCAGCTCAGAGGAGTAGTAGATGGAACAGACTGAATGTTCAACTGAGGGATTAAATCAGCAATGGTTCACAACCTTTTTGACTTATGACCTATTAGAATATAGCAGCGATACCTTGTCACTGTTGCATACGACCAGTTTAACCACAAAGTAATTTTCCTGTTTCCTGTTACTATTTTTTATCTTAATTTTATTTTATTTTTGTTCAAACTTACACACTACATACCTTTCGCATAAAACTTGTTGGTGTTTTCTTGTAATTCAAATTATATATAAAGAAAGAAAAAATAGAAAACTTTGATTTTTTTAACTTTCACAGTCATGCCACTGAATCATTTCCTGTATCACTGAGTTTTCGTGCAATTTCACTTCTGGAAGCTAAAATATCCTTGGCTTTTTTCCTAACAGCCGATGTTTTATTGAAAACATCTGAGAGCTGTTAGAATTTCCCAAGTGTTGAGCAATACATTATACTCCTTGTTCCTTCTTAATAAGAAACAGAAACAAGGCACAATGTTGGGTGCATTGCTCCTAGCAGAAGCTGACGTCTTCTTTTCTGCATCTCAGAAAAACATATCAGGCAACATTTTGTCCTGATCCAACATAGTTTGCTCTCTTTTGTATGGAAGCCCACTGCCACCACTGGAAAAAAAATCTCATAATTATAAGATAAAAAGTCTAAATGAATTTAATTTAATTTAAAAAATCAAAATTATGACAGTTTGAAAGTCAAAACTTAAGAGAATAATTTGCCTAATTATGACTTTTTATCTGGTTTAAATGGCCTTCCTGACTTTTGGGATAAGGTGCTTTAAGTGTGCATTCAGTACAGCAAAAGGTGTTTGAGAAAACACTGTTTTGTTTCTTTCAATAAAATATAAAGAAAAGAAAAGGTTTTACTTTCAGGTGCCAATTCAAGTGTACTTGCTGCGCTAATCGGACCTTAAACTAACCACAATCAAACTTACACCTGTTCTCTTCTCTTGTTTCCAGGATGCTTTGCCTGTACATTTTCCTGTTGGGGACTCTGAGCAGAGTGGGGCTGGGCTCTCTACAGGATGATCAGACTGACTTTGGCCTGAAGGTCTTCTTGCAGCTGGCTCAGAACTCTGAAGGCAAGAATGTAGCCATGTCCCCGTATGGTGTGGCCTCTGTCCTGTCCATGGCTCAGCTTGGCGCTGCTGGAAACACCCGCAGGGCCTTCACTACTGCTATGGGCTTTTCTCTGCAAGGTGAGTGATACATACTGTAGAACAAAAAAATATTTTAGGGTTAACAATAACAATGCGCAGGGTGAAAATAGAAAAATGAAATATAATTAAGCATACCTCTATATCAAATACAATGCAACACAAAATCCTATGCAGCCATATATTAAACATGTATTCACTCAGGTCGGACTATCCATATAATAATGCCTTCTACAGGCCTTAAATGCATTCATTACAAAGTTATAAATAAAAGAAAAACACATGTTAATACAGTATAATCATGTTATACACACAACCACTTAAATCAAGTTGGTAATAATAATAATATATATTTTTTTATAATAATAAAAAACAATACTCTTTATTAAGTGATTGATATGGAAGTACTGAAAGGCAAGTGAAATAAATGTTCTTGTGATAATTTTTCAAATGTGAAAACAGTTAAATTTTTCAAGATAGAATTTCTCAATTTAAAATATGTCATGATAATTTTTCTAAGTTCAAAATATTTTTTCCACCTGCCTTCTTCATTTTACCTTACCTTTACATTATTAAGATGTATACAAATAGTCAGCTTAGAATAATAAAAAGACAATTTTGAGGGGGACTCAATATACAATATACAAATACAATACATAAGGGCTCACAAAATTCATGACAATGTTTACAAGATAAAGAAAGACTTCAAGCTTTCAAGGCAGTTTGTGAATGTGATGACAGAGGAAAAATCAATGGACTTATGGACAAAAAGATCTGTGAATTTGGTAGAATGGAGTATATTAGGAAGGTGCATTAGTGTAACAAGGGTTATTTCACCACTCCGGCAGAGCGAGGGATGTCTCGGCAACAGCGTAACCTGCAGCGCGACCTGTCCAGTGAGGAGGGGGTGGAGACAGCCAGCGGGGTTATGGTTGAGAGGAAAATGAGCCTGGAGAAGGGATACCGCCGGGCCCTGGCCAAGGCCTTCCAGACCCACCCTCACCAGGTGGACTTCACCAAGCCAGACCAGGCAGTCAGCATCATCAATGCATGGGTCTCAGACCACACTGCAGGTATTTACATCAGCCCGCTAATAACAGTCATCTGCAGGTTCTCCAAAGAACTCGTCTGCCACCACCATCAGCTTTGTTTTAAGTGGACTGCTTCCATCTTTTAAATCCTCTTTGTTGTGTTTTCCTCTGTAGGTGCCATCCCTGAGTTCCTGGCACCTGGATCTCTGACTGATGAGACCCGCCTGGTCCTGCTTAATGCTCTTCACTTCCAGGCTCTCTGGAAGGTTCCCTTTGATCCCAAACTGACACAAGAGAGGATGTTCCACTCTGCCAATGGCAGCACTGTGCCCGTGCATATGATGAGACTCACAAACCGCTTCAACTATGGTAAGTTTGACACATTGACCCTACAGTGCATGTCTTTATCTCTGTTTGACACCAGATATACATCCATCTCCTTCTCCTCAATCCTCAGGCGAGTTTGTGACTGCTGATGGAGTGGACTATGATGTTATTGAGGTCCCATACGAGGGTGACTCACTGAGCATGCTCCTGGTGTCACCCTTTGAGTCTGATGTTCCACTGAGCACGCTCAGTGCGGATCTGAACAGCCAGAAGATTCAGCAGTGGAGAACGCAGCTGAAGAATGTCAGGAGACAGCTAGCCATTCCTAGGTGAGGGTTACACAGTATGTGGGTTATTATATAAATAAGTCATTAAATTATTTTTAAAATAACTTCTCATAGACACAGTTGTTTGTTTCATATTGATTTGCACGTGGCAAACAGCCTTTAACAATGTGTGTTTTTGCAGGTTCACTCTGAACTCTGAGGTGAATTTAAAGACTCCTCTGCTTAACATGGGTCTGGGAGACATGTTCAACCTTGCTACTGCTGACTTCACGCGCATTACATGTAAGTTAACCTCCTGTAGTAAGTCTCAATCAATCTTTCCCTATTTGTACCCAGGGCTTCTTATTCTAATCTCTTTCTTTTTGCTTTAGTTCTAATATTTTCCATTCCTCACACCCATGTAACAACCGGTATCTGTGCATTCAGATTAACTGTGTATCTCATCTGTGTGTGTTTCTGTACTCCAGCTGATGAGAGGCTGTGTGTGTCGAAGGTTCTGCAGAGAGTGAAGATCGAGGTGAATGAGCGAGGAACCAAGGGAGCAGCAGCCACAGGTAAGCTCAATTGCAAATGTCTCAGAGGAACCAGATTTTTTTCACAGACTATCTGTTGCATGTACTACGGTCAGGATATTGTGAAAGTTTTAATAAATATGACAAAAGTTTTTAGTTTTTTTTTAAATGACCTGCTACAGCTTTAAGGCGGTGAAAATCGTCTAGTTTATGGCCCTGTCTTGTAAAGGGCCCTGTGTTAAATGTAGTTTTAAAACTTCTATTCCAGATAATATTATAATATTGTGGTACAATTATAAAATAAAATTACATGAAGGGAGTCCACAGATGCTGAAATCTTCTATTTGTTCCCTCTGTTAGCTGCTGTTATGTTTTCTCGTATGGCCGTGGAGGAGATTACTCTGGACCGACCCTTCCTCTTCCTCATCCAGCACAAACACACAGGTAAACACTCTTATTACATTTTCATCTGAAATCTCATTTTACAGTGCCATTCAGCTGAGCCGTCCAGGGGGAGTGAGTGGTGTGTCTAATGTTTTCCTTCCTGTGTCCAGGTGCTATTCTGTTCATGGGTCAGCTCAACGAGCCTCAACAACAATAAGCCACTCTGAATACCTGCCTTCATTCCACTGTGTCTGACTACTGCTGCTTGTGATGGCCACACACGATGACCACACCTGTCTTCTTTAGACCAATTCACTGAAAATGTTTATTTATAATTTGCTTAACAGAACAAGACCTGGGCAAAGTAACACACAGATTTAACAGGACAGACCTTGGGAACATGATTGTCTCACATATTCTTCGAAAAGAGTATATATGTTTGCTGTTAATTTATTTCTCTGAATATTTGTGGTTGATAAGAAAGAAAGAAATATGAAGGAAAGTTCATTAATGAAGCAGTTTACTGTTGCACTTCATCAATAGAGATGTTGCTGCAGACAGACTGATGGCTCTACAAGTACCAAGAAAAGATGTGTTTTTATTTTTTTTTACAATTTCGATAATAATGTCTATTTTTGTTGTTGCCTTGTGAAGTTACATTTGTATTTTGCTGTATTTCTATTTATTAAAGTACTATGTTTTTACAAATCTACAGTCTCTGTGATTACTAAGATTTCAAGACTGACCTCTGGTGTCCAAACTATGGAAGCCCATTTCGGCCAATGTGACGGGGAAAAAAAGGATTTTTCAAGTTATTATAAAAGAGAAACTTTCTCAGAATAATGAGATACTTTCTCAATATTTTGACTTAATATCTCATTATTTTTGACTTAGTATCTCATTATTTTGGAGGATGCAACCGGCTGTGGCTCAGAGGCAGAGCAGGTCATCCACTAGTCGGAAGGTTGTCCCTGGCTCCTCTCGGCACATGTCGAGGTATCCTTGAGCAAGATACTGAACCCCACATTGCTCCCGATGCTGTGCATCGGTGTGTGAATATGTATGAATGTGTTAGTTTCTGTTCGACTTTGCCATCTGTGTGCGAAAGGGTGAATGTGACACGTAGTGTAAAAGCGCTTCGAGTGGTGTAAAGACTAGAAAGGAACTATACAAGTACAGGTCCATTTACCATTTACCAAATGTTGGATGGCTGGGATCATAGCCGACAGAGAAACTGTGCCTCAATTGATGGGACTGGTGTTACAATATACCCACTTTCCAAAGTGGATATTCTCAGTACCGTAATCTAATGTGGACATCCATTGTTTTTGGTCACAGTGTCTTTAAAATAACCTTTCAGAATCAGAATCAGATTTATTGCCAGGTAGGTTTTTACACATACGAGGAATTTGTCTTGGTGCAATGGTGCATGAAATATACAATCACACAAAAATATACAAATCACACAAAAATCACACAAGAATAAAAGAATAAAAATACTTTTAAAATATAAATAAATAAAGATCAGAAAGATTAAAAAAACTGTACAGAAAACAGGAGTGCATTAATGTAATGTACAGGGTGGGTAAGAGTCAGTGTTAGTGGGGGTTCCAGGCCTTGTTAATGAGGCCACCTGCAGATGGAAAGAAACTGTTCTTGCGGTGTGAGGTTTTGGTCCTGATGGACCCTCTCCTGCCAGAGGGAAGGGTAACTTTCAAAGAATTTGTGTCCAGGGTGGGAGGGGTCAGCCACAATCTTGCCTGCACACCTCAGGGTCCTAGAGGCATACAGGTCCTGGTAGAATGGAAGATTGCAGCCGATCACCTTCTCAGCGGATCGAATGATACGCTGCAGTCTGCCCTTGTCCTTGGCAGTGGCAGCAGTGTACCAGATGGTGATGGAAGAGGTGAGGATGGACTTGATGATGGCGGTGTAGAAGTGCACCATCATCGTCTTTGGCAGGTTGAACTTCCTCAGCTGCCGCAGGAAGTACGTCCTCGGCTGGACTTTCTTGGTGAGGGAGCTGATGTTCAGCTCCCGCTTGACGTCCTGGGTAATGATGGTACCCAGGAAGCGGAAGGACTCTACAGAGTCAACTGGGGAGTCACACATGATGATGGGGGTGGGTGGGGTTGGGATCTTTCTGAAGTCCACAACCATCTCCACTGTTTTCAGAGCGTTTACCTCCAGGTTGTTCTGGCTGCACCAGGTCACCAGATAGTCAATCTCCCATCTGTAGGCGGACTCATCTCCACCAGAGATGAGCCCAATGAGGGTGGTGTCATCCGCGAACTTCAGGAGCCTGACGGACTGGTGACTGGAGGTGAAGCTGTTGGTGTACAGGGAGAAGAGCAGAGGAGAAAGAACTCAGCCTTGGGGGGATCTGGTGCAGATGGTCTGAGAGACAGAGAAATTTTTCCCCAGCTTCACGTGCTGTTTCCTGTCAGACAGGAAGTCTGTGATCCACCTGCAGGTGGAGTCAGGCACAGTGAGCTGGGAGAGCTTGTCCTGTAACAGAGCTGGGATGATGGTGTTGAAAGCAGAACTGAAGTCCACAAACAGGATCCTGGCATAGGTTCCTGGGAAGTCCAGATGCTGGAGGGTAAAGTGCAGGGCCATGTTTACTGCATCGTCTACAGACCTGTTGGCTCTGTAGGCGAACTGCAGGGGGTCCAGGAGTGGGTCCGTTATGGCTTTGAGGTGGGAAAGCACACAGTTGGTTTTTTGGGGACAGGGATGATGGTGGACATGCAATAATACGAGGGTCATTGTTGGTTTTGTATGCTTCCAGCCATATAATTTTTCTTGAGAAGCCATCTATGCTACCACTGATGTTTATATGTACACATACAAGAAAGCTCAACAAAAGAAACATAAACTACTATGTACAGATATTTATATAAACATAAACAACAACAATAACATTGTAGACAGTAAGACAATGAAACAATAGTGCAGTGGATGCTTTTTGTAGGTATTTTTATACACATGAGGTAGGTGGATATGACACTATATATATCCAATCCAATCCAATCCAACTTTATTTGTTAAGCACTTTAAAAACAACCAAAGTTGACCAAAGTGCTGTACAGGAGAATAAATAAGACATCATAAATGTAAACAGTGATGATGATGATGATGATGAAGACCACTGTGAGGAATATAGACAGTGATGGCGACAACACTCGAAAGTTCCCGTGGCAGATAACACGGACGAAGTCCGATGGCGACGAGCTTGATGTCCGGGCTGCAGACGCTCTTTCACACAGACGTGCCCGGCGTTACACCACCTGTTGTTTATGAGCACGGATAGTCCCCCTCCTTTCTTCATGCCGGTCGCGGTGGTGTCCCTGACGGCTCGAACCGTCTGGAAGCCAGGAATGGTGACGTTGGAGTCCGGTATCTGCTCGATGATTGCAGGGATGAAGAGTTTAAAGCTCCTCTTCTTCATCCTCCGTTTAACCCCCGCTCTGCAGCCTCACCGTCTCCTCAGCTCCTCCAGTATGGAGGGTCTCTCTCCGGTCAGGATGCTAGGGGGCCTCAGGGCGATCATCTGATCACGGGTGTAAACAATGCGACTCCCCGTCGCCATGGAGACCAGCATAAACAAAAAATCAAAAGTGCTCAAAAACGCCAAAAAAGTATTTAGGCGACATGAACAAAGTAGTAAGAAAGTAAGAAAGTAAGAAAAGAGTTCAAAATAGCAAAAACACACTGAAAACACACTAAAACTACAACAATGAAAAGGAGCTGCCATGACAGGCTGCCGTTGTCGCTGGCGCCATTCCATGGAGATGATGATATACAATATGAACAGCATGCTTACATGTGTTTGTAGTGATGAAATTTAAAAAGAATTTTAGCAATAATTTACAGGTGCAATGAATGTTAGAGTCACAGGGTTATTGTACAGGGATTGTTCCTATTTCCATTTCTATCCTAGTTCCTATTATTAGCATGCATATAAGAGGCATATTGGCTCTTTGTTAGTCATTATAAAGTCTTGCTCATTACTGATAGGCTTTGCTCAGTATGGGCCAAAGTCACAAGACTTTGTACTATAAAACCTGTTTTCAACATGAATTGATTATTTTTATTATTATTATCACAGTTTAAGTTTAAAGTCTTGCTTAGTTATGGAAAAAGCTCACTTTACATATGTAGTGTTACATAAAAATAGACCTTATTTATTAAGTGGTATTAAAGCTGCTGTAACTTTGTAGGTAGGCTATATGAAACTTTTATTAAAAAGTTGTAAGGAAAACAACGAAAGTCAAGTGACTAGATTAAGCCTAAAAATCATTTTTCAATTAATTTGATAGATTTTCATTAAATACGTAACTCGGGCATTCCAGAATTAACCAACTGACAAAAATCAGCCGTTACCTGACAGGCAAAACTCAGGGCAGATTATTAGGTGTTGTGCGCATGCTCACCAGAGGCGGAACTGCTCAGTGTAGCAGGGAATGGGTTCAGTGTATAGTACAGTGTCAGACAGACATGGGCTCTCAACGTTAGCTGGGGTGTGTTCGTTTACCTTGGACCGGACAGTGTAGACGTAGAGTTCGTTTGTAACGTCGCAGTATCTTAAAAAAATCCGACCAGAATGGTAAGTTACCGCTTCTCTTTCGCAAAAAAATAAATAAAAAAACAGGAGCTATGTGCCAAGCTAATGCTAGCAAGGTGTATGGTTTCAGGAAGTGTCCACCTGCGCTTCCTTCACCTGGTTGCCTGTAAGCTAACAGGCCGAATGACAGCAGGTGTAAAATAATCCTGTGTGTGTCACTGAAGGCCATCCAGTCAGCGTATTGCCCGTGTAATGTTCGCAGTGGCATCAAGTTTTGTTAAAACTCAGCCTGACAGGCAGTGATCATTTAAGATTTGAGAAATTGCCGAGCTCCCGCAGGTAATGAGTGCAGCCCCAGGTGTTACTCAGTATCAATAGAGGAGGTGGCAGTTGGATGGCTATTATTCAGCTGCCTTTTTTAACTGCCTACCAACCTACAGCTTGTAATATATTGTTAGGATTATAAGATTATAATGCACAGGAGGGATTCACCGATACTGATTATTAGTAATCGAGTGAAGTAATTGCTGATGTTTGGAACCGATGTACATTATTGAAAAAAGCTGCAATTTGTTTGATAAAGGTAAAATGTGTGACAAACAGCATTATAATGAAGTACTGTAAGAGACGCCCTGGTCTACAGATCAGATGTAAGAAAATATGTTTGTTTGGTACAGACCCCAAAATATTTCATTGTTTTTTTCCGTAAAAAATGTTGAGATTCAAAAATGATCATCACACACACACACCAAAAACACAAGAACACCTCTGTCTCTCTTTCTGTACACACATCGGCGTGCCTCGCCCTACCTCATCTGTTTCTTTCTCTCTGAAAGTCTGTTGACTTTCCCAGCACTTTTAGCTGTGTGTTCTATAAAAAAAAGTTCAGGAATCAGTTTCTGTCTCAGAACATCTCTATATAGTATTAAAGCTGCTGGAAGTAACTTTTATAAAAATAACTTTTTGTCATATTTACTGATGACTTACTGCCTCCAACTCCAAGGATCTTAATATCTTTCTTGGCTCTGATTGGTTGTTGTTGTTCACGCCCGGTAGATTCTTGCAAATGCCACTAGGAGCACTAGTAGGAGCCAGAGGAACCCGATTTGAGTGTCTCATGTTCTGCTGACAGTATATAGTGAACATTTCAGCAAATACGAACAAACATTATTTTGTATTATTTTTAGGTTACCTACTGCAGCTTTAATGCCCATGTTGTCAGAATCACACATTCAGCTATCACATATAGCTGTCTGCATACTTTTGGCTTTGTAATGTATCTTTATAGCCTGTTCTGTGGTACAAAGTCAAAACGGTAAAAAAACGGACTGTTAAACCAGTAGCTTTGGTTAGTCAGTTATACCACACTAAAGTTTTTTGCTCTAAACAAATAGACACGTTTTAAAACAGCCCCTCAGACAATATTTATATTTATATACTACATCCAAGTATCCTGTTGCTGCAAAACAAACAGGAACCACACCTCCCACACTGTCTCTTTGTCACATAGAGCAAAGCGAGCACAGGACTGATAGCAGGCAGATGCAAGTAAAGGTAACTAGTAGTTGGCAGATATGTGTATTGTTGTGAGTTTTATTAAACTGCAGTTATCCCACTGCTGTCACCGCGGTAAATGTCAATATTCATGGTTGCCTCAAGCATTTTCCTGTGAATAATATATCACACTAAACTTTATGTCAGATCAGATCATTTGTAATGAGCAGGTATTGGGTTTATCTTACTCAGCTATACTCAACAATGGGCTATAAAATAGAAAATCATGCGTTTATGTTATGTTTTTGATGCCAATGTATGGGAGACTCGATGTGTTGCAACATCCTGCAAGACAACAGTCATGTGATTAACGAAGACAGTCAAAGGTGTCATAGGCTGGTTTTCTGGAGGTTACTAGCTTGTCTGCTTGGACCGCAAAAGAAGGGAAACTGTGAAGATGTGCATAACACAGCTGTCCCTGAAAAAATATGAAGAGGAGATACTACAGGTGAATAAACAGGGTAAACGTTTAACTAATGGATATAAAACTTCCCCTGTTGATTACTTGATTTTAAGGTCCAGTGTGTAACATTTAGGAGGTTCTATTGTCAGAAATGGAATACAATAATCAAAGATATGTTTTAATTGGTGTATAATCACCTGAAAATAAGAATTCCCTTTTAATTTTTTTATATCTAAAGAGCAGATGCTGACAGATGCCACTATATCCTACATACTGTTCCTTTTAACGTTTCCTGTAATTCTGTGGGGTCTGTGTTTTTATTTTTTAAATACTCTTTATTGAGTTTAAACAAAAAAGCACAATACACAGTACCCTCTATCCCAGAGAGCAATACAGCGTAACCCAAAAAAGGAAAAAGAAATGTAAAAAATAGAGAAATAATTGAATAAGATTAAATAATGATGATGATAATAATAATAATAATAATAATAATAATAATATATTTATATGTTTGTGTTAAGAATATATGTTAATTAATTATATAAAATTAAATAAAGTTTTGTTTACAGTCCACTATATGTATGTGAGTTTTAGGGTAACCTAGAGGCCATATCATGTGGTGTGTCCCATAAATGGGCTTATGAGACAGGTCTTCCACTGCCCCTTAGAAGTCAGTTTTACAGGTCTGCAGGTAAACAATGTAGAATCTAGCGTGAATTCTGTGTTTAAATATGCAAATGATGCATCTAATTAAATATGCACTAATTTGCATACATTTCCAGAACAGAAATCAGAACATTGGATAAAGCCAAACTTAGTTATGTTTTTCATTTTGCTGACATAGAGGGGATTTTGGATAGACAAAGTGTAGTAAAATTGCGTTGTCTTTCTACTAGAATGAAAGAAGACATGTTATGAAAGTAAAGTAGTCCAATATCTCAAAATTTACCAGTTCATGAAACAACTATATTTTTGACTGTAGTGTCTCGTATTTAAGCTTTCTACAGCAAAGACAACCTGCTGTTAATCAACCTGTGAGAGAAACAGACTTGATTAATTTGTTGAATAATCATGCAAACATAACTTCCACAAAATCTAATTTTCAAAACCACATAAAAGATTTTCAGTGTGTTACAGTTATGTTATCATAACATTTTCCTCAGGTCCTTGGGTCTTTTCCAATTTCCAACTTCCAATAATAATTTCCTACTGAAATATGTCAGTTGAAACGTTTTGTTTTTTTCAGATAAAATCTCATAAAATACAGTCAACAGTGGTCAGTCAGTAGTCAACATGCATTCGATTAGCTCAGTAAGGGTAGTGCTGGCTCAGTTACCCCCACTGGTCATGTGACCCTTGTCTTGCAGGTTCCAGTGGTTCGTTGAGTCTCCCATGACAATATTGGACCAGGACTAAGCATTGACTGACCCTACAATTCGTAAATGACAATGACTAGAGATTAAAAATCTTTCAAAAGAAGCCACATTAAAGGGGACCTATTATGCACAACCAACTTTTTAATCGTTTGATTATGTACATTTGGGAATCTGGAGGGCCTATCAGCAGGCAAAGTGTGAAAAAAGATGACTCAGTCATGTTTTTGTGGGCTGCCACAGTCAAAATACAGGAGATAAAGCACTGAATTTCAGATTTTCACTATTTTTGACGTCCTTTCTGGGGGTTCATTAGCATATTCCAACCTTTCACCTGCATGTTGCCACCCACCTCAGTTTACTTCCTTGTTGACTAGTGGAGCTCCACCATTGTCACTATAAAAGAGCAAGCTAGCAGAGAACAAGCAAGCGAGCCCAGCCAGCAGCCTGCCAGCCTAATGTCTGGGCAAAGGCTTCAGCAGGCAAACTGTTCAGTCATTGGCTGCACAGCCCAACGCAAATCTCTACATATGTATGAGCACAGTGGATCTATTTTTATTTTTGATGGCAATGTCCAGCTAGAGTCGGAAAACCTGACTGTGTGTGTGTGAACCTTCGTGTCGGACTGTTTTCACAACCTCGGTCAGTACAACACTGGACTGGCTGAAAGACTGTTCCTGAAAGAGGGATTGTACCAACTGTCTGTGGAGAGACGGCAGAGGAAGTAACTGTAAGTATTTTTAAGAATTTATGCTTTGTTTTTCGTTGTTTGTGTAAAGCTAGCACAGTGACGCTAACGTAGTTATTGTTTGTTAAATATTTGTTAAATGTGTGCAAGATGAACATGAAACTTATAAGGCCAGCTGGTGCAGATGTCTCCATATTTTTCCCTTCTGCTGATATTTTTATAGAGATTCACACAAAGTTTATGCCGTGAATTACCAAGCTTCGTGCAGGAGGGACTCTGTAACTGTTGTGGGTTTTGTGACCGGGGGAAATTGGCTTTATGTTCGTCTGTACTTTGTTAAACGTGCTCAGTCAGTAATATGTTTGTGTCGCTGTTAGAGCAGAAAACCTCCGAGCTAACAAACTGTAGCCGCTCATCAGCTGTTAGCTCGTTGAGCTGCACTAGAACAGGGAAGATAACGTCAGTTAGGTTTAATTGTCTTTAACCTGGTGACTTACATATCTGCTGGGTAGCTCAGTATCTGTTCACCATGTGGATTAGTACAGCAGTGATCAGAAGACACCGTACTTGTACCATGTATAAATTCAGCAGCGGAGGTCATTTGTTTGGTAGCATTGTAGCTTTGATTAGCACACAGCAGCTCTGTGATTTCACTGTGTTACTATAGTAACTGAGTCTGTCGGACTTTATGTTGTAATACGAGGGGCAGTGTGATCGATAACCCTCGTTAGAAACTACCAAAATACAGGGAGTGAGTTATGGTGATTCTTTTCTGTTTGTGTAACTTGCTAACGTGCTAACCAGCTGGGGCTAGCTTCATGTTTTCCAGAGCCATACTTCTAGTCGGCTCCTGTGTGTGTGTGTGTGTGTGTGTGTGTGTGTGTGTGTGTGTGTGTGTGTTTTATGGTGTGTACATTAACTTGATCTACGTGCACCGGAGTTAACAATAGAGCTACTGTGAGAGAGAAATAGTCAAACTGCAGGGATTCATTAGTTGTGTGTGATACTGGTGTAACTTCGATGCTCTCTAGGCTGTTTTGTGGAGTCAAACCGCGACTAATAAAAGTTTTCTGATCCATATATTTAGCGTTACTGCAGTACTGGTATTACTGTCAATGTAAGTGCAGGTCCGGTGTAACATCTCATACTCATCATCTCCTATTGTATAATAAACAATAAACAACACAGAGGCTCACTGTTAAATGTCTGTTATTGCCCCGGGATGTCACAACATCAGCTACGGTCAGTAAATGTCCTGTGTGTGTGTATCTGCTGCCATTAGCTAGACATTTGTGTTGGTAACCTCAGACTGTTGTCAACAACACATCACTACAGTTAGCTGCAACAAGGAACCCACCAGAGACACTGCTTTATTGTTTTATTTTATAACTTAGGACTACTTTGAGCCACAATGAGCTGTTGTACTTGTATGTTAATATTACTGTATTATATTGTACAGTATTATATGCTGTCTTACAAGTAACACTGTATCTGCCATGTTTTACAGGTGACCTGATGAAGCTCAGGTGTTCCTGGACCCGATCAGAGGACAGAGACAGCTGCAGCATCAGGACAGTCTGGGTATCCAAAGGAAGACGCTTCAAGATGAACACTGACTGCAGAGCTCCATTACCAGCTCACACTTCAGTATACTAGAAACTATATACCTTGATGGAGGACACAATCTGCACAGTTTACATAAAAGTTTAGCTTTGTTACTGTAATATGTAACTGGAATATGAATGAAACATAAATAAAGTGTTTCATTTTTAAGAAGAGTTTTGGTCATTTTTAGATTCAGTAAGAAGTGTGGTTTTAGATCAATAACATGTTATTTCACAGAGGTTTTATGAAGATTTCCTGCATGTAGAAGAGTTGAAAACCTGGTTCGTGTAACATCTATCAATATGAAAATGTGAAATTTAAACCTGTAGTAAATGACTGTAAGCAATACATTACTGTCTCACATTCAAACTTTATTATGGTGACAGATAAATCATTGTACTATTACTCTGATTACTTTGGTACATTTACTGGCTGTTTCTTCACTAGAAGCAACTGCTTGACTAATGTTGTTAATATTATGTGATATATAATATGTTTAACTTCACTGGGCTCTGTAGACTGTAGGTCACTGCTGTACCTGTAAAGACGAGCATAAAACAGTGTTCTCATAGTTGATTCAATTCAATTAAATTTTATTTGTATAGCGCCAAGTCATAATAGAAGTTATCTCAGGACACTTTTCAAATAGAGTAGGTCTAGACTGAACTCTTTAAAACATTATTTACAGAGACCCAACACTACCAGAGATGCACAGCAACAACAGTATTGGCAATAGCAATCTAGCAGGACCATGGCATTTTCAAGCCCCACCTGCCCCCATTGCCCCAACACAATGCTAATGAAATACGCAACAAGCTTAAAATGTTCCAATTTATTGAAGTAACAAGTAGTATCAGTATAGTAACAAGTTGTATCTAAATACAATTCCTGTTACACTTGGTGTGCTCCCAATGGCATTTGCAAGAATCCACCGGGCCTGAACAAAAACAATCAAGAGCTGAAAAAATATGAAGACGCTTGAAGATAGATGATTGATGAGTCTCATTCCAATCCCAAAGCGTCTGTATTTAACACCATGGGAATGAGACTCAACAATCAACTATCTTCCTTGGCTCTGATTAGTTTTTCCGTTGAGGCCCTATGAATTCTCACAAATGCCATTAGGAGCACTAAGAGAAGCCAGAGGAACCTGATCTTTCACAGATTATCTGTCTCGTGTTCGACTGTCAGGATATAGTGAAAGTTGACAACAATGACCTACGGCAGCTGTAATATATAAAAAATTTTTTGTACTGCAGCTTCTTTATTAGCGACAAAGTGATCAGAAATAATTATTGATGTAGTATATTTGTATATACAAATTCATATTATTGTTTGAAATTACTTTAATTAACCAATAATACTGATTTTTCAGTTATTGGCAGATTCATCAATATTCTTAAATCCTTCTGTCATGAATGCTTTCCTGTCTCTGTTCTTTTTCCTTGTTTTGAATTGTTTTCATCCCTGTCTGTGTGTAGATGCGCTTCATGCTGCTGTTCAGCCGGCAGGGGAAGCTGCGGCTGCAGAAGTGGTACACAGCCACAGCGGAGCGCGACAAGAAGAAGATGGTCAGAGAGCTGATGCAGATAGTTCTTGCCCGCAAACCAAAGATGTGCAGCTTCCTAGAATGGAGGGACCTCAAGATTGTCTATAAAAGGTAGAAACAGTAAATCATTACAGTGTTTCCTCTAGGAACAAGTTTATTTACCGTTTTAATGTTTCCAGATGTTTGATATCAGGACGTTGAGCTGAGAACTGACACCGCGGTGACGTTTTTGGTGGAGCTGTTATATAATAGTCGACTTGGAAGAAGCGAACGTTTTGACAATAAGCTCCATCAACACAACAGTATGTAGAGTTAAACTGGACAGCCCCAATAACCTCTGAATAGTTCTACTTGTTGTTAAATTGCAATGTGAGCGGCAGCCAATGGGGGTGCATTATGTCGGCAGGATCATTTAAAAGACAACCGTGACTACATTGTGCGTCTGCCCCATTTCTAATACCGTGGCGGCAGAAATTTAACAGCGGCGGGCCGCCGCTCCAAAATCAACTTAGAGGAAACACTGCATTAACTGTTATAACTCATTTATGCTGGGTCGCTGGAAGTGTCTTCCTAAAGTGTCAGTGATTCTTTAATTAGATACCTATTTAATATAATTTTCACTTGAGTTTTCAGCATTTGGCCAAAAATGTATGTTTTTCCTGGAAATCTTTGTATTTTAGTCCCTCACTCAGGCCGCCTAAGTAAACCTAGGTGCATATTTTTGTTTTATTTTGTTCAATGTATGAGACTTCAAAGCAAGTTTACCAGATGCAAAGTGGAACCGACTTGCAGTGATCTTTTCAGCATCGAATCTATGCTTTCCAGAGCTGGGGGCAAATTCTCATATCTACATGCATACAGCATCAAATTTTTAGTTGTGGATGATAACTACATGCCACAGTGATGTTAATTGTACGTGCAATAAACACTTTAACTTTCTAGAAGATAAATTTTCTGTAAAATAAAATGGATTCTACTACATTTGAAGTACAGCCATATGACATTTTGTAGGCAAGTGCTGTCCTGTATTGTCAAGAAAAACTCCTGGAAAGGTCCTGGAAAATGATTTTATAAAAAGAATGGGACCCCTGAAATGTTATTAGATCTATGAACTCAAAGTTGGAAATATATGTAAACTGGTTAAATTGTTTTACATTTGTTCAAACTGAACATTTGCTTGTAGATTGTACAGTTTATTTGTGAACATCATGAATCATCTAATAATAATAATAATAATAATGATAATAATACATTTAATTTGTTGAGCGCATATACATTTTAAAGGTCCAGTGTGTAACATTAAGGAGGATCTATTGGCAGAAATGGAATTTAATATTCATAGGTGTGTTTTTATTGGTGTATAATCACCTGAAAATAAGTATCGTTATTTCTGATAACTTAGAATGAGCTCTTTTAATCCACAGAGGGAGTGGGTCCTTTTCACTGGAGGCCGCCATATTGAGCTGCCATGTTTCTACAGTTGCCCAGAACGGACAAACCGAAGACCTGTTCTAGATCAGTCAGAGCCAAGAAAGATATAAAGAGGCTTTGGGTTGGTGAAAATAGTTGTTTTTTGAGTCTCATTCCCAGAATGTCTGTATTTAATACCCTGTTAATGAGACTCAACAATCAACCATCTTGGCTGTGATTGGTTGTTTTCGTTCAGGCCCGGTAGATTCTTGCAAATGCCATTAGGAGCACTAGGAGGAGCCAGAAGAACCTGATTTCTGCACAGATTATCTCTCATGTACTACTGTCAGGATATAGTGAATGCTTCAGCTAATATGACAAAAGTTATTTTTTATAAAAATGACCTAATTGCAGCTTTAATGTCAGGCAAGAAGTCCTTAGCCAAGTCAAGTATATCTGTATTTTGAGTTCTAATTGTTTTTTTATTTATTTATATGGTTTTGATTTTAAATGTAACTGATTCCCAGATAGCAATAAAAAGTCTTCAATTTGACTTCAGTAAAGCAGCAGATTCTCTGGTTATAGTGTGTCTACTGTTTACTTTTGTACACCTCCCACAGAGCGATAAAAGTTCATGTCTGTTTGTATGTGGGCTGAGCAGCATTATATTTTAGGTGGGTGGAAAGGGTCAGACCCAGCATTCCACTCTCATTGACACACACACATACACAGAGCAGTGTGTGTCAGAGCTCATTACTGTGAGCAGAATGCAGATGTGGACAAACAAAACAAAGGAGAACCTATCAGCAAATGCCTGTGTGTGGGCAGGTGGATGGGTGATGAGTTCAGTGCAAAGGGATTTCCTGCAGTGGAAATGGACTGAGGGAACACTGCAACAGCTCTGCAGTCAGAAAACTATTGTTAAAGCTTGTTTTTTTTTTTTTAATGAAATGTGGACTAAGTTTAAGTGTAAACAGCTGGAACATTAGTCCATTAATCAATCAACACAGAATGAATCGGCCGCTATTTTTATAATTTATTAATCATCTTTAAGTTATTTTTCACTTCAACAAACCTCTTTCAGATGTGAGAATAAGCTGCATTTCTTGGTGAGTTAGTAAACGTACTATGTTTGGATGGTTGATTTGACAAAACGAGACATTTGATGAAGCCACTTGGGTGAGAGCCCAAGGTAGCTTGTGTCAATTGGAGACTGGACCTTACATGAACAATTGAAGGAATGAGCGACAATTGGTTTTCCTGCACCAATATTTAGGAGATTTAAGTTATCATCAAAACAAAGATGTTAGAAAAGAACACAAAGACACAATGATGGGTCTTATCATGTCCTTGGTATTTCAGTGAAGTCTCAACATCCCGCTGTTTAGTTGAACATAAAGTGTAGTTATAAATTGAATGAAACAAAGGTTCATGCATATAATGGCCTCTTGAACTGGTTATGTATAGTTTTATAATGACCAGGTCAAATAGTCATGTAAGTTCTTAAAAATGTCCATTACCAGTTTTAACAGAGTGAGTTTTGAGTCTGCACACAGACATGTAGAGTTTCTCCTGTCCTGATGTCAATGCGGAGCCAGGTAAAGCAAGCAGTTGTGATTTTGCTGAGCATTAGCTGGGCACCCCTCCAGAGGGAGTAGCAAGCCTGTGTGTAGTGGACAAGCTGGGGTGTAGGCTTTGACCGTGTCCTGATATAGGATGGGTCTGAATCATTTGCAACACGGTATGCAAACTCCAGCATCTTGAATTGGATTTGAGCAGCCACCAGTAGCCAGTGCAGGGGGAGTAACATAGTTACTTTATATAATGGTGAAGTTCAAGTAGACAAAATGTCAACTGATAGTTTACAGAATTAAGCTATTTCAGTATTTCAGAGTACTATTTATGTTAACGTCAAAGTGGGAAAATGAGTCCGCAGATAAAGCTGTAGGTTTGGTGTGTCAACAGAAACAGAAAAAGACTGTTTTGTGATGCAATCTGGGTAATTTAGTAATTGTTAGTTGGGGAGGTAAAAGCTCTTGGTCTAAACAGTCCAACAGAAGTACAGGTAAATGTCACTCAGCAGCGTCCAACAGTAAGGTCCATTAGCTGGGTTCCTTTTCCTTGGAGCCAGCATGTAGTGGCAGTTGAAGGAACTGCAATTGAACACTTTAACTTTGTGGACAGTGGTATTTACTTCATATATAAATGTTTTCACTTTGTTTTCAACACCTCAGAGAATAATTTAATATTTCAGGTATTTATACCATATTTTCTGTTAATTGTGTATGCGATTGTGTGTGTATTCATGCAGGTATGCCAGCCTATATTTCTGTTGTGCAATTGAAGAGCAGGACAATGAGCTGATCACACTGGAAGTCATCCACCGCTTCGTAGAGCTGCTGGATAAGTACTTTGGCAGTGTAAGTCTCTGTTGTTGATTTCACACCACTAAACTTAAGGTTTCAGAGTGAAGTGAGCATGTAAAAACTTCCACTGCTGTAGAAAGCACTGACTTGTTTGTTTGTGCAGGTGTGTGAGCTGGACATCATCTTTAACTTTGAGAAGGCCTACTTCATTCTAGATGAGTTCCTGATGGGAGGAGAGATTCAGGACACGTCTAAGAAGAGCGTTCTCAAAGCCATTGAACAAGCAGACCTGCTGCAGGAGGTAACCTGGGCTTCACCCACTACCTCCACCAAGGAGGGTTGGGTTTTCCATCCTGTTTATCTATCAGTTAGCAGGTCCTAACTAAAATGGATCATATTTCCGTGAAATCAAGTAGAAAGTTCTGCCATGGGCCTTTGGGAGACACCTGCTTTTGCAGACCTTTGTCCTGCTGGTGATTATCAAACTGACAGTGCCAGTGAGGTCTGTCTCTTCTCAAAAACTTTAACCATTATTAATTGTTCAAACTAACACAAATGCAACCAGCATTAGGCTATCCAAAAGTACACTGTGCCTGCACTTACAGTGTAATTAGCTCACCATTCATTTCTTTGAGAAATGTTTCACTGAAAGTCTACTGATGTTACTGGAGTCGTCCAGTAAAATGCACTGCCCTGCCAGCTAATATTTACTGCAGATGTGAACTAAAGTTTAAAACAAATACCAAGTAGAACCTTTCCTGGGGCCCAGGAACCATTTTAGGATTTCAGGAACCTGCATAAATTTAGCACCATTGCACCTGGGCCTCAAAAACTGTGCCTTTGTATTATTATATTCTTATGCCTAAGAATTAAAGTTTGTGTAACTGATTTTTATGTTACTGACACAGCTTTATTCCCAAGTATCATCATTACGTGTAGCAGACATTTCTTGTAATTTTAGTGACAGATAGTCAGGGTTCCCACACTTCCTGGAAAATCAGGAAGTTTAGAGACTAGTTTTGTGGTCATGTAAACGGCTGGAAAATTATTAAATTTACCAAATATCCTGGAATTTTTTGTATTTTAGCCCCTCACTCAGATCGCCTTTATAAACATATGCATATTTTGTTTGAAACTCAACTGTTGGTAGGATAAAAAGTATGACACTTCAAACAGGTTTACCAGATGCAAAGTGGAACTCACTTTCTATGATAAAAACTTAAATTGTTATTGTTTTGATATTACAATGTGATTCATGATTAATTGGAATGATAATTTTTACTGTAAAAAAACCCAAAAACTTTAAAAAACCAAATAAACATGTTTTCTTACATCTTGAGAACAAGATTTGCTGAGGAGGGCGTCTTTACAGCTCTACAGCACTTCATTATAATCCTGTTTTTTACCTTTATCAAAGAACTGCAGCTTCTGCAATTTAGATATCGTCATATTGCGGTTTTTATAAAATGCAGATTAATTGTACAGCCCTAGTTACGATAACGTACTAAATCCGAAATAAGTAACCATCAAACATTTGTCAACTTGGCAATCAGAGTCACAGTACAGTAAATACAAAGAACAACGTGTTCTTTTCTCATGTGTGAAAATTGCACCTCAAACATCTGACTGTAGTTACTCTGAGTGTACCTCTGAGAGCTGGCTGCTCCATTACATTTTGATGTGTATATTGGGTTTTTTTCATTGTTTTTTTCTTTTAGGTGTCACTGACTTCTTTATTCTAACCATCTCTGTGTTTCCTATTATAGGAGGACGAGTCACCCAGGAGTGTGTTGGAAGAGATGGGCTTGGCGTAGTACACAGTAGTGCTATGAGAGACTATAGATACCAAGGCAGAGGGCTGGACGTGAGGGGGGCGGGACAGAATCTGGGACTGACTGTGCTCAGACTGACAGCGTTGGTTCTGTGTGTCTGTGGCTCTGGGGATGTACAGTGTTTAACTGGGGGAAAGACATTCAGTTAAAAATGGAAGATCCTTGCATTGGCCCTTTAGCTTTGTGTGTGTGTGTGTGTGTGTGTGTGTGTGTGTGTGTGTGTGTGTGTGTGTGTGTGTGTGTGTGTGTGTGTGTGTGTGTGTGTGTGTGTGTGTGTGTGTGTGTGTGTGTGTGTGTGTGTGTGTGTGTGTTCTCTGAGCATAGGGTATAGGAAATGGGATACCTTTTAAACTTGCGTGTGTCTGCAGGGGGGTTGTGTGTTGAGATTTTTAAAGGGGGGAGTCTTTGCTTATCTTTGTTGTCTTTGCTTTGCTTATCAGAGTGGATACTGGCGTTAGAGTCAAAGTGAGTCAGCCTGGCAGTTTGACGCTAGAGTTGGTTGTGAAGGTTTGTCAGGTACTGAATGTGGACAGAGACTTGGTCAGATATTTGGGTATATTTAAAAAAAAATCCCTGATATTTTTCTGTATTGTTTTTTGTATTTTCAACAATTCTCGTGAAAAGACAAAAACTAATCATGTGTTAGTCCATCTCTCAAAGTTTGTGATTTCCCTGTCTTCCTTCCCTCATAAATATTTTGAAATAGCTCACAATTATATAGTTTAATTTTTTTAAAAAGCCTCAGTTATTTCCTAAAACAGCTGGACATGAGATTTGATGACAATCAGAAAAATATAGAATACCACCAGACCTTTAAAGTCAAATTCTGTGTTCTGTTTTTTCGTAGCATTAGCCATTATTCCTGTTGGTTATGTATGTGATTATAACAAGGAAAAATGAACACGCCTTCCTCCACTGAAGTGTGTTATTATCAATATCAGGACACACATGAGGGCCATTCTCACACATTTCTAGTCATGGCAGCAAAAACTGTATTACTACTAACTAACTAAAAGCAGCTATTTTTCACAGCAGTTCACAACATTTTCTACCTAAAATATGGTCCACTTTCACCAAAATCACTGACATAGTTGGTGTGTGGCTACTGCCATAAAGCATTACATGTCCCAGCCCAGAGCCAATAGTTACATAGTGTGAAACATTTGTAGTGGGTAGTGGGTAGGGTCATAACTACGGTATAAGAAAACACGATTTTGCTTTGTTTTTAGGCCTCCACTCTCTAGATGTTCCACTTAAACTACATCTACATAATGACTCTGTCAGTCTATTATTCCACTTATTTGAATTACATTTGATGATTTAAGAACTGGAGTTGGAACTTGAAATTCTTCTGCTGGGACTACAAACAGGTACTACATGTTGAAACTGCCTTGGAATTTCAAGGCATTTAGAATAAACTGAATTTTAGACAAGTATATCTTACGGACCCATACATGTTTTATCTATTATTTTTTGATGTGTGGTTGTTACTGATGGCAGTGATCTAATTTGATGTAAAATGCAACCTTAGGCTGCTAGAGTATTGGAAGTCAGTAAAGGTAAAGATATATAATATAAATGGTCACTTTGGTTACAGTGTCATTTCATTTCTTAAACAGTAACTAACTGCAACTAGTTTTGAATGTATTCTTTAGGGCGCAGCAGTTTACCAGGGTCATGGTGGGTCCATACCTCAGGTTTGGTCAGGGTTTCGTTTGTTACCTAGTTTAAAATAAAAGACTAAGATCAACATACAATATTAACATGGTTTCCTTACTATATCCTGACAGTAGTACACAAGACAGATAATCTGTTCCTGGTTCCTCTTGCTCCTCCTAGTGTTCCCAATGGTATTTCCAGGAATCCATCGGGCCTGACCGAAAACAACCAATCAGAGCCAAGAAAGTTAGAAAGGGGCTTTGGGCTTGTAGCTTTGAAGATCTCATTCCCAGCATCAATATTTGATCAACTAGCTTTCTTGGCTCTGATTGGTTGTTTTGGTTCAGGCCAAGTGGATTCTTGCAAATACCATTAGGAACACTAGGAGGCGCAAAAGGAACCTGATCATCTGTCCCATGTACTACTATGAGGATATAGGAAAAGTTTCTGCAAATATGACTAAAAGTTACCTCCTGCAGCTTTAATGAAGTGGAAAGTTGTTTTCTGTCTCAACTTGCCTTCCCGATCAGCTTGTAATAAGACAAATAATTTAGTGTTATTGAATGGGCAAGTTTCTGGGAAACGTATGTGTGGTCCTAAAAATGCACAAACATTGTATCTTTATACTCACACATTGGGTTAGGGTTTTTTAATTAAAGGTCCAGTGTGTAACATCTTTTGGCCAAAATGGAAAATAATATTCATAGGTATGTTTTCATTAGTGTATAATCACCTGAAAATGTTTTTGTTACCTTAGAATTAGATGTTTTTATCTATTTGAGTGGGCCCTGTTCTAAGGAGGCCACCATGTTGAATCGCCATGTTTCTACCACTCACTGACTCTAGATACATCCTATATGTTTGGAGGGTGATTCGAGGGGGCTGCATTGTGCAACTTCACCTCTAGATGCCACTAAATCCTACACACTGGTTCATTAAACTGGACTTTCAAGCCTACCTATTTTGCAAACCTATTTTATTTTTGTACTTCTTACTGGAATTCCTGATCCAGAGCTAATAAGTTGACAAACTCAAACTATTGTTTTGGTATGAATAAAGGTTACCTGGGAGATTCAAGAAACAATCACAACCCAACTTTACTCACACATGTACTAGACTGAGCCGATAATACAAAGTAAATATGTAAACACCTCTGGTATAGTGTAACATTATTGTGTATACTGCTGTGTTCTTGCATGACATGTTTACGTCATAAAAAGCTGTGGGCTGGGATGAGTATACTATAATTCAGGGTGTGTAAAAGCTCTTAATTAATTTCCACTGTCTTTAAATTAGTATGTCTGTAATTATAGTTTTCATAAAATAATAGCCGATTATTTGTTAAGATGTGATCATGCTGTAGGATTTTCTATGAACTGCCCATAGACTGTTGATTCAAACTAGGCTATATCTACAAAATCTTTGACTTGACATCACTATTGACAGTGTGGGGTATCAGGGCTTTCATAAAATTCTTCCATCTAAAATAGGACCGGGTGATATGGTATCTTAGGTAGAATGTATGAATTGCTCATTTCACATAGTTGAACAGATATTTTTGGAAAGTTGTTTCTTTTAAGCAATCTCACAATATTACTTCCAGATCTTGATCTTGATTCAGTCGCAGATGGGGGTTTTGTTACATTTTTCAAACCATGGAAAAGCATGTTTGTATTGCCTCATATTTTATGTATGTTTTTCATTATAATGGGATATCATTTGTATAATGTCCTCTGAGGAGTTCTGGACAAACACTAATTTCTAATAGGAAAATAATTTTCTTTTTTTTTCTTCTCTCATCACATTCCTTTCTTACACAACCTTTCTAATCTATGAAATACATGGGTGTGGTTGTTGGACATTGATGGATGGTAGTGGATGTGGGCAAGGTAAAGATTCAAAGTTGGACACTATTGTCTACAGAAGAGGTGTAGTTTTAGCTAGACTGTTTTTCTTCAATTCTGGGCCTTGCTGACATGAGATTATGCTTAAAACTTTTACACTATTTGAGCAGCTAGTTTTATGGGTTCTTTCAAAATGACCCTGGAAAAGGGCACGCACTAAAACAAAATACCTGGATTGATAAGTAAAAGAGAAAAAAGGTGAGCCTGGTCGGAGTTAGGCATCCAAGCAAAGACGGATGAAGAGAGTAGAGTCTAGGTTGTGAAGAGAAAGAAAGACAACAGTGGAGCAAGAAGGGTCCAGGCATTCTGTCACCCAGGCACTGTAGCTTGGCATCCAAGATGAGACAATTGGGGTAAGGGTGGTGGTCAGACAGAGATGGTTACACATCTGCAAGGTGCAATTCTGCCCATGACCAGTGCTTGCAATATTTCCGGATCTGACGTAAGGTCAGCTTTAGACCCTGAACAAATCACAACAGAATATTTTGCAGAGAAACTAACAGACTAGCATCTGATCAGTCTTCTGTCTGCTTGACTATTTTTTGCTTTAAAATCTGTAAAATGTTTGGCTCTGGCCACATCGCCTTTGCTCCTGACAAACCATTAGAGACAATGTACCCATCAGCCAAGTTCTTCCTCAGTTCTGTCAGAAATGAATGGAATGTAACCTGCTGATCACGACCATGATCACCTAACCCCAAGAAAAGGTAGAGGTCATTGTCAGGAACAGGCTGCAGGACATTCAGTCTGAAGCTGTCTAAAGAAGGGCCAAATGGCACTGCAGGTCTGTTGTCTGTACACAGCAATGACTAATCCTTTGTTTTACCTTGCTGAACTCTGAATGTTAGTTCGTGTTCTAAGAGTAAGGGCTCACTGTGTGATCTGATTGTTTTCTACATTGTTAGAGATAGATTGTACTGTATCAGCATGTATTGGAGCAAATGAAAAAGAATGGGGAAAGAGAAGCTGAGAATATGTTGAGGTATGATCTGCTGAAAGCTGCTGCAAAAAAATGGCATCAGATTGCTGCTCATGCATGCGCTGTATGTGGAACAGCGTTGGGGACAAATTATTTGAGTTCTGAGATTACATTCGATATATTTTATGTCTTATCCTTCAGACTTCTAGCAAAATTTAAAATATTTTGATTCGAATCTCAGAGGTTGAATATATTTTGTTCCTGTGGCCCCAAAAGCCTAGTATGCTTTCAACAAACTAGTTCTTACTAAGTGTTGTCCAACCATTTCTAAAAGCAAACCGTTTTTTTTAGCTGGAAGGCAGGGTGAAAAGCTTGTTGTCATTGCAAAATTCCACTGGACATGGCTTTATGATGTGGTGTCTGCATTGTGGTTTGGCTGCCATCCGCAAGTCTTCAGATCCCACCAAGAGTGCTTAAGAAGTGGAGCGTCATCAGAGCATCTTGTCTGCCCAGCAGTCTTGACCTCTGACTGATTGACTTCTGGCCTGGTTCCACAGGTTGTGATGTTTTTTTTTTTTTTTTTTTTTTAAGTTGACCTCCTTGCTGCATCCCCCAATCCAAGAAGTTAGCTTCTATTGCATACTGCTATTTGAAGTCATGATTCAATAACTCTTTGAAGGCATTTGTGGTGTTCTGCACACATAAAATGCAAAAGGTACAAACCCTGCCTTCTTTCAGTTACAATAATTGGATAGAGACCACTGATTTTGCTTTCAGAAAAAGGGATCCAGAGGTTCCCACAAGCAACTTGTTTGAAGCATACTGAGGCCTTGATCTTCTTCACAATCCTCTGTACATGCGAGCATGCACCCACTTGAAGATATTTAGTGGACTCTTGCAGCCAAAGCTATTTTGCTTCTGAAGGTTTTAACCCTCTGCTGCCACTTTTCTCCTTCAAAGGGATATTATTTTAATAGTGTGTTGAATGATATTTTTCTTCTCCACTCGGGGAGATTTTATTTAATACCTAGTTTGAACTTCAATCAACTCATCATATGCAATGTCTTATCAATTAGGTGAATGGCTTGTCCATAAATTAATCCATGTGAAAAGAGAATTAAGTTTTTGATTTTAAATATTTTGTTGTAAGTCATTTGGTTCCTTCAAAGAGAAGAGAGGATGAGACCATGCATGGTTGAAAGAGCTGCAAAGGGGCTCTAGTGTCTGAAAGCAGAAGCTCCATTAATCTGTGTAATGTTTTACAGCAAAGGCTAAAGGGCCTCAATGTGTGAATGTAATTTTATAAAGTAATAAAGCATTTTAAGCGGAATTGAATGGTGTGTCCCTGATGTTTTGTATCTGTGCTTGTCTAAAAGTGGGACTACTCTTCCTACAAGTAAAACTGCAGTATGTGCAACAAATCAGAAGGAATTTCACAGACAAATACAGCGCTTGGAAAAACGGATATTCCAGAACTCTAAATAATGCTTGGTAAATGTTTTTGTACAGAAATTAATGGGTGCTGCAAACACATTTATGTTGACTTGTGGGACAACTTCCTTGGAAAGTACTGTTCATTTCCACTTTCCCACCAACACTCAATACTGGTTTAACACTGATTTTTCAAGTTTATCCAAGTATTTGTGCCTAAATTAACCAAACTTTAACCATAACAGTGGCAGATAAGAGTGTTAGGATAAACCGCCATATGAATACATTTTCTAAAGTGTGAAGCATTGATAGAATGAGTCTAAGCCAGTTGGCGGTTCGGACCCCTACTAGGGGTCACCAAAGCTTCACAGGGAGACGTGATGTGATCTTAAGAAAAACTTGAATGGCCATAATAATGAATTGTCACTGGAGACAAGAGTGATGTTGTGAGACTCCTGAAGTGTTGTAATTTGTGAGCACTACACATATGCACGGTAGTATATTGTTTATTTTTACATTTTGTATTGTCACTAAACAAAGACAAATTAAGATATGGGATTAAATGGGTTTTTGTTTTGCATATAATGGATAAAGGTGAACCAAGTTAATAAACTGTAGGAGGGTTGACGAGGGATGTAGGGTAAGGGTTAGGGGTTGAGGGATGATGGGATATGAAAGGGTTTGGGGGAGGGGGATGTGAAAACTGAGTCAAAAAGTGAGTGATAGTTTGTTTATAGTGGCTACTGGTAGTTTGGGCCCAGTTTTGTTATATTGTTTTCATTTTATTTGGCACAGCCTTGCCGTCCAATCCTCCCTCACACGTTTGAGAACGTTTGTGTTTATGAATAGTAATTTGTAAATAAATCACCTTAATTATATACTTTACTTTGCAATTTCTTTGGTTTTCTTATTTTCCTTTTGGCGAAGAGCAAATGGTCTTTTTTCTTTTTTGAAATCTCCTTTTACAATACTCATTTATGCAGGAATAAGACTCATGTGTAGGATTTTTGTGGTGAAGTTGCAGATTGCATGTAACTGAACACAGCTCACCTTCCAAGCATGTAGGAGAAGATACAGTGGAAGTCGAAGTTTCCTTAAGCAAGATACTGAGCCCCAAATAGCTCCCAATGTATCACTGTGTGAATTTGTATAAATTAATTTCTTTCTGTTCGTCGTGCATGCGTTGTAAAGTGCTTTGACTGGTCCATCAACCTGATTAGCTAAATAAGGGCTTTTCACTCGACCAAGAGATCTTCATTGGCTGGCTAGAAAAGGCACATGTGAAACCAGGAGGGTAACTAATTTCTAATACATTTCAGTAATATCTTACAGTTCCCCCCACAAAAACAATTAGTTAAAACTTTACTTTTGCTGGCAAATTTACTTTTGTTGAAATCAAACAACCCAATCACATCCTTGGATTCCTTTTTGTAATTGTGGAGGAAACTAGCTTGGAAGATGGAAATGCATATTCAGCAGTTAGCAAATATTCACATTACTTTTTTTACTGATTTTAACAAACAAAACTGGATTTTAATCATCGTAAGTCTGAATTTTGGGAAGAAGGGACACAATTACCAATTTTGTGGGGAGTAGCAGAAAAGTAATATAACTAGTAGTGTCAGTAATTACGCAGATTGCATGTAACTGAGCACAGCTCACCTTCCAAGCATGTAGGAGAAACTACAGTGGCCAAAAAAGTCCCTACATAGAGTCAGTGTTTGGTTTGTCCATTCTTGGCTACTTTAGAAACATGGCGTAGTTCACCAGATGAAGACCCACTTCCTCTATAGATAAGCTCATTCTAAGCTAAAACACGACAATACTTATACTCAGATGATTATACACTAATTAAAACATGCCTATGCATATTATATTCCATTTCTGACAATAGATCCTCCTAAATGTTACACACTGGACCTTTAACATTCAATTAAATTCAATTCAATTCAATTAAATTCAATTCAATTTTATTTGTATAGCGCCAATTCATAACAGAAGTTATCTCAGGACACTTTTCAAATAGAGCAGGTCTAGACCGAACTCTTTATAACATTATTTACAGAGACCCAACAGTACCACCATGAGCAAGCACTTGGCGACAAGGGCAAGGAAAAACTGCCTGTTAAAAGGCAGAAACCTAGGACAGATCCTCCGGCTCTAGGTGGGTGGTCGTCTGTCTCGACCAGTTGGGGTGAGAGAGAGAGAGAGAGAGAGAGAGAGAGAGAGAGAGAGAGCGAGAGACAGACAGACAGGTGCACAGCAACAACAGTATTGGCAATGGCAATCTAGCAGGACCATGGCAGGAGGCTCCACCAGGATCGACAAGAACCTGCGATCATGTAACTTTTTAAACCTCCATTTTTAAAAGTTCCTTCTTGACCTTGAGTAAATACTGCTTCAGTGTATGAACTTTAGACTGTAGAGGAGCTCCATCTCTGATAATCTCTTATAATATATCTGACCGTAATTGGGTGAATTCATAATCAGCCCCAGTGAGGACCGCCTTCCCAACATGAATGAATTATTATTTATTCTAGTTGTTTTCGTTCAGGCCTGTTGGATTCTTAGAAATGTCATTAGGAGCACAAGTAGGAGCCAGAGGAACCAGATTTTTTCACATGTTCTTGTGTTCTACTCAGGATATAGTGAAAGTTTCAGCAAATATAAGAAAATGTTGTTTTGTTTTGTTTTTTAAATGACCTACCTACTTTAATGTCTAAATTTGACAGTCAGGGTGGTAAGGCATTTTTTCGGGGTGGCAGCACCCTATGCCACCCCTCTAGATCCGCCCCTGGAATGAGGAACTACATAAATGAGTCCCTGATGAAACTTACTTTGCACCTCCTCCTCTACTGTGGGCCCCAGAGAGGCTAGACATCGCCAAAAATTGCGAATTCATTCAGCAGCTTCTGTTCATTCAGCAGCTCGAGCACTGCAGCTAATTGGTTCCATCAAACAGGGGGTTGGTGGGTGCGGGGGAGAGGTTGGGATGGGGGGTTTTGCAGAAAAATCTTATGAATGAAACCCAGTCTAGTGACGTCAATGGGGACCGCTTGACGCAGGTGTCACGTGGGTCCTGGGAGGGCGGAGGTATAAGAGAGCCGCAGCCGCCTAAAAACAGACCGAGCCAAAGAGCGGAATCCCGGGAGAGGAGCGCAGGAGGAGACGGCAATAAACAACAATAACAGTGACGACATTTAAAATTAGAAAACAACTTTCACAACAATAACAACAGCTACCGCACAGTGCAACGCAGGCAGTGGGGTCTGTGCATGAAAGCAGAAGTCCCAGCTGCTTTGAGTGTGACGTGACAAGGAGTGGAAGCTGGAATCCCCCCGCTGCTCCACCTGAACTGCAAGTAAGTGTCAACTTATTTATTATTTTATATGTATTATTTTCTCTGCTGAAAAAAGCCTGAAAATCTTTTGAGAATGGATGATTATTGACACTAGAATTTTTTTTGAAAAATAATATCGATCACTCTGAAGCCAAAAACCAAAGCTCCTCTTTTTCTTCTTTTTTTATTTTCAGTGTGCAGAGTGCTTCACATCAACAAAATATATCAAAAATGTGCAAAAGTGGATAATTATTTCTGTTGTTTGTCAGTTTGGAGCAGGGTTGATAGCTCAATATGAGCCTCTCCCTACCTTAAATTTCATTTAAATGTATGAGAAATATACACTTTTATATTTTATTGATCATATACATTTGGAGCCAATGGTTCGTAGATATGTGGGCGGTTTTTAAATGTGTATTATGTTGTTGTGATGTTCGGCCCCTGTGGGATAATGTATTGTTAATAGGACTGCCATATTTCTTTGTTTATGGTCAAACAGAGGTGGCTTATCATCATCATCATCATCATCATCATCATCATCATCATCATCAACATCATCATCATCTTCACATTTAGCGTCATTTCCATCACTATGACTCACTTTTGCCAAAAAAAAAAAGGCAGGCAGCTTTGTGTGCGTTAAGGTGCGGTGATGTTGTTCTTACAGTGAAAATGTGAAAATGATGCCACAGAGACAGTGACAGTCTTTTGTCGTGTCTAAAATGTCTGCATAACACTGACGTCCATGTTTGCTGAGGGTTCACAGTTTGAGTGTGTAGGCTGCGGGGAGGTTACTCATGTTGACAGAAGTCTGGAGGTGGCTTTATGCTGACAGGTTGCTCTTTCGTCTTGCCTCTCAGAAGCGGATTATTAATCCGCTTTGCTGCTATAAACCCTGGTGGAATCTGCTCAGACCTGGTTAGAATGAGACCTATACAACCAAGCTGATTTGTTTGGTTGATGTGGAGGATAAGATCCATCACATTAGATCCTGCTGCGTGTTTGCACTTTATGCATCCCCTGTAATCCATTCACCTCCACTGCAGAATATGCCCAGATCAACCAGTCTGTTATTGGCTCTTGAAATTGCGTTTCTTTCATAAATGAACTTGTTTCTGAGATTTTAATTAAAAAAGTCTTTAGAAACACCTAATTTCAAAATTATCTCTAAAATGTCTACCACACACATTGTATCCTACTATTATATAATCAGGATCTCACCCTATGACAGATCTTTCTGTCTTGTCTCTATAAGAGAAGATTTTTATGGCGCTATAATAGAGAAAAGTACCCCGGACGTTTTTTGCAGTGAATAGTGTGGCGTGATCCCTTGCAGCGCGGCTGTAGTTCATAAAAAGACGAGCGATGTGAGCGACCTGGAGCAACACTGTGATCTTTTAAACCCGTTTGTGCACTTTACAGAAATCCAACACTGGAGAGTGGACAGAAATGGCAAGAAGCAATGGCAGTACATGTGCTGTAATGTTGGCTGCTGTAGCAGTCACTGCACTTGTTGCACTTCAACGCTGTGTCGATTTCAGCACCAAGGACAGCGGCGGGTCCCTCCACCCTCCAGCAGCATGAGGAGCCTCAGATGAGTGATAGTACTCTATCAGGAAAACAACCTGTGTTGCAGTGGCGCTTACTCCTGCTGCTCTTGGAGGGCCACACCTTTGCATGTATTCATCTCTCCTACTCTGCTCATGCCTGCTGCTGTGGCTTAGGAGGTAGAGGTGGAGGTGCCGCACCATGTCGAAGTGTCCTTGAGCGAGATACTGAGCCCCAAATAGCTCCCAATGTATCACGTTCGTCGTGCATGTTAACTGGTCCATCTACCTGATTATCTAAATTAGGGCTTTTCACTCGACCAAGAGATCTTCATTGGCTGGCTAGAAAAGGCACATGTGAAACCAGGAGGGTAACTCATTTCTCATACATTTCAGTAATAATATTACAGTTCCCCCCACAAAAACAATTAGTTAAAACTTTACTTTTGTTAGCAACCTTACTTTTGTTGAAATCCAACAATCCAATCACATCCTTGGATTCAATTTTGTAATTGTGGAGGAAACTAGTTTGGAAGATGAAAACGCACATTCAGCAGCTAGAAATATTACTTTTTTTTTTTTTTTACTGATTTGAACAAACAAAACTGGATTTTAATCATCATAAGTCTGAATTTTGGGAAGAAGGAACACAATTACCAGTAATATAACTAGTAGTGTAACTAATTACGGTTAGCAGGGAGTAATGAGTAATAAAATTACTTTTGAAAAAGTAATGAGTAATGAATTATAAATAAAAAACATTGTGTAACAAGCCCAACTTTAGTTAATGATTACTTAATCAAAACAAGTGAGGGACAAGTGAGGGACAACTTGATAATTATAGTATTAATAAGTACTTATTACTCATAATGATGAGTTACTAGAGAACAGACTAGGAGAGCCTATATTAATGAGTCATTAGGTAATGATTAGTCAATGAATGTCTGTGAAACTATCATACTGACCACTTTCTTCATAAGTTGTTCCTTTTTAACTCTGAACCAGCTGCTGAGCTGCACATAAAGGGATACACAATACTGAGTAATTAGACTACTAAGTTTCCTCATTATCTTACGATAACTTACTCTTTTTGTGGCCCCTGAAGTCATTTACTCCAGAATTATGAATATGCAAATTATGTATTTCTAAGGTTTTCCTGTCTCCTACCTCACTGTAACGTCCATTCTCAGTGGATGTGTGCTGGTGTTCTTCTGGTTTCTACATCACACTGTTGAAGTTGCATACTGGACCAGGTAAATTAACAGATACATAGATGGCTAGATGCCACTAAATCCTACACATTGGAGCTTCAATCAGCAGTACACTCATTTTTACTGAATAAAATACAGTCTAAAACAGGATCCAGCATGTTAATAGAGCAGGCTTCTGTAAAGATGTGGACACATCAGTTACTGGTTTCCCATTGTTTGGCCAGCCCCATTTCTTCCAGACCCGATGTTAGCATGGAGCAGCCATAAATCCAAGCTGGGCCAGCATGGTTCCTATCCGGCCAGTCAATTTGAACAATTTTGGCTTAGTCCCTCAAAATTAAATCCAATCAGACATCATTCAATGATGGGTTCAGCAACAAAGCAGAATTTTTTTTAGCAAGTTTTCAAATGCGCAGCCATTTCCAAGCAAATGTCCATAAGTTGATGATGTTGGACAATATTATGTCTATATGTTGTGACCACATCCAACCATTTCACTTACAATAAATATCAAATTAATTAAATAAATAATAAATGAATTTCCATATTCCATTGATATTTAGCACTTGTGCATTTCAATATTTTTTTTATTTTCATATTATGTTTAGACATGCCATGACACTCATCTATTCACCACCCTGACCTCCTATTTCCTGCAATGGCACTGAGAAGTAACACCTTGAGGTGCAGAATCATCTAATAAGGATACAATTTCTATGATACTGTGCTATGAAGTCAGAGATATTAAAACTGAAGATGCGTGTCTGTGTTTTTCTCTCCTCTAGGCATTTCTGATCCCATTCACTGCTCATAGCAGGGCCTGTTCTGAGTGGCCATGATTGGGTACCATGATGCCTCAAGTGCCCTTATCCTTCTGGTTCTCCTGACAGGGGCTTCCTTCCTCCATCTATCCACCCCCAATCCGATCAACACCCCTGAAGATGTCAATAAACCACACAGAGATACTCCTCCTGGGGTGATGGTGTCAGGGGATGGGCAAAGGATGGATGAGGAGAGACGATCTTTACGAAAAGAAGAGGCAGAGGAAGAAGAGGAGCTTTTTAAAGATGTGGATCCCAAAACACTAGCATCAGTTTTACTGGAGGCCCTGAATCGCTCACAAGTAGAGAGAAGGAGGGAGGGAGAGGAACACAATGGCATGGAAGAAGGGATGAAGGCTGAGACAGGGGAGGTTAAAAAAGAAGAGACGTACAGAGAAGTGAGAATTATGGAGGGAGCAGACCGAGACAGAGATGGACGACAGGAGTTAGAGCTGCTGATGGCTGCACAGGGGAAGGAGCGGGAGAGACAGGAGGAAGAAGAGAGGAAGAAAGCTCAGGAAGAAGAGGAAAGGTTGACAGAGAAGGTGACCAGTCGTACCACAAGTCAGACAGTCCAGGTCCAAACAGCGCAGCAGCCCGCTAGTCCTGAAGGAGGAGAGGAGAATGGGCAGGGTGCTTCCCCCCAGCAGGGACCAAACAGCAATGAGGAGGAGGAGCAGCTCAGCCCCGAGGAGCTAAAGAGCCTTGAGACCATGATGAAGGAGTTTCCTCGTTTGAACACAGCCACTAAGAGGGAAGGAGATTCAGAGCAAAACCAGAGAGAGAGCAGAGGTTACAGCAGCTACAATGACATTATACCCATCAACAAAGGCAGCAACCTTGTCATTTCTAAGAAGAAACTGAAATGGCAAGAGGAGACACAGAAAGCCCTGAACACTCCAACATTCAGGGGCGGCAATTTTATGACCGACTTTGAGGACAGTAATTATGCTGGCAGTAATGCCGCACAGTCCCAGCCTCGAGCAGAGCAGGAGGTAATGGAAGATGATAAACCAGAAGAGGAGGATGACGAAGACGAGGAGGTGTTGAGTCCTGAGGAGGAGGAGGCTCGGGCTAAAGCAGAGCAGGAGGAGATGAGGAGGCAGGCAGCCGAGGCACAGAGAGCAAAGATGGAGGAGGAGAAGTTGGCCGACATTGCCTCAGACATGCTGCTGCGCTACATGGTCAAACAGAATAACGGGAACAAGAAGTACGGCTCATCTCTGTCCAACGCCGTGGAGGACAAGAGGTCCGATGAGGAACAGGAGGTGACAGAGGAGGATGATATTGATCCCCAGACCATCGACAAGCTGATTGAGATCTCCAGCAAGCTCCACCTCCCTGCAGACGACGTGGTAGATATAATCAGTGATGTGGAGAAGAAGAAGAAGAAAGACGTGCCGCCTGAGATGACGTCTCATTGGCAACAACCTCTAACACCGCTGTCTTCTTCATTCTCATCCCCCAATGGTTTCCCAGCATCGCAGGTTTCAACCAATCAAAATAGCTTCCCCATATCTAAACAACCGTCTCCAGCTGTCAATCTCCTTAAAACATGGTTCCAGGAGAAATCTCCAACAAAATCGCAGGATCTCTGGAGGAAACTTGGGAAGCCTCTGCTGGCCAATCAAAAGGTCTGGCCCAAACCTCAGAAGCCTCTGTCAATCAAACAGGAACTCTGGCTCAAATCCCCCAAGTCTGTCTGGACTGGCAATCCTTTTTACCCCTACACATATCCATCTTACTACCAGAGGAGGCCCTATCCAGGCTACCACCCAATCTATTTTCCTCCTCCCCAGCGACACAGACCCCGTTACTACATGCCCAAACCCACTCACACCCTGAACAACTTCCTGGGAAATTCAGTGGATGACCCCTACACTTTGCCTCTCAGACGCCGTTACCATAGCTGGGTCCAGCCCCGGCTGAGAAAAACCCCTCCAGGACTCCAGCAGAAGCCTTACTACACAAGCTACCCTGTTCCGCTGTACCCACAGACATTTCAGCCAGTACCCATCCCCAAACCACGTTTTCCTGTCCGAATGCCTGTGATCCCTCCTCAACAGAAGCAGTATTATAACACAGCCCTAGCACCTGCAGTGACGAGAAATGAAGATTATTATGTGGCTGGAAAGCAGCCAGACAGTAGTAAACGTGACGATCTTGAGAAATACATACAGCAGATGCTCATGAAGGGACCACAAATATTGGACTGAAAGGGAGATGAAAGGAGAGCAAAAATAGAGGAAATGGCAAAGAGGAGAGATGAGCAGAAGGAGTGTATTTCTTTATGATTTTGTTTTGCTGGTATTTGGTTTTGTTTTACGTATGTTCTGTTCTCCTATTTTGATTGGTAGTGATTTGGACATAACAGAGGACTTTTTTTCCAGAGGTAGTCTGGATAAAATGGAACTTTGGAGGAAAGATACACATCTACAGTCCTGCAGAGGTGGGAAATCAGGATGAATGCGGTCTTTTGGAAAGCAGAACGCAGCAAAGATTTGTATCATGCTAGAACTTTTCATCCAAACTCCTGACACAAGAACATTCTCCATTTGGACATTTTACAATGCCAACAAAGGATGACGCTTAAATATGTTGTTACCTGTATCTTTAAAAGTCTCCTTCAGAATCAGAGTGACAATCGGATGGATTGTAGGCAGTGATGGATGCTGGAAAACATTTGATGGCTGATGGAAGTTTTCTGTCTAAACACAAAAAGAACATTTGTGTAATTATCTCGGGCAGGAAAAGTTTAATACTATTTCATGAACATAATCTCTCAGAAGTGACATACACTATATGGCCAAAAGTATGTGGACCCCCAAACATTCCAGCCATATGTGATAGTTAATCTTGTGATTCCAACCCATGGGCATTAATGTGCTGCTGTAACAGCTTCCACTCTTCTAGTTTCCACCAAATGTTAGAATCTGGCAGCAGGGATGATCTCCCATTCGACACAAGAGCATTAGTGAGGTCCAACACTAATGGTGGCTCACAGTTGGCATTCCAGTTAATGACAAAGGTGATAAGGTTTAGGTCAGGGTTGTGTGCAGTTCTTCCGCACCAAACTGGGAAAACCATTTCTTTATAAAGCTGTGTTTGTGCACAGGGGCATTGTCACGTTGAAACAGGAAAGGGCCAAACACAAACTAGCCAAACAGGAAAAAACAATCCCAGACCCCAGGGTGTCCACATACTTTTGGCCACATAGTCTTAAAGATGAAATCAAGATCATCATCTGGGAATAGCTCCATGCCGAAAGCATTTGCTAGACTTATCTCATCTTTTAAAATGAATACATTTTTATTCAAATGTGTCATTATTGTGATATTTGTTTTTTTTAAAAATCAGTTTTTCAGCAGAGCAGCACATTATCATTATGTATACTCACACATACCCACCAAAGCTCTTTATAATAAAATATAATGCACCAAAAAGCCTATTTCATAACAGAGCTGTGGAAGCCACACCAACACTGCTATAATGGCTTGGATGACTCATCCTTTTGCATAACTTCAATTACCTTGTTGCTATGGTGCCAAACCCTGGCCAAACTCTATATGGCATTCTTTTACAGTTGATGCCTTTAGAGAAGGATGCAATGGTGGAGGCATACTGTTCTTTTACTAAACACATTTATTTTAGAGGACAAGGATGGTGTTATTCTATTTTGTTTTTAAAACAAATTCCATGAAAAGACCAAACCATAGTTGTTTTTTTTTTTGTATCAAACATTACTCAAATGGGAGGAAAGCCCTGCATCCTACTGCCTTCCTGTCTTTTGTAATCTCAGTGTGATTAATTCAAATGGTGTCAAATTTAACACATTCATTTAGATTAATTTTAAAAATAGCATGTAAAAAAATTGAAATTACACCTATAATTCAAACTTTTATAGCCACATTTTAGACTTGTAACTAGACTTCAGAAAGAGAAAATGAAAATTAAATTTTGAATTAACACAATTTATTGATTTTTTAATGCCACCTTTAGTTATTTTTATTTATTACTTTCTATTTCTATTCAATGTGCAACAATAATTTCAAGAGTTCAAATATCTCATTTGGGGGCTTTTACAAGAAAATATTCATATGATTGTCCACCCCAAGACCTGCCCCTGGATTAATTGTACCAGTGACTTACTTCCAAGGTATGAATGATGTTGCACTCAATAAGAGGGATTAAAGCTGCAGTAGGTTATAAAAAAAATATATATATATTTTCATATTCGCTGAAACTTTCACTATATCCTGACAGTAGTATATTAGACAGATACTCTGTATAAAAATCAGGTTCTTCTGGCTCCTCCTAGTGCTCCTAATGGTATTTGTAAGAATCCACTAGGCCTGAATGAAAACAACCAATCACAGCCAAGAAAGATATAGAAACTCTTTGGGTGGGAGGCTTTATTATTAAATGTTTTGGTAGGGGCTTTTTTTGCCTTCATTGATTAGACAGCTCAAGATAGATAGACAGGACAGGGAGAGAGAGAGAGAGGGGATGATGCACAGCAAAGGGTCACAGGTCAGACTTAAACCCATGGCTGCAAGACTCAGCCTTCGTATGTGAGACAGGCAGATTAATCCATTTTTGGTATAGCTCTGCACATTAGATATGTGTATTTGTGATATAGAAGATCACCAACCATATCCTTTAAAAATATTCTCCATGGTTTCGTGCCCCTAAATTAGCATGACTTCACTCTTCAACATTTATTTTTCATTCATCATTATCAAATCAGAGTCTATTTTGAAAGTTGTTCCCATGACCTAAATGTTGCACAACCATCAGTCTAACATTTTATACATTTGTAGGTGAGAAGTTGTTTCCAAACTCTGAGTAGAAATCTGCTGCCTTTACATGTCAGCGTGACATCCCTACCATTACATTATGTTTTTTTCCTTTTGTACCATTTGATATTATCCAAGGCTGTAATCACTTCTGTAATGGAAGCCAGTGGGATGATGGGAATGATTCTCTGGAACTGGTTTCATTAGAGATGGGAACAATTTGCTCATATTCAGGTGAATCTAAGTTTGACTCACAATTTTAAAAACACGATGAAGGTATTTTCACTGCTTGGATTGGTTGACAGTGCTATAAAAATGATTGTAAAAAAAATGTTTAACTGCAAAAAAAAGGATTGAACTGCTGAGTTTTCCTTTCTTTACTTAAATGGCTACTGATAATCAGTAATCAATAAACACTTCTTTTTCTCTCTTTTACCCCTCAAATATGTCACTGGTAACCAGAGCAGATGTTGCTCTTTGGTTGGTCTGTATTGTTGACCTTTGTGGTCGTCTGTCTCTCAGCATCTTTGTTGCCAAGCTGGCAAAAGAATCCTGGCATCAATGGGCGCCTGGTTAGCTCAGTTGGTAGGGCTGGCGACCCACATACGGACTTGCTGCAGTGGCCTGGGACCTACAGCCCTTTGCTCCGTGTCATCACCTCTCTCTCCTCCCACCTTTCCTGTCTCTATAAAAAAACTTAAAGCCAAAAAAATAACAAAAGAAATAAATAAAGAATCCTGGCATCGACAATCTCATAATGAAATTATGATCAACATGCGGTCATTAGTCAAAAAAGAGAGTGAATGGAATGGAGGGTTAATTTGTAATGATTTATTGTTTTTTTTAATGAGATTATGAAAGAAGTTACAGATTAAGAAAGAGAATGGGAGAAAAAGAAGCAGCTGAGATATGACAGACCAGAGGTGAGGGTACAGTGTGTCTGCACGTTTATGTATACTTGCATCTAAAAATTGCTTCTTTGAAGACGTACAAGCATCAATTTAAAAAGTATAAAAAAATTAAAGATGACAGAAACAATGACGTTGTTGTACCTTAAAATCATTGTTTGAGTCATGTATGCGGCCAGTGTTGTCCATGGTCTTTCTAGATGTATCTTGTTGTAATCATCGTAATAAACATGCGTTTGCTGGATGTAAATATGCACATGTCAATGACTACTTTTGCTATACATAAAGAAACAAATAAAGTCAACTATTTTTATTACGAAAGTGCTTCATTGTGGACAGAGAAAATTTTTATGTGAGTGTGAATGGAGACAGCAAAGGTCTTGGAGAGCCATCTCATTGACACTCAGGTGTTCATATAATGTATATGAGTATGTGTGATATAACTCACCAGTTGAGGTAGAGGTGAGATTTAACGGAAGATACAGGAGCGATATCTTCCATTAAAGTGAATACACACCATTCAAATCAGAGATGTTGAGTTTCTCAGCAGTTGTGTGCCTGGTAGACATATCACAACATTAATAGAGATTAAAATGATCAACAACAGTGTTTTCAACAGTCTTTCTGTATTGAATTCCATGAACACCTGACTGACTGAGATTTCCAGGTACTGTGAGATAGTTATACAGGACTGTGACATGATGTTCCTGCCCAAAGTAGTTCGTATTGATAAAACTAATGGATGGATAGATAGATGGATGGATGGATTGATGGGTGGTTTTTGAAGCATTCACTATGTGGTTCCAAATCTTTTTCCTTAAGGGACCCCTTTTGTATCATAATGCCAAAAGTCAGTCATGGTAGAAGCAAAATATTAAGGAAAAAGGACAAAATACATAAGTCAACAACATTGTGCAGGCAAGACATCCCTTACACTCAAGAAATCCTTGCGACCCCCTGGAGTCAAGATCCCCAGGTTGGGAATCAGTGCACCATGTGTGTGAAAGAGAAAGACATTACGAATCATCATTAAGAAGATGAATATCCACAGCAAATCTCATTGAAATTCGAATTAATAATTCTTTAGAGAGTTGTCATGGACATAATTGTTGGTTGGGGAGAAGGAGCTGTGAGCAGCACAAACAGAATTCCATTCAGCTACACTGCTCTCCATATGTTTGTATTTTATTTTTTTTAAATGAACAAACATGATGTCAATGTTACTGTCACAAGATTGAGGCAAATAACTGCCTCAATTATAGTCTGGTATATTCTAAAAACTACACTTTCCTTCTGATAATAAGTCATGATAAATAAATCAAATCTAGTGTTACGAATGATAATCCTATGTGATCCCTGTAGTCCTTTGAGAGAGTAATTAAAGGTGGGAGGCAACAGAAGACAGGATTTAGCTTGCTGTGATACATCGTGCTGCTCAGGGTGGGGGTGTTCAGCAGGGTGATTAGAGGTTAGAGCAATCATGGAGGAGATGCTGGTTGTGGGCTGCAGGGACCAGGAACCACAAATGCATGTCCATGTCAAGGTTTGAGAAGCCTTCAGCCTTCTGATGACTATGGACAAGGATTTCCACAGGCTGTCAAATGATGTTGTGACAGAGACAGATGGGATGAAATGGGACAGGCATTAGTAAATGAGACAGTCAAAGCATGACTGGAGGTAAGGCTGAGACATAAGGTTAAAATTAGTTTGAGGCTGCACTGAAATAGAATCAAATGAAAGGCTGCTGATAAAAATAAAAGAGAAAGAGAAAGTGGAGGAACAGAGGAGACAGAGGGTGTGCTAAATGAAAAGGTAAAAAGTAACACAGGGCAGGGAGGAGGGAGGGAGGACTGGAGTGGTTGATGGTTGCAGCTCTGCCAATGGAGAGGTGCAGTGATTCATGATGTCACGTGGTGAAGACTGGGTGAGTCATCCACCAACATCATCATCATGCAGCCACTGCAGAGCACCCAAAACACACACACACACACACACACACACACACACACACACACACAAAAGTGCACACATTAGACATATGTATGCATACAGTAGCTGCTGGCAACAATGAACAGAAATGCTTACATTACACAAAACTCATGGTTATCTCTTGCTCACACACATACATATATATAATAGACCATCTCCAAGTAGTAAAGGGCCAGTGTGTAACATTTGAGAGGATCTATTTGCAGGAATGAAATATAATATTCATAGCTATGTTTTCATGAGTGTATAATCACCTAAAAATAAGAATCATGTTTTCGTTACCTTAGAATGAGACGTTTTTATCTACAGTACTGTCTATCATGTTGAACCGAAATGTTTCTTCCGAATGTCTCTTTTCCCCATCAAAGTGACAATATTGTTCACATCCTTCTACACCATCCCTTAAATCACCAAGCATTATTATGGAAGCCCATTTTTGCCATTGTGACGGGGGTCATGGTCATGTTATATAAATGAAAAATACAGTCCTAGAGGTTTTCTTTATGTGGGTGTTAAAGGACATGTCCTGATCAAAGATAACTCCAAGATTCCTAAAGGTGGTGCTCAAGGCCAAGGTAATACCATCTAGAGTAATTATACCTTTAGACAGTGAGTTTCTGAGGAGTTTGGGGCCAAGTACAAGAACTTCAGTTTTGTCTGAGTTTAACATCAGAAAATTGCACATCATCCAGGACTTTATGTCCTTAAGTCATTCTTGTAATTTAGCTAATTGATTAATTTAATCACTTAATTGATATGACTGGGTATCACCTACATAACAGTGAAAAGTAATGTAGTGATTCCTAATAATTTTGCTCTTGGGAAGCATATATAAGGTAAATAGAATTGGTCCAAGAACAGGACATTGTGGTACTCCATGACTAAGTTTAGTGTACATGGAGGATTCATAGTTAACATGTACAAATTGAGATCGATCTGATAAATAGGACTTAAACCAGCTTAATCTGGTTCCTCTAATATCAATTACATGCTCATGTCTCTGTAATAGAATATGATGGTCAATGGTGTCAAATGCAGCACTAAGATCTAACAAGACAAGTACAGACAAAAGTCATTAGTAACTTTGACCAGTTCTGTCTGTCCGTCGCCAAGTGCTTGCTCATGTTTGGTCTCTGTAAATAATGTTATAAAGAGTTTGGTCTAGACCTGCTCTATTTGAAAAGTGTCTTGAGATAACTTCTGTTATGAATTGGCGCTATACAAAAAAAACTGAATTGAATTGTCTCAGTGCTATAATGAACTCTAAATCCTGACTGAAAATCCTCAAATAAGCTGTTGTTATGTAGGAAGTCGCTGCAATGATAACCAAATTTTATTTAGATTTTTATTGTATTTACTGTATGCAAAACCAAAATGTCAAACTCCGGCCACATGACCCAAGAAATGTACTGATATAAACTACTAGCTAATGTTGGAGTGAGATTCTCTGCCAGGACCTGCGCTGGACTTATAAAGAACTTTTCATCCAGAAAGACAAGGAAGGTGGTGTATAGGGTGCTGTATAAGAGGCAACGGTGATGCCATTGCAAACTGCATCTTCTACAAAGAAATGTATGTGTAAGTGTAACAGACCTTTGTTTTTTGTCAAAGAGTAGTCTCTCTCAGTTTATGTGTTCAGGTAGGAAAGAAAGAGCATGTTAAGTAAAGCCATTTCTGTGGGCAGGCCTGGCTGGAAGACCTGGCTGGAAGACCTGCTGTGGGATGTGGCTGACCAGTTTGATTCACGATGGCAAGTAAAAAAAATTAAAAAAATTAAAAAAGTCATTAATTACAGAAGCGTATTGAATTCACTTGAGAAAAAAAAAAAAAAAACTATTTTTATTTTTTGGGGTTTTTTTTGTTTTTCTGAGTAATTTTTTTCTTAATTATCGAGATACTTCGAACTCCTGCCAGAACCTCCAACCTGCAAGTGACTCCCATGGACCTATGGTGACTCCTGCCCTCACATACATGCCCTATCTTCAACTATCTACCGTACCGGGTCAATTTTGCTATGTATATATTGCTATGTCTAGCAGACCTGAATGGGCTTTCCTTCTGAACAACCGCAAAGTCCTCAGGTTCCTGCGTAGAGTCGACAAACTAATGATAATACCGTCTATATGACTTAAAGACAGGACTATCTCCCAGTGTCTTAAACCCAGATCAAAAACTTGACTGAACTAAACAAGCCGGTTATGTTTGTTTTCATTAAATCGGGCTCTCAATAAAGGAATGAATGCGTCTATAGTTTCAAATGCTCTCTAAACTCAGAAAAAAAATTTCTACGAAAAACCAACCATAAAAAAAAATTACTCTGAAAAACAGAAAAAAAAATACTCCGAAAAACCAACCAAAAAATAAATTACTCAGAAAAACACAAATAATTACTCCGAAAAACCAACCAAAAAATAAATTTTCAAGTGAATGCAATGCGCTTCCGTAAATTTATCCTGTTTAACTACCACCTATCATTTATTTATTTGTTTATCTTGGAATCTATTTATTCTTTTGATTATTCATTTTTGTATTTATTTATTTACATTTATGGGTCCTGGAAACCTAACCAGTAATAACGGTACTACTGTTGTCATTATGTAAAGATTTGGTTAGGCCTGTAGTCCAGTATTAACAACAAATAGAATGAATGGACAACAACACTTACTACATCTTGGACGACTCGGATCAATGGTAGCGTGGCCGAGCGGTCTAAGGCGCTGGATTAAGGCTCCAGTCTCTTCGGGGGCGTGGGTTCGAATCCCACCGCTGCCATAATTTCTATTTTAAGAAGTAAAGTTGTTTAACTTTTGATTTATTCTCGTGTTTACAAAAACTACATCAACGGCATACCGAGTTTGAAAGCTTTTAAAATAGATTATTGTGTCATGGAACGTGTAAGAATGCTTCCTTAAGCATTACAGGCAGTATTTATTTAGGTCGATTTCAGTAACCCGGAAGTAGTTAGGCTCCTTGCCTTCAAATTAAAGCGAGAAAGACACACTTGGATCGTCTGTGCACTTTCTAGTTTGTGGGGGCTTTTAAATGATATAAGGTGTGTGCGTGTTTGTGTGTGTGTTGACAAGATGCTCCGTACTTGGACCACAGGCCAGAAATGATGGAGCCTAATTATAGATTCAATTATGGTGTTTTATAGTGGATAATGGTTAATGGATGGTGCATTAATGCAATAATTATCATTAAGATAAGATATACCTTTATGAATCCCCCATAGGAGAAATTCAAATTACACACAGCAGCACTGGGGAATAAAGTGCAATAAAAAGAGTACAGTGTACATACAATCGTATCACAAATTCGAATATTACAAAATATAATCTAAGTATGTTTAAAACTAAACTGTACATGTGCAATTTAAGAAAAATAATATAAGTTTGGTTGAATTAAAAGCAGTCCTGGTCAGAGGGGGCTGGAGGTACTGGGAGCAGTGGCGTTGTGGAGTCTGATGGCTGATGGTACAAACGAGCCTCCAAACCGCTTCGAGGCTCGGGGCTGGGTCAGTCTGTAGCTGAACGTGCTCCTGAGCTGCCTGAGCTTTGTGTAGAGAGGATGAGAGGGGTTGTCCAACATACATAATACAGAATTGTATAAAAGGTTCCCTAAACAGGAAATAATCTGATCAAAATCCATTCAAATCACTCCTTTTATACATACTTTTTGCACCTACTGTTCTCTTTTTTGGTTAATTGTACAGTTTGGAATATAATATGGAATATCCATCAAATGTCCGTCACTAAGTCTGCGTCATCAGTTAACTATGGAAGCCCATTTTCGCCAATATGATGGGAAAAAAAGATTATGTAAAAAAAAATATACTCAATCCTTATTTTGAGAAACTAAGTATTTTTGCTAAGTCAATATTTTGAGAAGGTTTACAGAATCCTTTTTTCCGTCACATTGGCGAAAATAGGCTGGTTGGGAACCACCGTGGTAAAATGTATGCAAGTTAGCGAGACAACGCTTATTATTCTGAAAATATTGCACCGGAAGTCGCATCGATGTTTTCATTACGGCGGAATTGTGAGGCAGGCACATAGTTTACATTCAGGTTAACGTTAAAATTATGTTTATGTCAGGTGAATTAAGTTAACAGACACATCTCTCCGAACTCTTTCAAGTCGAGTCTGCTCGTTCAGCTCGGTCTGAAGTAGCTGAGCATTGGTGAGTCGAGATGAAGCCGCCCCCTCGTACACGAACTAAACCGAATCGCAGTCTGAAACATGAGTCGGTACCGCGGCGTTCACGTAAACCGGCTTTTAAGTGGCAGCGAGTGGAACAGAGGAAGCTACTGAATGCCCTGAGAAGACTCGGCAGGACCGGAGGCACCCTGGACATGGACTATGCTTCCCTGAGGAAATATGTGTTTACTCGGTCCATTTCAGAGGTAACCGTTCCAGTAGTAACGTCAGTCTGTTCTCATAGATTTGGAGGGACATTACAGACCAACTGCAGTTTCACCAGGATGAATATCACTTTATTGTTCCATATATATTTTGACTAAACAAACTTTACTGATTGGTAGTTTTCCTAAAGGGACATCTCTGCTACGAGAACATTAGATAGACTGTATTGATCCCACACTGGGGTAATTCACTTGCTGCAGCCGCTCCGGATACAACACAAGAGATTAAAAAAAAAACACATTAAAGCTGCAGCATTTAGCTTTTTTTTAGATTATCTGTCTCATGAAATACTGTCAGGATATAGAGGAAGTTTCAGCAAATATGACAAAAAATGACCTACTGAAGCTTTAACTGGCAAAATATAAAAGAATGCTTAAATTACCTTTATGATTTCTCAGAGATATCATCTTCACATCTTCTTTGCCCAGCCTACAGTCCAAAACCCAGATGTGTTTCCAGTCCGGGACCAGATTGGCAATCAACCAATCGATTAATATGAATATGAATATGAATATGAAAATGAACATTTCGTTAGCACCTAGGTCAAACCCTGATTTGGGTAGCTTTATGTATTTATAAAGGCGTGTGGACGTTCCCTTTCTACTGTTAGGTTCAGTCTTTGGTGGAATCTCTGAAGAACAAAGTGATCTCATGTGCCAGCTTCGCACTGAGGCAGAAGAGATGTGAGGAGGAGAAGGTCAGAAAGCCCATCGAGGTGTGGACACACATTGCTTCTACTGTGGCTGGAGCCCATGAAGAAGCCATTTGCACCGCCTTCTCCCAGGTACGGCAAGCCAGATACTGATAAATCAGGGTGGGTTAGGTTGTTCTTATTAGGGACTGAGCCAGCGACCGCTGGAGGTCCCTATTGTTTTTGCTAGAATTCTTCTTACGTATTATTAGGGATCACGCACTGACCACTGCAAGGCCCAATTGTTTCCCTAGGAATTATTAGGTTAAAGTCAGTCATTTTGAATTCCGTGCTCATTTTCTGTGATTTTTCGCCTTGTATTTGAACAAACGGGGGAACAAACAAAGGGAATTTATCGGATCAACTTCAAATTTAATCAGTGCAATCTAAAGACATTCATGATTAAAAGTTGTGCTTTTACGCCTGTGGCGTTGACGTAATGCTATCACTATGCTATCACTATGTCTGAATATTGTCATGTAGACGTGTTCAGGGTGGGACTCTTATCAAACACGTGAAGTTTCGTTGAGATTGGATTATGTACGCTGAAGTTATGAGGACGTGTTCAGGGTGGGACTGTACACTGAAGATATGAGTACTGTCCGTTTGATGGCCAATCGGTGGAATTCGACACGTCGTCACGGGCACACGGTTAAACATACAGTCACAAATAGCACAACTTTTGATAACCAATGTGTGTAGATTGAAGTGATCGAATTTGAAGTCAATCTGATAAAATCTGTAGGAGGAGTTAGTTAAAACAGAAGCCCTTAAATGCCGGAAATAGCATCACAGTTTGACATTCGATTCAACCTGGCCAACTTTCAGGGCACGCCACGGACACGCCCTTCAACGTACAAGCACAAATAGCACAACTTTTAATCAGGACCATTTTTTGACTGGACTGACCAATTTTCAAGTAGATCCGATAAATTCCCTAGGAGGAGTTGGTTCAAATAGAACGCGAAAAATTCACAGAAAATGCACACGGAATTCACTATGGCCAACTTTGAGGGAACGCCACGGATACACCCTTCAATGTACATGCACAAATATTTAATCAGAACCATTTTTTGACTGTACTCACAAATTTTGAAGCATATCCGATAAAGGAGGAGTTCGTTCAAATACAACTCGGTAAGTTCGCCGAAAGTGAAAATGAAAATCAAAATGGCCGAACTGTGGGGTTTTGGGTATGGGTTCAAGAGGCTTTTTTTGTATGTCCCGGCATGTTACATGTACCTACCGAGTTTTCGTACATATCGGTGAAACGTGGCGCCGGGGCTGCTGTTTTTTTATCCTGTAGGGGTCGCTACAAACACGACGAACACGATTTTTGGTATGTGAGCTTCAGACACCACTCTACACGTGCCCTGTGAATTTCATATTCATAACTATTACGGTCTCTGCACAGTTATTTACCATGCCACCAGAGCGCCACCCAGTGGCCTGATTTTTTTTCCCTTTTTAGGTGAGCCTCTGGGAGCCATGGGCAAGCATCCTACCAAGTTTCATTTTAATCACACGTGCCGTTGCAGAGATATAAACTTCTTCATTTTAAAAAGCGCCATCTAGTGGTGATGGTCTGAAATTGTGCACGGTGCCTAAGGAAGACATGAGGAACTATGGACCCAAGTTTGATGTCAATCGGACATACCAATGTTGAGAAATGGTCCTCTTCCTTTTTTTGACGAAAAATGTAGAGGAAGTCTTAATTTTATAGTGGGCTTATTTTTTGAAATTTCAAAAATGTTCAAATTACTTTTTTTGCCAGGGCGGTCCCCAGGTGCTAGGTGAAAAATTTCGTGCGAATCGGACAATGCGCGTAGGAGGACCACGAAAAAGTACTTTAAGGACATTTCGCGCTCTAACGAAAAAAAATTATAGGCAGAAGTGGGCGGGGCCTATATGGAGAGATTCAGCTCCATTCACCGAACGTGTGGATATAAGTTTTTTTTGAATGTGCGACAAAATATGCAAAAGTTATTAACTAACCAAAAATATGTTCAGGGGGGCAAAAACACGAGCAAAGGCGCTAAAAATAATAGGTAAGAATAATAATAAGAAGAAACATAGCAAATACAATAGGGACCTCCAGCGGTCCCTGTCTCGGTCCCTAAAAAAACACACACACACAAACATAGGCTCACCATTGTTGAAGTTGTGTACTACACACTAGTTCTCATGGATGAATATCATAACTGTAAATGCTAGAGGGCTGTCGCTTTTTATTTCTTTTGTGTTTTGTTTGTTATGCTGAAGGCAAAAGAATAAAAAAAATCTAAAAATCATTCAACTCTCTGTTGACTGTGAATTTCATTTTTAGCTGTAACTTTCAAAAATACCAAGCCATAAAATTTTACAATGAGGCAAACATGTATCCACTGTACCAACTTGGTTGTGGAATCATTCGCACCACCTTGAATCTCTGATCTCCCTCCTCCCACAATCCTCCTCTCCTTGTGTTTCTTAGATGCTGATAGTCTCGTCCACAGAGCCGTGCACCCTGAGGAACTGTGACCCTCCACAGGACCACAGACCACCCACAGACAGGCCTGTTGGTCGCACCGTGCCTTTGAGACCAATGCCTTGTTCACCAGTCCAAGGTATGGACCTGCAGTTCCTCTGTGTTATCAGATTTACTAAAATTTGATTTTGAATAATTTCCAACTGATAAAACAGAGCCTCCTCCCTGAACGCAGCTATTTTAATTCAATATAATGTTATGCCTTTTAAGAGGCAGAAACCTCGGACAGACCCCGGCTCTAGGTGAATGGCCATCTGCCTCAACCAGTTGGGGGGGGGGAGAGAGAGAGAGAGCAGACAGAGACAAAAGAAACAACAACTATACTAGTGATGATGATGATGATGGTGACAATAACAATGACAATAGCCACAACGATGGGGAAGCAGAGCCTCCAGATGCCACGCCACGTCAAGTCATGTGACGTCACCCCACGCCCAAACCCTCATCGCCGGAACCCGAGGGATACTGCTCTACATTGTCACGCGTTTCAGACACCGTGCAAAAGACTTTGCATTCATAGCGAGGCTCTTCACTGCGAACCTTGGAAATTCAGCGCATTCAACATTCAACATTCAACATTTTCTAACTGTACTGACCTATTTTGAAGTAGATCCGATAAATTCCCTAGGAGGAGTTTGTTCAAATACAAGGCGAAAAATTCACTGAAAATGACCACGGAATTTAAAATGGCCAACTTTGACGGAAAGACACGGACACGCCCTTCAACGTGTGTGTGTGTGTATATATATATATATATATATATATATATATATATATACGCTTCTTCATTATAAAGATCGCCACCTTGTGGCTGTGTGGATAACCTGAAATTGTGCATGATGCCTAAGGAAGACATGGGAAGACTATGGACCCAAGCCTGGTGTCAATTGGACATACCAATGTGGATAAATGCTCCACTTCCTGTTTTGACCATAATGTACAGGAATTTTGCTAATTTTATATTGTGCTTATTTTTTGAAATATCAAAATACTTTAAATTACTTTTTTTTCCAGGTGACAAGTTTCGTGCGAATCGGACAAAAGTGCATGGATGGAACATGAAAACATAGTTTATGGACAAAAAAATTCTAGGTGGAAATGGGCGTGGCCTATATGGGGAGATGCAGCTCCATTCACCGAACGTGTGGATATAATGTTTTTGAATGTGAGACAAACGATGCAGGAGTTATTAGCCTAAACCTACTTTTCTTAATAGTAGCAGCACCTAGTGGCCGACCTGAAAGCGACACATAGAATATCTAAGTTACACCAGGCCTGACCACTTTGCCAAATAAAATTGCACTTTCATATATGTTCAGGGGGGCAAATTAGCAGTCAAAAAGTCCTACAAATAATAATAATAATAATTTAGCAATTACAATAGGGACCTCCAGCAGTCGCTGGCTCGGTCCCTTATAATAATACGGTAATATCAGTAGTATTATAGTATTAGCAGTGGGAGTCAAGCAGGACCATGGCAGCAGTCACCGCCAGGATCCATGAGAATCTGTGAGATGAGAAAGCACAAAAATGGAAGTAGTGAAGTTAGTAACATGCATTAATGGGGCATTAATGTGTGCAGATAGAGAGGAAGAGAGGAGCTCAGTGCGTCATGGGAAATCCCCTGGCAGTCTAGGCCTATAGCAGCATAACTAAGGGATGGTTCAGGACTCACCTGATCCAGCCCTAACTATAAGCTTTATCAAAGAGGAATGTCTTAAGCCTACTCTTGAATGTGGTGAGGGTGTCTGCCTCCCGAACCACAACTGGAAGCTGGTTCCACAGGAGAGGAGCTTGGTAACTGAAGGCTCTGGCTCCTGTTCTACTTTTAGAGACTATAGGAACCACAAGTAGCCCAGCATTCAGAGAACGTAGTGTTCTAGTGGGGTAATAGGGTACTTTGAGCTCTTTAAGATATGAAGGGGCCTGATTCGTGTTGGCAATGAAATATTTACCATGCTCCTCAGTAATTTAACTCATTGTTTTGAATGGCTTTTTAACCTTTGGGAAGTTGCGGGTTCAAAGATGAGATAAATTGGAGTAAAACAATGTGCTCCTTTTTATCAGAAAAAAGTCATACTTCAGTCAAGTCTGACTTCTCTGATGTCCATTGGAAATGTCTCTAAAATTGTGTCTCTTTTGTGGTCTTTCATGTTTCTTTGAAGTAATTTTGTGTCTCTTTTGTGGAGTTTTATGTTTCTTTATAGTCATTTTGTATCTTTTTTCCACATTAGGTGATCGTCCTGGCATCAACATAGTCCATCCTTTCCAGGTATTTAAGACTCCAGCACCGACCTTTGGCCCAGTGGTTAGACAACCAAACAGTGCGATCCTTCCACCCCAGCAAAAGCATTCTACCACAGCTGGAACCTCACCTGCTGTCTCCTCCACCCCTCAGTCTGCTGCCACCTCCTGCCAGCCAGGTGCAGCAAAAATACCAGTTGCGCCTTCTACATCCCAACAACCTGCCTCACAGACTGCGACCCCGGTTTCAGGACAAGCCACATCCAGTTCTAGTTCTGCAGCAGCGGTAAAGACTGCGAGTGTTGGCAGCTCTGTAATCCAGACTACACAGCAGCCCTTAGAGCAACACCCCACCACCATCTCTACCACATCTATTTCAAATTCCACTTCATACAGTCCTCACTTGCCATTCTGCTCCTCTGCCACCAGTCTCACTCGAGTAACTGCACCATCCATTGCCTTTTCCAGTTTAGCTACTAACGGCTGCTCCTCCAGCTGCTCCGTTCCCCCCCTATCCACATCCGCTGCAGCATTTCATGCCAAGTTTGGTCGCACCAGCAAACACGCCACAAAAGACAGTCCCAGGATGTACGGCCTCAAATGTGTAGTGGACTTTGAGAGGATCTATCGCTACCTGAGTGCCATACACAATCCAAATGAGGAGTGTCATCTCACCCCCATGGGTGAGTTGTAGATTTCAAGATTGATGTCATCTGAAAGTGTACTTTAATGTTTACGTCATGACAGATATTTAGACAGGTCCTCTGCAGCGGCAGTCGCGTTTAACATACAACATCCTTTAAACGCGTGGCGTCCCGTGTGGTGCAATTTCAAACCTTCGCCATGAAAGACGCATTAATTATAACTTCTGCGTACATGATCCGACTGCAACGAAACTTCACTTGTCTGATAAGAGTCCCGCCCTGAACACGTCTATGTGATAATATTCAGTAATAGTGAGAGCGCCACCTAGTGGCAACAGGAAGTATCACGTTTTATACTTTCATGTTCTACTCCTAGCAGGATGATAAGACCGAGAAATGTACTTATAAAATGCAAAACACATTGTTGATGATATGTGATGACTGCGGTGAGGGGGCGTGTCTTTGGCGTGGCGGGAAATTTTTATGTACCGCCACAAAACACGAATTTGCTATAACTTGAGTGTACATTGTCCAATCGGCTCCAAACTTCACATGTCTGATAAGAGTCCCGCCCTGAACGCATAGTGATAGCGCCATCTAGTGGCAACAGGAAGTTAGTGTTGCGTGGGGTTTCGTGCGAATCGGACAAAAGTGCATGGATGGAACATGAAAACATAGTTTATGGACAAAAAAATTCTAGGCTGAAATGGGCGTGGCCTATATGGGGAGATGCAGCTCCATTCACCGAACGTGTGGATATAATGTTTTTGAATGTGAGACAAACGATGCAGGAGTTATTAGCCTAAACCTACTTTTCTTAATAGTAGCAGCACCTAGTGGCCGACCTGAAAGCGACACATAGAATATCTAAGTTACACCAGGCCTGACCACTTTGCCAAATAAAATTGCACTTTCATATATGTTCAGGGGGGCAAATTAGCAGTCAAAAAGTCCTACAAATAATAATAACTTTAGCAATTACAATAGGGACCTCCAGCAGTCGCTGGCTCGGTCCCTTATAATAATACGGTAATATCAGTAGTATTATAGTATTAGCAGTGGGAGTCAAGCAGGACCATGGCAGCAGTCACCGCCAGGATCCATGAGAATCTGTGAGATGAGAAAGCACAAAAATGGAAGTAGTGAAGTTAGTAACATGCATTAATGGGGCATTAATGTGTGCAGATAGAGAGGAAGAGAGGAGCTCAGTGCGTCAGTGCGCCGATTTACGTGACATTTTCGCGTTGTGGTCCGCGCTTGTTACGTCGGCGCGTGGCCGCAGCACACCCCGACAGCTCGTGACGCGGTCGCCGCACACCCCGACGCGCGCCGCGTGCGAGATCCCGTCCAACGCTGCTTGCAGCTTTAATTGATTATGTTTTTCTTAGAAGCAACTTAAACTTCATGAGACAATTCCTCTACAACTCCATATACTAATATTGTCTTGTGTCCTGCAGAGAGTGCTATTGTGTTGGATCTGTTGATGTCTCTCCCAGAGGAACTTCCCAAGCTGGACTGCAATAAACTGCACAAACATCTGATCCAGGTACAACTGACTGCAAACTACTTGGTTCCTCACTGGCTACAGTAAAGCTAGTACAGAGTTAAAAGATGTGATTTTTTTCTGTATTTTTGCTTTGGAAATGAGGTTGGGCCCTTATCTTTACTACTTCCATGTGCTGACGACTATTCTATTGGCCTCTGGTCAGCCAAATCCACGTAAGATGTGTCTTGGAAAGTTTACATGCTCAGTAAATGTGTGTTCAAATCAGTTTAAACGTACAATATGTAATTTCTGCTGTTATGGGATCTCTCACTTCAAAACAATAACAAAAGATGAAGTTTGATGATTTGGTGAAGTAGCATGGAATCATTGAAGTTGGGGAGCCCAACTATCCACAGAAATGAATGGATGATCAAAACCAGTAAAAACATTGAATAGGGCAGTTCCCCCTCAAAAACCACTGTTTCTCCTACAGAGAAGGGCTGCTTGTTTTTCTGATAACTTAAGATCCAGACGTCCAATGACTAAAATCCTTCATCCGGTTCTAATAAAAGAGTTAGAAACCACCAAGATCTAAACAGTGGATGGTAAAAATGTGACTTCAAACTGGATAAAAAGTCAATGTATGATTCTGGCAGACAAACAGTGCTGAAGCATGCACAAAGGGGATATGACACCATTGACAAGTGAGCGATGAAATGCACCTGAATTAAATGTACATTTGGGATAATGTAAGTACACAACTCAACAATATATATAATATAGGTCTATTGTTTATAGACAGTTGCAACAGTGCAGAATGTTATAGCTTTAATATTATAGAAGGGAAATGATAAATAATCTGCTTTACTTCCACTCCACACTGTGTTCTGTGGCAGACTGCTGTCCCAGTCCAGCTCAACCAACAGACTCAAAAACTCTTTCGTCCCCCTGGCCATCAAACTGTACAACAGCTCTCAGTAAAGGCAGGGAGGACAATAGACAATAGACAATTTCTACCTCCATTTGCACTGTTTACTGTTTGCACTGTTTACTGTAGTGTGTAGTTTACTGTTATTTTTATGTATATATATGTGTGTGTATATATATATATATATATATATATATATATATATATATATATATATATAAATATTTTATCTTTTATTTTATTTTTTATTTTATTCTTAGGGTTAGTGTTTCTAATTTTAGTTTAATGTATGTTTAATGTATTTAATGTATGTTTTGTATTTTGTATGCTACTGGATACTTGAATTTCCCTTAGATAGATAGATATTTTAATTATCCCATCTATCTATCTATCTGTCTACTCAATACCAGCACAACTCTCACACTCTCAGACCTCCACCAAGGAGGCAGCTCACTGAGATTGTTGAATAAAATCTGTAAGTCAGGGAGTGTAATTGCAGAAATAGTCATGACTGGCCGGAAATACTCATCAACTTTTACAAGTTCTGATGCTTACGTTTTCCAGTCGTGGAAACACCTGGAATATCCTGGAAATAATCTACATTGTCTCAGAAAGTTTTTGTTGAGTTTTAGCCCCTCACTCACATCACCTACATAACCCAACGTGTATATTTAGTTTGCAACGAGGACAAGCTGCATGGCGTGACACTTCAAACTGGGTTCACCACATAGAAATTGAGAAACATTTTCAATTTGAGCCATGTCCTTCAATCTAGCTGTTCACACTAGACACTGAGTGGAACGGACTTGCTGAAATCTTTTCAGCATCATAATTAATCCGTTACACTTCATCATGATTCCCACATCATTCAAGAAAAAATCCTGGGAAAAGTCCTAGAAAGTTCCTGGAATATAATTCTTTAAAGAGGGGAGCCCTGTATTGTGCATGTGACACTTGGTTAAAACTACAGTTCACAGAATTCTGGGGCAGCAAAGCAAATCGTTGTTGTTTCAGTAAAGAAGTCCATCATTCTTTGAGCAACCATGATCTGACATAATGCTGCACACGGCATGAGTCTGTGCAGCGAAAGTAACAGTTGTTGGTTAACGTTACTTTGCTGAGATGTTGAAGATAGAGCTTGCTAAATACAGTGGCATATTCCATGGATCTAACTGCACGGAATTAGACACGTCGAGGCTTCCAGCACCTTAGCAAATACTCCGGGTGGACGAGAGGACAACATTTACTTACACACTGAGTAGTCTTTATTTATCAACCATCCTTAACAAGCACTGAGTATTATGTCTGGCTGTGGTACAGGAACAAGGCAAACAAAAAGACCCAAAGTCTAGGTACAGTATGTATAGTTATTGTTGTGGCCAGCTAGTTACACCATCCTGTGAGGTGAGTTGAATCCAGCCTTTCCTGGAAGCAGTATGTACCACTACAGACCTGGTACATACCAAGCTTGCCAAAGTATTGGTCCAAAAACGTTTTTTTTTGCAGCTTTAGCTATGAATCAGCCTTACAGCTCTCATTTTCATGTCTTCAGGTGCACCAATGTCTCTCATCCCCTGCTGACTCCAAGACTGCAAGAAACATGTTAAAAGACCTGAAGGATGGACTCTGTGATCAGACAGGGGCACTGATCGGTCGAGACAGCGACACAAAAAACAGTCAGCAGAACACCACTCTGACCACTGACAGTAGTGAGGTCACAGAAAGCGGAGGGAAGAAGCTGCAGCCAAACAAGGCTGAGAGCCAATCATCAAGGAATAGTAACACATCCAGCCAATCAGTGGGAGATGCAGACATGATGGGATTGTGCCCTCCCTTGCTCAACCCTTTTATGGTGCCCATGAAACTGTTGAAGCTCAGATAAGACACAGAGTTCAACATTGATAAAACAAATGTGCAATGGTTTGTAAAACGTCTCAATCCTGATTGTGTTATCTCACAGTAGAGATACTGTATGTGTATTTATTTTACTGGGAAACAGAAACCTACGGGACATCTACACAGTGTAATCTCACAGTAGGGATACTGTAGAGATCATTCATTATAACTACTTTATATACTAAACAAAGATACTTTTACGGGTAAAAAGAACTTGCAGCTGTGGTTGCCAGAACTTTACAATAATAAATACGGTAAAGGGATACAATTACGGTGCGGTACTGTTGAGTTTTAATCCATATTTTACTTAGAAATAAAAGTTTTTACCATCTAAAGAAACGGTTTTGCCATATCAAATAAAAAACATGAATGCTACGACAATGGTTTTCTGTGCAATTTACTGTCATATAAAAAGACAATTCAATTGAAATCAGGACAGTGGTCGAATGAGAACAAATCATTTCAAAAGGCTTGTTCCACACCCACCGGCTGTGTACTTGTATTGTTGTACTTTTTTATTTAAGTTAAGGTTATTTTTTTAGTTTACTTAATTAAATCATGAAAAGTATTTTATGTGATTAAATGGCTATCTTTCAGGATTAAGTAATTCTGTTTGGCCAACTGAATTAGTGTAATGTTACAACTGTAAAATGAGTTGGACCAACCATATTAAATTCAAGTCAGATTTAAGCTTAGTAATTTAAATCAGTCTTACTAAATCAAGTTGACTAATTTCAAGTTAGTTAAGTTTAACCAACATAATAGCTTAATGCACTAAGAAAACCATTTAATCCTGTAAAATACATCACATGATTTAAATAACTTAAGAGTTAATTGTTTGAGTGTACGTTGGGGGAATTTTGACCTTACCTCAGTAGTCCTGCCTCACTCACTCTCAAAATCCTGGCTACAGCCACTGAACGTAACTGTCAGTAAAATATAGCGGTAGTGGTTTAGATCTTTCAAAATCACAAATTCTGAAAATCACATTTAACATATTTATTTGGGTGTGAAAACTGAACTTAAAACTTAAAACAAATTAACATGAAGTAGTGTTCACCTCATTTCAAGGTTACACTTTAAAACAGCTATATTACTGTGTAGGTCAAGTGCTCTGTTTATGACTGGGGAGTGTAAAATGTAAATATTGGAGGAGTATATTGTAATATTTGTCAGGCTTTATTGTAGTGTCTGTTAAGATGAAAGTGAACCCACCTTTTTATGACAGTATGAGAGCTATTTCTTCTTTCTCCTCGCTCACCCTTACCTTATTACACATGATTTTGTGATGGCTCTGCTATAAACCTTTGACCCCTCCAGCAGAGAAATGTAAGTGGTGACTTGTGGATTCTATTATAATTAACCATTAGCCCTGCCCATTATTGCTGCAGTTATTATATCTAAGCACTGATAAGTTGTATCACATCTGAAGCCATTGTAAAATTCTGAAAAAGATACTTTTGATAACTGAGAAACAAGCACTCATACCATTTACCTGTGACATAACCACCACTTAGCAGGATTCAATTTAATTTAAGAAATAAAGTGTTAGAAACTGAAATTATCTTTAGACATTTGCTTTATAATGTACCACAATAATATAATGTTTTTACTTTGTTTTTCATTTTGTGAACTAAAAACATATACAAGACAAACATTCCCAAGCCTGGCAATTTTAACAATAGTCACAGTAAATAATATATATATATATATATATATATTTTTTTTTTTTTTACTAAAGTAAAACATTTAAAAAAAGGGAGAAATATGTAAATTAGATGCACACACACAAAATAAACTACAAAAAAAATAAAAAATAGGGGGGGGTGTGTCTCCAGATTCTCCAGTTAAAAGTTAAAAATTAGGAGGCCGATGGCAGAGTGGGGGTGATCTCAGCAGCACTAAGTCTGTAATTACCACAGTCCAACTGATCTTTACCTTTCTTTGGGATTAAAGAAATTGAGGCTTGACGGACAGAGAGGGGCAAGAGTCCACTTTTAAGAGCATCATTAAACATGTCAACCATAGGTCCTGCCAGGATGTTGTGTGTGGCTTTGAAGAATTCAACCGAAAAACCATCTGGGCCTGGAGCTTTGCCAGATTGCATAGACTGAAGGGCGCAGGAAATTTCCCCAGCGATGAGGGGCAGGTCAAGCTGAGCCTTACACTCAGGAGAAATGGTGGGTATTTCTTTTTTTTTTTCAATTATCTTTTTATTTATTTTTAACATTTCAGTAACATAACGGACAGAAGAGGAAAAATGAATAAAATAAAATTATATATATATATATATATATATATATATAATAACAATAATAAAAAATAATACAGCAAATTAAATCAAATCAGTCCATGGTCACAGATCACAGTTCATCCTTTGTGTATGTTATGTAAACATGCCAAACCCTATTATGATACGGTAGTGTCAGAGGTCCATAAGCGGTTCCCATATCCTTCGGAAGGCATCCCCCTTATTCTTTAGGGTGTATGTGCGTTGTTCCAGTCTTAAAGTTTCATTTAGGATTTGTTTAAACAAATTAAATGATGGAGGTCTTTGTTGATTCCAATTGAGCAAGATGCATTTCTTTGCTATATAGGACATTATGATAATCCTTTTCCTGCATGTGGTGTCCAGTGTCTTGTCCAATTCCGTACCAAAGAGGTACCATGTTGGTGTAATGTCCAGTGGGTTTCCACAATCTTAACAGTTAGATCAATTCGTTGTTCATTAGCTGTTACATCTCGTTTAATTTTACCTAAATTATTCTCCATCACCAAGATAGAGTTCGCCAGCTCCCCCAGTTGGTTATTTATTCCGTCCAGCTTCGAGCTGAACTCGGAGCGGAGTGATTTAAGCTCATTTAGCACGTCGGCTACATTAGCCATGCTACTAGCTTCGGCACTCTCGACCGGAGATGATGTCTTCGCGCTTCGTGAGCTTGTTTTGCGAGCGCTCGAGAAGATGTCACACTCCTTTGCTACTGGGGGTTTAGGCATCATTTGTATTATGTAGTTGACCAGGTTTGCAAAGTTCTGGGGCTGTTTTGTGTGCGAGGTTGTAGGGAGCCGTCACACTATGCTGCCACCTGGTGGGTATTTCTATATCACCTAAAAACGAATCCAGTGCCTGTGCGTCCGCACTTGAACCTGATTGATAAAGGAGGGAGTAGCAGTCTGAGAAGCAGCAGATGTCACCAAGAGGGGAATGTATTTGGGAGATTACATTTTGGGCCCTCTGTAGCCTTAGCTGTAGGGCCAGTAGTTTACTGGGTTTATCTCCAAATTCAAAATAACTCTGTCGTGATTTTCGAAGTGATTGGACTGCTTGATTGGTAGATAGCAAGTTGAACTCGGTCTGTAAAACAAGCCTTTTCTTGTATAATTCAGGATCAGGAGAATCTGCATATTTCTTGTCTAAGTCGAGAATGTCCGAGGAGAGATTCAGCAATTTGACCTCTGTTGTTTCGCAATGTAGGAAGCGTGGGAGATAATCTCACCACGGATATATGCTTTAAGGCGTAGGGTATAAGAAACGTCATGCATCCACAACACCAATTAAATCTGTCTCTACACCACCTTCTGGACACCCCATGAATATTTCTCTAGATCCAAAGGTCATCAACCAGGAGTGACTGAACTACTGGAGAAAGATCAAGGGTGTCATTCACATGTGACACCATAGACTATCTCTGAACAGAGACAAATACTGTATTGTCTGTATAGTTGTGTTCTCATGGACAACCAAGGAAATATGTAGGGACTTGGGATCACTTGACTTGTGTCAACTTAGGATAGAATGCCCTCTAAAGAATCGCCAGGTTGTCAATGATCTTCATCACATGGTATCTTGGCCTTTGGTAATATGCCAGTGATGTTGCCATAGCAACGTAAACAATAAGAAATACAATGAGATACAATTTTCCTTTTGAAAATTAAACTTTGGTCTCAAAAAAACAGAAACAGATAAAAAAACAGATATCTTTATCCACACACACACACACACACACACACACGCACACACACAGTGTGTGTATATATATATATATATATATATATATATATATATATATATGGCATACAGTAAGTGAGTGCTGAGGATGAATTTAGCAGCCTGACAGCCAGAGAAAAAGTTGCTGAAATCTGGTGATACAGCAGACAAAAAACAACCACGGAACAATGAACACAAAACATAAAATAGGACGTCAGGCTGATTGTAAATGCTGTTAAGCTTCCCGAGAAGTCCTCTTCCTCACTTCCAAGAAAGTCACCAAGAAAGCTTACTGACCAAAGGCCAACTTTCTGAACTGCAGCACCCAGTCACACCGAGCAGAGGCTCTAGTCATACTGGCGCTGCCACTGCAAGGATAGGTCAGCATGAGGAGGGGGTGCAAGATTTTGAATAATTTTATTATTATAATTATATAATCAGGCATGCATTTGAATAGTATGTTAATAACTTTTTCCACTGCCTCCAAGTGGTAAAAAAAATAGCTATTGATATATATAATACATTTTTTTCAAGGTCATCCACTAATCAGAAGGTTGGCGGTTAGATCCCCGGCTGCTCCTACTGCATGTCGAAATGTCCTTGAGCAAGATACTGAACCCCATATTGCTCCCAATGCTGTGCCATCACTGTATGAATGTGTGTGAATGGGTGAATGTAACATGCAGTGTAAAGCATGCAGCGACTAGAACGCCGCTAGATACTGTAAGTACAGTACGATTTACAGTGACGCGGCTACCATCCTTCCCAGTGGCTGAATTGGAATTCCTTATCAGTGCATAAAAGGTTATAAAAAAGGCAAGGGGAGAATCATTATGATAGGTGTGTGTGTGTAATAAAAGTGTCATGTGGTCTCATATAATGCATCTCTCTCTTTTCTCAGTTCTATTTTCTGTGACCATTCTCTACAACTTGTCACGGATACATTTAGTAAGAGCTAATCAGCCACTTCACAGAGTATATGCAGTGACTGGCACACTCGTGGTCTTTTCACATTTTTATTTAAGCCTTTTATCTAATTCACAGTCATGGCGTTTTCTTCACATTTCCTGATTATCTGGGCTCTACTCCTCTGCTTATGTTCTGCTGATGGTAAGATCCATAAGAATTTTCCTCCAATAAACATTTTGCCATTCTTCTCTGAAGAAATGGGGCTACATCAATATCTTTTATGTTGCCGTGCTCACTACAAAGGATGTCACTGACGGTGTAAAATTTAATTAATAATCTTTATGATGGATTTTCCCATTAATTCAATTGAATTCAATTTTATTTGTATAGCGCCAATTCATAACAGAAGTTATCTCAGGACACTTTTCAAATAGAGCAGGTCTAGACCGAACTCTTTATAACATTATTTACAGAGACCCAACAGTACCACCATGAGCAAGCACTTGGCGACAAGGGCAAGGAAAAACTGCCTGTTAAAAGGCAGAAACCAAGGACAGATCCTTCGGCTCTAGGTGGGTGGTCGTCTGTCTCGACCAGTTGGGGTGAGAGAGAGAGACATACAGACAGACAGGTGCACAGCAACAACAGTATTGGCAATGGCAATCTAGCAGGACCATGGCAGGAGGCTCCACCAGGATCAATAAGAACCTGCGACCTGATTAATGGTTGTTGCAGCCTTGCATGTGTTAGTAGACTGGCTAGCTTTACTGACATTTAGCGACTTCAAAGACCATTTAGAGCTCTGCTACACTCTAACACTAACCCTAACCCTAAAAACAAATTTATTGGTTCAACAACAAATAATTAACACAGCAGTTTGCTTTGTCTTTTTGAGTTATGACAACCTCTAATGAAATTGTTTAACAGATGTACCATGAGTTTGAGGAATCAGCTTTTCCTCTACAGTCAAAGTTATTTCAATTACCACTTGCTTAGTAATTGGTAACATAAACACAAGTTTTTGGCTTGATTAGGCTTTTCATTGTGTCAGCACAACTCATCTAAATGAATAAATTAGAACATTTATCTTACAACCATGCATTTAATTAAGTGGTGGTAATAGGTCTACTGAATTACTTTTTTAGGGTTAGGAATTTTTTAAATTTCGATTAGGATTTTCCTGAAACCCACACTTGTGGTCAAGTAACTTAATCTGGAGTCATTCTAAATGTAGTTTTACATGGTTGTAAATGGTATAATCTCCTGCTCACCATTTTACCTATTTTTTATTTTTTTAATCTCTTCTGTCATCTCATAGTCTATTAATTAAGTTTGTATATTTTGGTTTTACCAGAAGTATTGTAGATGGATGCATTTGCTGCCTGGATTATGCTCATTGGTAATGGTTTTTCTAGTCCAAAAGGGGTTTTTGTACCAACCAGGAATGAAGGGCTGGACTGTAACACCTGAGACTGGGGTTTGCTTCCTGTATGTGGTTGTGTAACATGATTCTCTGAGCTTCACAAACACAAATGAGCACTGGGATCAGTTAATAAATCCCAATGAGGTTTCATGGAGAGAACTATGTAATTCATTATACATACAGACAGGTGAATAAAAGGAAAAACCAACATAAAGTGTCTAAGCAAGGTGCTGGGCCACCATGTGCCGCTAGAACATACTCAATGGGCGTTGACATTGAGTCTACAGTCTCTGGAACTGAAGGGATGGAGCAACATGCTTCCAGATGATATTCCTTATTTGGTATTTTTATTGATGGTGGTGGAGAGTGCAGCTAATACATCAGTCCAAAGTCTCCCATCCGTAGCATATGATTCAATCAATGTTATACTCATCGAACCATTCAGTGAGCCCTTGCGCCCAATGAATAGGGCCATGTCATCCTGAAAGAGACCACTCCCATCAGGATAGAATTTTGTTTCATAGGATAGAGCTGAACAACTTTGTATTGATTTACAGTGACTCTTCCCTCTAAGGGGACAAGTGGACCCAAACCATGTCAGCAAAATTCCCCCACAGCCTAACAGAGCCACTGGATTTCCTCAATGTAAGGGTCAAGCATACGGCCTGTACTCTTCTCTTGGTATTTGCCACATATGCACTCTTCCACTTGTCGAGAATATATGAATGATGACTCATCTGACCATATTACGTTTTCCACATCTCTGTAGACCAGAGCATATGATTTCACTAATGAAGTCTCAAATGTATATTTAAGCAATAGCTCACAACATACAGTATGTTAAGCTAAGGGGTGTGGTCCAGCCTGAAGTGAAGCAGAGCCACCGTGGGGGTTCAAGTTGACCCTAAATCTTTCCATTTTGTAACAGTTTTGTAGCAGTTTGTAACAGTTTTTAGGAGTTTGTAGCAGTTTATTGCTGTTTTGTTGCAGTTTGTAGCAGTTTTGTAGCAGTTTATTAAAGTTGTGTAGCAGTGTGTAGCAGTTTATAGTAGTTTTGTAGCAGTTTTGTAACAGTGTGTAAGTATGTAGCAGTTTGTGGTCGTTTTTGTAGCAGTATGTAAAAGTTTTGTATCAGTTTATAGCTGTTTATAGCAGTTTTATAACAGTGTCTAGGTTATATGTGGTCTGTTATCTAAATTGGTATGGTGCAACTACTGGCCATTCGTCAGTTCATAGTAACTATCTCTATTGGTACTTTAAAAATAACTATTTCATCTACTTTTCTTCAGAGAAATGATTGGCTTCTGAGATATAGGTCTACTGTGTGTATATACCGATCAGCCATAACATTATCACCACATGCCTAATAAATGTAGATGGTGCCAAAACAGCCCTGACTGTCGAGGACTCCACTAGACCTCTGAAGGTGTGCTGTGGTATCTGGCACCAACACGTTAGCAGCAGGTCCTTTAAGCCCTGTAAGTTGTGGGGTGGGACCTCCAGGGATTTGGTCTTGTTTGTCCAGCACATCCCACAGATGCTCAACTGGCTTGAGATCTGGGGAATTTGGAGGCCAAGTCAACACCTTGAACTCGTTGTTGTGTTCCTCAAAACTTACTGAACCATTTTTGCTTTGTGGCATGGCGCATTATCCTGATGAAAGAAGTCACTTCCATCAGGGAATACTGTTTCCATGAAAGAGTGTATATGATCTGCAACAATGCTTAGGTAATGCGTGTTAAAGTAACATCCACATGAATGGCAGGACCCAAGGTTTTCCAGCAGAACATCAGCCAAAGCATCACACTGCATCCACTGGCTTGCCTTCTTCCCAACTTTCTGCACGTGATATTTTTTTTCCCAGCATGGCAAAGTCATGACCTGTCCTACTCTGCCTCTGATTTGCTTACTCTGACATAGTAACCCTAACCCTAACCAATCTCTTTCTTCATGCCTAAACCTAACCAACTAAACCAATGAAGGCAACAGGTTCAGGCCAGTCACGGGTAGAGAAGGTGGGTCATCACTTTGCCAAGTCTCCCTGTACCAATTCAATGGTAATAAATTTCTCGTTAGAGGATGCTGCACATCTCCTTAATCCACAGATGTGTTCTAACCCTCAAACTAAAGGTCCATATCAGATATCTCAACCTTGTAAAAAAAACGTCTGTACCAAACATTTAGACAGTTTTAATACCTTTGATCCTTGTTTCCCTTTGTATTTCCAGAATATTTCTCAGTCCCTGATCAACAATGGTCCAAACTTAGGCTGATAACAAATCCCACTTCAAAACTAACGGAGGACCCCACTCCAGCTAACAAGACAAAAGCTTGGCTTAAAGCACTGACAGTAGAACTTGAACCAACCAGTCTGACAAACACAATAACAACCAATTCCACTGCGGCAATAACTTCTGATCCTGTTGGGAAAATCTCTGTATCTGAACCAACTGCTCAGACCAACATATTAAAATCACGGACTGCAGGGACCACATCACCAATTCCAACGACAGTTCCTACAAGAACAATGACGTCTGAAACTTCGGAGACCACATCAAGACATGAAACAACAAATCCCATTGAAACGATTACATCTGCGACTGCTGATGCAACCTCAGTATCTGAAACAACCAGTGCAACTCATTCAGCAACATCTCAACCAGTACAGACCAAATCAGCACCTGAACCAACCAATCTGACTGGCACAGTAACTTCTGAGCCTATTAAGAACACAACAGCATATCAACCAACCAATCTGACTAACACAATAACTTCTGAAACTGTTGAGACAACCTCTGTTTTTGATCCAACTGCTCACACTGAAACATTGACATCACAACCTGCACAGTCCATTTCACATTCTAAGCCTACAAGTCCTGCAGACATAGTAACATCTGAGTCTGCTGGTAACACCCCACTATCTGAATCAAAAAGACCTACTCATTCATTGACATCTGAGCCTGTAGAGACTACGTCAGAACCTCAACCAACCACTACCACTGACACAGTAACTTCTGAGACTGTTGCGACAACCTCGATATCTGAACCAACTACTCAGACTGATACAGTAACTTCTGAGACTGTTGCGACCACCTCAGTGTCCGAACCAACTACTCCGACTGACACATTAACATCACATCCTGCAGAAACCACATCAACACCTGGAACTAAATGTCCCACTGACACAGTAACTTCTGAGCCTGTAGAGACCACATCAGCACCTCAACCAACTAATCCCACTGACAAAATAACTTCTGAGACTGTTGAGACAACCTCTGTAACTAAACCAACTGCTCACACTGACACATTGACATCACTTCCTGAAAAAAACACACCAATACCTGGAACTGTAGACACAACATCAGCACCTCAACAAACCAATCCCACTGACAAACTAAGCTCTGAGACTGTTGAGACAAGCTCGGTATCTGAACCAACTAGTCAGACTGACACATTAACATCACAACATTCAGAGACCACATCAGCACCTGGAACTACAGGTCCCACTGACACTGTATCTTCTGAGCCTGTCGAGACCACATCAGCACCTCAACCAACTAATCCCACTGACAAAGCAACTTCTGAGACTGTTGACACAACCTCGGTAACTAAACCAACTAATCCCACTGACAAAGTAACTTCTGAGACTGTTGGGACAACCTCGGTATCTGAACCAACTACTCACACTGACACATTGACATCACAACCTGTGGAGACAATTTCCTCACCTCAGCCTACGAGTCCTACAGACATATTAACATCCGAGCCTGCTGGTACCACCCTACTGTCTGAATCATCGAGTCCAACCCATTCATTGACATCTGAGCCTATAGAGACTACGTCGGCACCTCAGCCAACCATTCCCACTGTCACAGTAACTTCTGAGACTGTAGAGAAAACCTCTGTATCTGAACAAACTGCTTACACTGACACATTGATATCGAAACCTGCAGAGACCGTTTCCCCACCTCAGCCTACGAGTCCTACAGAAATTGTCACGTCTGAATCAACAAGTCCAACCCATTCATTGACATCTGAGCCTATAGAGACCACATCAGCACCTCAGCCAACCATTCCCACTATCACAGTAACTTCTGAGACTGTAGAGAAAACCTCGGTATCTGAACCAACTGCTCACACTGACACATTGACATCACAACCTGTGGAGACCATTTCCCCACCTCAGCCTACGAGTCCTACAGACATACTAACATCCGTGCCTGCTGCTACCACCCCACTATCTGAATCAACCAGTCCAACCCATTCATTGACATCTGAGCCTATAGAGACTACGTCAGCACCTCAGCCAACAATTCCCACTGACAAAGTAACTTCTGAGACTGTTGGGACAACCTCGGTATCTGAACCAACTGCTCCCACTGACACATTGACATCACAACCTGCAGAGACCATTTCCCCACCTCAGCCTACGAGTCCTACAGAAATTGTCACGTCTGAATCAACAAGTCCAACCCATTCATTGACATCTGAGCCTATAGAGACCACATCAGCACCTCAGCCAACCATTCCCACTATCACAGTAACTTCTGAGACTGTAGAGAAAACCTCGGTATCTGAACCAACTGCTCACACTGACACATTGACATCACAACCTGCAGAGACCATTTCCCCACCTCAGCCTACGAGTCCTACAGAAATTGTCACGTCTCAATCAACAAGTCCAACCCATTCATTGACATCTGAGCCTATAGAGACTACGTCAGCACCACAGCCAAGCATTCCCACTGACACAGTAACTTCTGAGACTGTTGGGACAACCCCGGTATCTGAACCAACTGCTCACACTGACACATTGACATCACAACCTGTGGAGACAATTTCCTCACCTCAGCCTACGAGTCCTACAGACATAGTAACATCTGAATCAACAAGTCCAACCCATTCATTGACATCTGAGCCTATAGAGACTACGTCAGCACCACAGCCAACCATTCCCACTGACACAGTAACTTCTGAGACTGTTGAGACAACCTCGGTATCTGAACCAACTTCTCCCACTGACACATTGACATCGCAACCTGCAGAGACCATTTCCCCACCTCAGCCTACGAGTCCTACAGAAATGGTCACGTCCAAATCAACACGTCCAACCCATTCATTGACATCTGAGCCTATAGAGACTACGTCAGCACCTCAGCCAAGCATTCCCACTGACAAAGTAACTTCTGAGACTGTTGGGACAACCTCGGTGTCTAAACCAACTAGTCAGACTGACACATTAACATCACAACATTCAGAGACCACATCAGCACCTGGAACTACAGGTCCCACTGACACTGTAACTTCTGAGCCTGTCGAGACCACATCAGCACCTCAACCAACTAATCCCACCGACAAAGCAACTTCTGAGACTTTGGACACAACCTCGGTAACTAAACCAACTAATCCCACTGACAAAGCAACTTCTGAGACTGTTGACACAACCTCGGTAACTAAACCAACTAATCCCACTGACAAAGTAACTTCTGAGAATGTTCAGACAACCTCGGTATCTGAACCAACTGCTCACACTGACACGTTGACATCACAACCTACAGAGACCATTTCCCCACCTCAGCCTACGAGTCCTACAGATATAGTAACATCCGTTCCTGCTGCTACCACCCCACTATCTGAATCAACCAGTCCAACCCATTCATTGACATCTGAGCCTATAGAGACTACTTCAGCACCTCAGCCAACAATTCCCACTGACAAAGTAACTTCTGAGACTACTGGGAAAACCTCAGTGTCTGAACCAACTAGTAAGACTGGCACATTAACATCACATCCTGCAGAAACCACACTGACACCTGAAACTGCAGGTCCCACTGACACAGCAACTTCTGACACTGTAGAGACAACCTCGATATCTGAACCAACTAGTCAGACTGACACATTAACGTCACATCCTGCAGAAACCACATCAGCACCTGCAACTACAGGTCCCACTGACACAGCAACTTCTGAGCCTGTAGAGACCACATCAGCATCTCAACTAACTCATCCCACTGATAAAGTAACTTCTTGGACTGTTGAGACAACCTCTGTATCTGAACCAACTCCTCACACTGGCACATTGACATCACAACATTCAGAGACCACATCAGCACCTGGAACTACAGGTCCCACTGACACTGTAACTTCTGAGCCTGTCGAGACCACATCAGCACCTCAACCAACTAATCCCACTGACAAAGCAACTTCTGAGACTGTTGACACAACCTCGGTAACTAAACAAACTAATCCCACTGACAAAGTAACTTCTGAGAATGTTGAGACAACCTCGGTATCTGAACTAACTGCTCACACTGACACGTTGACATCACAACCTACAGAGACCATTTCCCCACCTCAGCCTACGAGTCCTACAGACATAGTAACATCCGTTCCTGCTGCTACCACCCCACTATCTGAATCAACCAGTCCAACCCATTCATTGACATCTGAGCCTATAGAGACTACGTCAGCACCTCAGCCAACAATTCCCACTGACAAAGTAACTTCTGAGACTGTTGGGACAACCTCGGTATCTGAACCAATTGCTCCCACTAACACATTGACATCACAACCTGCAGAGTCCATTTCCCCACCTCAGCCTACGAGTTCTACAGAAATGGTCACGTCCGAATCAACAAGTCCAACCCATTCATTGACATCTGAGCCTATAGAGACTACGTCAGCACCTCAGCCAAGCATTCCCACTGTCACAGTAACTACTGAGACTGTTGGGACAACCTCGGTGTCTGAACCAACTAGTCAGCCTGACACATTAACATCACATCCTGCAGAAACTACATCAACACCTGGAACTAAAGGTCCCACTGACACAGTAACTTCTGAGCCTGTAGAGACCACATCAGCACCTCAACCACCTAATCCCACTGACAAAATAACTTCTGAGACTGTTGAGACAACCTCTGTAACTAAACCAACTGCTCACACTGACACATTGACATCACTTCCTGAAAAACACACCAATACCTGGAACTGTAGACACAACATCAGCACCTCAACAAACCAATCCCACTGACAAACTAAGCTCTGAGACTGTTGAGACAAGCTCGGTATCTGAACCAACTAGTCAGACTGACACATTAACATCACAACATTCAGAGACCACATCAGCACCTGGAACTACAGGTCCCACTGACACTGTATCTTCTGAGCCTGTTGAGACCACATCAGCACCTCAACCAACTAATCCCACTGACAAAGCAACTTCTGAGACTGTTGACACAACCTCGGTAACTAAACCAACTAATCCCACTGACAAAGTAACTTCTGAGACTGTTGGGACAACCTCGGTATCTGAACCAACTACTCACACTGACACATTGACATCACAACCTGTGGAGACAATTTCCTCACCTCAGCCTACGAGTCCTACAGACATATTAACATCCGAGCCTGCTGGTACCACCCTACTGTCTGAATCATCGAGTCCAACCCATTCATTGACATCTGAGCCTATAGAGACTACGTCGGCACCTCAGCCAACCATTCCCACTGTCACAGTAACTTCTGAGACTGTAGAGAAAACCTCTGTATCTGAACAAACTGCTTACACTGACACATTGATATCGAAACCTGCAGAGACCGTTTCCCCACCTCAGCCTACGAGTCCTACAGAAATTGTCACTCGGCGTCTGAATCAACAAGTCCAACCCATTCATTGACATCTGAGCCTATAGAGACCACATCAGCACCTCAGCCAACCATTCCCACTATCACAGTAACTTCTGAGACTGTAGAGAAAACCTCGGTATCTGAACCAACTGCTCACACTGACACATTGACATCACAACCTGCGGAGACCATTTCCCCACCTCAGCCTACGAGTCCTACAGACATACTAACATCCGTGCCTGCTGCTACCACCCCACTATCTGAATCAACCAGTCCAACCCATTCATTGACATCTGAGCCTATAGAGACTACGTCAGCACCTCAGCCAACAATTCCCACTGACAAAGTAACTTCTGAGACTGTTGGGACAACCTCGGTATCTGAACCAACTGCTCCCACTGACACATTGACATCACAACCTGCAGAGACCATTTCCCCACCTCAGCCTACGAGTCCTACAGAAATTGTCACGGATCTGAATCAACAAGTCCAACCCATTCATTGACATCTGAGCCTATAGAGACTACATCAGCACCTCAGCCAACCATTCCCACTGTCACAGTAACTTCTGAGACTGTAGAGAAAACCTCGGTATCTGAACCAACTGCTCACACTGACACATTGACATCACAACCTGCAGAGACCATTTCCCCACCTCAGCCTACGAGTCCTACAGAAATTGTCACGTCTCAATCAACAAGTCCAACCCATTCATTGACATCTGAGCCTATAGAGACTACGTCAGCACCACAGCCAACAATTCCCACTGACAAAGTAACTTCTGAGACTGTTGGGACAACCTCGGTATCTGAACCAATTGCTCCCACTGACACATTGACATCACAACCTGCAGAGTCCATTTCCCCACCTCAGCCTACGAGTTCTACAGAAATGGTCACGTCCGAATCAACAAGTCCAACCCATTCATTGACATCTGAGCCTATAGAGACGACGTCAGCACCTCAGCCAAGCATTCCCACTGTCACAGTAACTACTGAGACTGTTGGGACAACCTCGGTGTCTGAACCAACTAGTCAGCCTGACACATTAACATCACATCCTGCAGAAACTATATCAACACCTGGAACTACAGGTCCCACTGACACAGCAACTTCTGAGCCTGTAGAGACCACATCAGCACCTCAACCACCTAATCCCACTGACAAAGTAACTTCTCAGACTGTTGAGACAACCTCGGTATCTGAACCAACTCCTCACACTGGCACATTGACATCACAACATTCAGAGACCACATCAGCACCTGGAACTACAGGTCCCACTGACACTGTAACTTCTGAGCCTGTTGAGAGCACATTAGCACCTCAACCAACTAATCCCACTGACAAAGCAACTTCTGAAACTGTTGACACAACCTCGGTAACTAAACCAACTAATCCCACTGACAAAGTAACTTCTGAGAATGTTGAGACAACCTCGGTATCTGAACCAACTGCTCACACTGACACGTTGACATCACAACCTACAGAGACCATTTCCCCACCTCAGCCTACGAGTCCTACAGACATAGTAACATCCGTGCCTGCTGCTACCACCCCACTATCTGAATCAACCAGTCCAACCCATTCATTGACATCTGAGCCTATAGAGACTACGTCAGCACCTCAGCCAACAATTCCCACTGACAAAGTAACTTCTGAGACTGTTGGGACAACCTCGGTATCTGAACCAACTACTCACACTGACACATTGACATCACAACCTGTGGAGACAATTTCCTCACCTCAGCCTACGAGTCCTACAGACATAGTAACATACGAGCCTGCTGGTACCACCCTACTGTCTGAATCATCGAGTCCAACCCATTCACTGACATCTGAGCCTGTAGAGACTGCGTCGGCACCTCAGCCAACCATTCCCACTGTCACAGTAACTTCTGAGACTGTAGAGAAAACCTCTGTATCTGAACAAACTTCTTACACTGACACATTGATATCGAAACCTGCAGAGACCGTTTCCCCACCTCAGCCTACGAGTCCTACAGAAATTGTCACGTCTGAATCAACAAGTCCAACCCATTCATTGACATCTGAGCCTATAGAGACCACATCAGCACCTCAGCCAACCATTCCCACTGTCACAGTAACTTCTGAGACTGTAGAGAAAACCTCGGTATCTGAACCAACTGCTCACACTGACACGTTGACATCACAACCTACAGAGACCATTTCCACCTCAGCCTACGAGTCCTACAGACATATTTACATACGTGCCTGCTGCTACCACCCCACTATCTGAATCAACCAGTCCAACCCATTCATTGACACTGAGCCTATGAGACTATGTCAGCACCTCAGCCAACAATTCCCACTGACAAAGTAACTTCTGAGACTGTTGGGACAACCCCGGTATCTGAACCAACTGCTCACACTGACACATTGACATCACAACCTGTGGAGACAATTTCCTCACCTCAGCCTACGAGTCCTACAGATATAGTAACATCCGTTCCTGCTGCTACCACCCCACTATCTGAATCAACCAGTCCAACCCATTCATTGACATCTGAGCCTATAGAGACTACTTCAGCACCTCAGCCAACAATTCCCACTGACAAAGTAACTTCTGAGACTACTGGGAAAACCTCAGTGTCTGAACCAACTAGTAAGACTGGCACATTAACATCACATCCTGCAGAAACCACACTGACACCTGAAACTGCAGGTCCCACTGACACAGCAACTTCTGACACTGTAGAGACAACCTCGATATCTGAACCAACTAGTCAGACTGACACATTAACGTCACATCCTGCAGAAACCACATCAGCACCTGCAACTACAGGTCCCACTGACACAGCAACTTCTGAGCCTGTAGAGACCACATCAGCATCTCAACTAACTCATCCCACTGATAAAGTAACTTCTTGGACTGTTGAGACAACCTCTGTCTCTGAACCAACTCCTCACACTGGCACATTGACATCACAACATTCAGAGACCACATCAGCACCTGGAACTACAGGTCCCACTGACACTGTATCTTCTGAGCCTGTCGAGACCACATCAGCACCTCAACCAACTAATCCCACTGACAAAGCAACTTCTGAGACTGTTGACACAACCTCGGTAACTAAACCAACTAATCCCACTGACAAAGTAACTTCTGAGAATGTTGAGACAACCTCGGTATCTGAACCAACTGCTCACACTGACACGTTGACATCACAACCTACAGAGACCATTTCCCCACCTCAGCCTACGAGTCCTACAGACATAGTAACATCCGTGCCTGCTGCTACCACCCCACTATCTGAATCAACCAGTCCAACCCATTCATTGACATCTGAGCCTATAGAGACCACATCAGCACCTCAGCCAACCATTCCCACTGTCACAGTAACTTCTGAGACTGTAGAGAAAACCTCGGTATCTGAACCAACTGCTCACACTGACACGTTGACATCACAACCTACAGAGACCATTTCCCTACCTCAGCCTACGAGTCCTACAGACATAGTAACATCCGTGCCTGCTGCTACCACCCCACTATCTGAATCGACCAGTCCAACCCATTCATTGACATCTGAGCCTATAGAGACTATGTCAGCACCTCAGCCAACAATTCCCACTGACAAAGTAACTCCTGAGACTGTTGGGACAACCCCGGTATCTGAACCAACTGCTCACACTGACACATTGACATCACAACCTGTGGAGACAATTTCCTCACCTCAGCCTACGAGTCCTACAGACATAGTAACATCTGAATCAACAAGTCCAACCCATTCATTGACATCTGAGCCTATAGAGACTACGTCAGCACCACAGCCAACCATTCCCACTGACACAGTAACTTCTGAGACTGTTGAGACAACCTCGGTATCTGAACCAACTTCTCCCACTGACACATTGACATCGCAACCTGCAGAGACCATTTCCCCACCTCAGCCTACGAGTCCTACAGAAATGGTCACGTCCAAATCAACAAGTCCAACCCATTCATTGACATCTGAGCCTATAGAGACTACGTCAGCACCTCAGCCAAGCATTCCCACTGACAAAGTAACTTCTGAGACTGTTGGGACAACCTCGGTGTCTGAACCAACTAGTCAGACTGACACATTAACATCACAACATTCAGAGACCACATCAGCACCTGGAACTACAGGTCCCACTGACACTGTAACTTCTGAGCCTGTCGAGACCACATCAGCACCTCAACCAACTAATCCCACCGACAAAGCAACTTCTGAGACTTTGGACACAACCTCGGTAACTAAACCAACTAATCCCACTGACGAAGCAACTTCTGAGACTGTTGACACAACCTCGGTAACTAAACCAACTAATCCCACTGACAAAGTAACTTCTGAGAATGTTCAGACAACCTCGGTATCTGAACCAACTGCTCACACTGACACGTTGACATCACAACCTACAGAGACCATTTCCCCACCTCAGCCTACGAGTCCTACAGATATAGTAACATCCGTTCCTGCTGCTACCACCCCACTATCTGAATCAACCAGTCCAACCCATTCATTGACATCTGAGCCTATAGAGACTACTTCAGCACCTCAGCCAACAATTCCCACTGACAAAGTAACTTCTGAGACTACTGGGAAAACCTCAGTGTCTGAACCAACTAGTAAGACTGGCACATTAACATCACATCCTGCAGAAACCACACTGACACCTGAAACTGCAGGTCCCACTGACACAGCAACTTCTGACACTGTAGAGACAACCTCGATATCTGAACCAACTAGTCAGACTGACACATCAACGTCACATCCTGCAGAAACCACATCAGCACCTGCAACTACAGGTCCCACTGACACAGCAACTTCTGAGCCTGTAGAGACCACATCAGCATCTCAACTAACTCATCCCACTGATAAAGTAACTTCTTGGACTGTTGAGACAACCTCTGTCTCTGAACCAACTCCTCACACTGGCACATTGACATCACAACATTCAGAGACCACATCAGCACCTGGAACTACAGGTCCCACTGACACTGTATCTTCTGAGCCTGTCGAGACCACATCAGCACCTCAACCAACTAATCCCACTGACAAAGCAACTTCTGAGACTGTTGACACAACCTCGGTAACTAAACCAACTAATCCCACTGACAAAGTAACTTCTGAGAATGTTGAGACAACCTCGGTATCTGAACCAACTGCTCACACTGACACGTTGACATCACAACCTACAGAGACCATTTCCCCACCTCAGCCTACGAGTCCTACAGACATAGTAACATCCGTGCCTGCTGCTACCACCCCACTATCTGAATCAACCAGTCCAACCCATTCATTGACATCTGAGCCTATAGAGACCACATCAGCACCTCAGCCAACCATTCCCACTGTCACAGTAACTTCTGAGACTGTAGAGAAAACCTCGGTATCTGAACCAACTGCTCACACTGACACGTTGACATCACAACCTACAGAGACCATTTCCCTACCTCAGCCTACGAGTCCTACAGACATAGTAACATCCGTGCCTGCTGCTACCACCCCACTATCTGAATCGACCAGTCCAACCCATTCATTGACATCTGAGCCTATAGAGACTATGTCAGCACCTCAGCCAACAATTCCCACTGACAAAGTAACTTCTGAGACTGTTGGGACAACCCCGGTATCTGAACCAACTGCTCACACTGACACATTGACATCACAACCTGTGGAGACAATTTCCTCACCTCAGCCTACGAGTCCTACAGACATAGTAACATCTGAATCAACAAGTCCAACCCATTCATTGACATCTGAGCCTATAGAGACTACGTCAGCACCACAGCCAACCATTCCCACTGACACAGTAACTTCTGAGACTGTTGAGACAACCTCGGTATCTGAACCAACTTCTCCCACTGACACATTGACATCGCAACCTGCAGAGACCATTTCCCCACCTCAGCCTACGAGTCCTACAGAAATGGTCACGTCCAAATCAACAAGTCCAACCCATTCATTGACATCTGAGCCTATAGAGACTACGTCAGCACCTCAGCCAAGCATTCCCACTGACAAAGTAACTTCTGAGACTGTTGGGACAACCTCGGTGTCTGAACCAACTAGTCAGACTGACACATTAACATCACAACATTCAGAGACCACATCAGCACCTGGAACTACAGGTCCCACTGACACTGTAACTTCTGAGCCTGTCGAGACCACATCAGCACCTCAACCAACTAATCCCACCGACAAAGCAACTTCTGAGACTTTGGACACAACCTCGGTAACTAAACCAACTAATCCCACTGACGAAGCAACTTCTGAGACTGTTGACACAACCTCGGTAACTAAACCAACTAATCCCACTGACAAAGTAACTTCTGAGAATGTTCAGACAACCTCGGTATCTGAACCAACTGCTCACACTGACACGTTGACATCACAACCTACAGAGACCATTTCCCCACCTCAGCCTACGAGTCCTACAGATATAGTAACATCCGTTCCTGCTGCTACCACCCCACTATCTGAATCAACCAGTCCAACCCATTCATTGACATCTGAGCCTATAGAGACTACTTCAGCACCTCAGCCAACAATTCCCACTGACAAAGTAACTTCTGAGACTACTGGGAAAACCTCAGTGTCTGAACCAACTAGTAAGACTGGCACATTAACATCACATCCTGCAGAAACCACACTGACACCTGAAACTGCAGGTCCCACTGACACAGCAACTTCTGACACTGTAGAGACAACCTCGATATCTGAACCAACTAGTCAGACTGACACATTAACGTCACATCCTGCAGAAACCACATCAGCACCTGCAACTACAGGTCCCACTGACACAGCAACTTCTGAGCCTGTAGAGACCACATCAGCATCTCAACTAACTCATCCCACTGATAAAGTAACTTCTTGGACTGTTGAGACAACCTCTGTATCTGAACCAACTCCTCACACTGGCACATTGACATCACAACATTCAGAGACCACATCAGCACCTGGAACTACAGGTCCCACTGACACTGTATCTTCTGAGCCTGTCGAGACCACATCAGCACCTCAACCAACTAATCCCACTGACAAAGCAACTTCTGAGACTGTTGACACAACCTCGGTAACTAAACCAACTAATCCCACTGACAAAGTAACTTCTGAGAATGTTGAGACAACCTCGGTATCTGAACCAACTGCTCACACTGACACGTTGACATCACAACCTACAGAGACCATTTCCCCACCTCAGCCTACGAGTCCTACAGACATAGTAACATCCGTGCCTGCTGCTACCACCCCACTATCTGAATCAACCAGTCCAACCCATTCATTGACATCTGAGCCTATAGAGACCACATCAGCACCTCAGCCAACCATTCCCACTGTCACAGTAACTTCTGAGACTGTAGAGAAAACCTCGGTATCTGAACCAACTGCTCACACTGACACGTTGACATCACAACCTACAGAGACCATTTCCCTACCTCAGCCTACGAGTCCTACAGACATAGTAACATCCGTGCCTGCTGCTACCACCCCACTATCTGAATCGACCAGTCCAACCCATTCATTGACATCTGAGCCTATAGAGACTATGTCAGCACCTCAGCCAACAATTCCCACTGACAAAGTAACTCCTGAGACTGTTGGGACAACCCCGGTATCTGAACCAACTGCTCACACTGACACATTGACATCACAACCTGTGGAGACAATTTCCTCACCTCAGCCTACGAGTCCTACAGACATAGTAACATCTGAATCAACAAGTCCAACCCATTCATTGACATCTGAGCCTATAGAGACTACGTCAGCACCACAGCCAACCATTCCCACTGACACAGTAACTTCTGAGACTGTTGAGACAACCTCGGTATCTGAACCAACTTCTCCCACTGACACATTGACATCGCAACCTGCAGAGACCATTTCCCCACCTCAGCCTACGAGTCCTACAGAAATGGTCACGTCCAAATCAACAAGTCCAACCCATTCATTGACATCTGAGCCTATAGAGACTACGTCAGCACCTCAGCCAAGCATTCCCACTGACAAAGTAACTTCTGAGACTGTTGGGACAACCTCGGTGTCTGAACCAACTAGTCAGACTGACACATTAACATCACAACATTCAGAGACCACATCAGCACCTGGAACTACAGGTCCCACTGACACTGTAACTTCTGAGCCTGTCGAGACCACATCAGCACCTCAACCAACTAATCCCACCGACAAAGCAACTTCTGAGACTTTGGACACAACCTCGGTAACTAAACCAACTAATCCCACTGACGAAGCAACTTCTGAGACTGTTGACACAACCTCGGTAACTAAACCAACTAATCCCACTGACAAAGTAACTTCTGAGAATGTTCAGACAACCTCGGTATCTGAACCAACTGCTCACACTGACACGTTGACATCACAACCTACAGAGACCATTTCCCCACCTCAGCCTACGAGTCCTACAGATATAGTAACATCCGTTCCTGCTGCTACCACCCCACTATCTGAATCAACCAGTCCAACCCATTCATTGACATCTGAGCCTATAGAGACTACTTCAGCACCTCAGCCAACAATTCCCACTGACAAAGTAACTTCTGAGACTACTGGGAAAACCTCAGTGTCTGAACCAACTAGTAAGACTGGCACATTAACATCACATCCTGCAGAAACCACACTGACACCTGAAACTGCAGGTCCCACTGACACAGCAACTTCTGACACTGTAGAGACAACCTCGATATCTGAACCAACTAGTCAGACTGACACATTAACGTCACATCCTGCAGAAACCACATCAGCACCTGCAACTACAGGTCCCACTGACACAGCAACTTCTGAGCCTGTAGAGACCACATCAGCATCTCAACTAACTCATCCCACTGATAAAGTAACTTCTTGGACTGTTGAGACAACCTCTGTATCTGAACCAACTCCTCACACTGGCACATTGACATCACAACATTCAGAGACCACATCAGCACCTGGAACTACAGGTCCCACTGACACTGTATCTTCTGAGCCTGTCGAGACCACATCAGCACCTCAACCAACTAATCCCACTGACAAAGCAACTTCTGAGACTGTTGACACAACCTCGGTAACTAAACCAACTAATCCCACTGACAAAGTAACTTCTGAGAATGTTGAGACAACCTCGGTATCTGAACCAACTGCTCACACTGACACGTTGACATCACAACCTACAGAGACCATTTCCCCACCTCAGCCTACGAGTCCTACAGACATAGTAACATCCGTGCCTGCTGCTACCACCCCACTATCTGAATCAACCAGTCCAACCCATTCATTGACATCTGAGCCTATAGAGACCACATCAGCACCTCAGCCAACCATTCCCACTGTCACAGTAACTTCTGAGACTGTAGAGAAAACCTCGGTATCTGAACCAACTGCTCACACTGACACGTTGACATCACAACCTACAGAGACCATTTCCCTACCTCAGCCTACGAGTCCTACAGACATAGTAACATCCGTGCCTGCTGCTACCACCCCACTATCTGAATCGACCAGTCCAACCCATTCATTGACATCTGAGCCTATAGAGACTATGTCAGCACCTCAGCCAACAATTCCCACTGACAAAGTAACTTCTGAGACTGTTGGGACAACCCCGGTATCTGAACCAACTGCTCACACTGACACATTGACATCACAACCTGTGGAGACAATTTCCTCACCTCAGCCTACGAGTCCTACAGACATAGTAACATCTGAATCAACAAGTCCAACCCATTCATTGACATCTGAGCCTATAGAGACTACGTCAGCACCACAGCCAACCATTCCCACTGACACAGTAACTTCTGAGACTGTTGAGACAACCTCGGTATCTGAACCAACTTCTCCCACTGACACATTGACATCGCAACCTGCAGAGACCATTTCCCCACCTCAGCCTACGAGTCCTACAGAAATGGTCACGTCCAAATCAACAAGTCCAACCCATTCATTGACATCTGAGCCTATAGAGACTACGTCAGCACCTCAGCCAAGCATTCCCACTGACAAAGTAACTTCTGAGACTGTTGGGACAACCTCGGTGTCTGAACCAACTAGTCAGACTGACACATTAACATCACAACATTCAGAGACCACATCAGCACCTGGAACTACAGGTCCCACTGACACTGTAACTTCTGAGCCTGTCGAGACCACATCAGCACCTCAACCAACTAATCCCACCGACAAAGCAACTTCTGAGACTTTGGACACAACCTCGGTAACTAAACCAACTAATCCCACTGACGAAGCAACTTCTGAGACTGTTGACACAACCTCGGTAACTAAACCAACTAATCCCACTGACAAAGTAACTTCTGAGAATGTTCAGACAACCTCGGTATCTGAACCAACTGCTCACACTGACACGTTGACATCACAACCTACAGAGACCATTTCCCCACCTCAGCCTACGAGTCCTACAGATATAGTAACATCCGTTCCTGCTGCTACCACCCCACTATCTGAATCAACCAGTCCAACCCATTCATTGACATCTGAGCCTATAGAGACTACTTCAGCACCTCAGCCAACAATTCCCACTGACAAAGTAACTTCTGAGACTACTGGGAAAACCTCAGTGTCTGAACCAACTAGTAAGACTGGCACATTAACATCACATCCTGCAGAAACCACACTGACACCTGAAACTGCAGGTCCCACTGACACAGCAACTTCTGACACTGTAGAGACAACCTCGATATCTGAACCAACTAGTCAGACTGACACATTAACGTCACATCCTGCAGAAACCACATCAGCACCTGCAACTACAGGTCCCACTGACACAGCAACTTCTGAGCCTGTAGAGACCACATCAGCATCTCAACTAACTCATCCCACTGATAAAGTAACTTCTCGGACTGTTGAGACAACCTCTGTATCTGAACCAACTCCTCACACTGGCACATTGACATCACAACATTCAGAGACCACATCAGCACCTGGAACTACAGGTCCCACTGACACTGTATCTTCTGAGCCTGTCGAGACCACATCAGCACCTCAACCAACTAATCCCACTGACAAAGCAACTTCTGAGACTGTTGACACAACCTCGGTAACTAAACCAACTAATCCCACTGACAAAGTAACTTCTGAGAATGTTGAGACAACCTCGGTATCTGAACCAACTGCTCACACTGACACGTTGACATCACAACCTACAGAGACCATTTCCCCACCTCAGCCTACGAGTCCTACAGACATAGTAACATCCGTGCCTGCTGCTACCACCCCACTATCTGAATCAACCAGTCCAACCCATTCATTGACATCTGAGCCTATAGAGACCACATCAGCACCTCAGCCAACCATTCCCACTGTCACAGTAACTTCTGAGACTGTAGAGAAAACCTCGGTATCTGAACCAACTGCTCACACTGACACGTTGACATCACAACCTACAGAGACCATTTCCCCTACCTCAGCCTACGAGTCCTACAGACATAGTAACATCCGTGCCTGCTGCTACCACCCCACTATCTGAATCGACCAGTCCAACCCATTCATTGACATCTGAGCCTATAGAGACTATGTCAGCACCTCAGCCAACAATTCCCACTGACAAAGTAACTTCTGAGACTGTTGGGACAACCCCGGTATCTGAACCAACTGCTCACACTGACACATTGACATCACAACCTGTGGAGACAATTTCCTCACCTCAGCCTACGAGTCCTACAGAAATGGTCACGTCCGAATCAACAAGTCCAACCCATTCATTGACATCTGAGCCTATAGAGACTACGTCAGCACCTCAGCCAAGCATTCCCACTGACAAAGTAACTACTGAGACTGTTGGGACGACCTCGGTGTCTGAACCAACTAGTCAGACTGATACATTAACATCACATCCTGCAGAAACTATATCAACACCTGGAACTACAGGTCCCACTGACACAGCAACTTCTGAGCCTGTAGAGACCACATCAGCACCTCAACCAACTAATCCCACTGACAAAGTAACTTCTCAGACTGTTGAGACAACCTCGGTATCTGAACCAACTTCTCACACTGGCACATTGACATCACAACATTCAGAGACCACATCAGCACCTGGAACTACAGGTCCCACTGACACTGTAACTTCTGAGCCTGTCGAGACCACATTAGCACCTCAACCAACTAATCCCACTGACAAAGCAACTTCTGAAACTGTTGACACAACCTCGGTAACTAAACCAACTAATCCCACTGACAAAGTAACTTCTGAGAATGTTGAGACAACCTCGGTATCTGAACCAACTGCTCACACTGACACGTTGACATCACAACCTACAGAGACCATTTCCCCACCTCAGCCTACGAGTCCTACAGACATAGTAACATCCGTTCCTGCTGCTACCACCCCACTATCTGAATCAACCAGTCCAACCCATTCATTGACATCTGAGCCTATAGAGACTACTTCAGCACCTCAGCCAAGCATTCCCACTGATAAAGTAACTACTGAGACTGTTGGGACGACCTCGGTGTCTGAACCAACTAGTCAGACTGATACATTAACATCACATCCTGCAGAAACTATATCAACACCTGGAACTACAGGTCCCACTGACACAGCAACTTCTGAGCCTGTAGAGACCACATCAGCACCTCAACCAACTAATCCCACTGACAAAGTAACTTCTCAGACTGTTGAGACAACCTCGGTATCTGAACCAACTCCTCACACTGGCACATTGACATCACAACATTCAGAGACCACATCAGCACCTGGAACTACAGGTCCCACTGACACTGTAACTTCTGAGCCTGTCGAGACCACATTAGCACCTCAACCAACTAATCCCACTGACAAAGCAACTTCTGAAACTGTTGACACAACCTCGGTAACTAAACCAACTAATCCCACTGACAAAGTAACTTCTGAGAATGTTGAGACAACCTCGGTATCTGAACCAACTGCTCACACTGACACGTTGACATCACAACCTACAGAGACCATTTCCCCACCTCAGCCTACGAGTCCTACAGACATAGTAACATCCGTGCCTGCTGCTACCACCCCACTATCTGAATCAACCAGTCCAACCCATTCATTGACATCTGAGCCTATAGAGACTACGTCAGCAACTCAGCCAACAATTCCCACTGACAAAGTAACTTCTGAGACTGTTGGGACAACCCCGGTATCTGAACCAACTGCTCACACTGACACATTGACATCACAACCTGTGGAGACAATTTCCTCACCTCAGCCTACGAGTCCTACAGACATAGTAACATCTGAGCCTGCTGGTACCACCCTACTGTCTGAATCATCAAGTCCAACCCATTCATTGACATCTGAGCCTATAGAGACTACGTTGGCACCTCAGCAAACCATTCCCACTGTCACAGTAACTTCTGAGACTGTAGAGAAAACCTCTGTATCTGAACAAACTGCTTACACTGACACATTGATATCGAAACCTGCAGAGACCGTTTCCCCACCTCAGCCTACGAGTCCTACAGAAATTGTCACGTCTGAATCAACAAGTCCAACCCATTCATTGACATCTGAGCCTATAGAGACTACGTCAGCACCACAGCCAACCATTCCCACTGACACAGTAACTTCTGAGACTGTTGAGACAACCTCGGTATCTGAACCAACTTCTCCCACTGACACACTGACATCGCAACCTGCAGAGACCATTTCCCCACCTCAGCCTACGAGTCCTACAGAAATGGTCACGTCTCAATCAACAAGTCCAACCCATTCATTGACATCTGAGCCTATAGAGACTACGTCAGCACCTCAGCCAAGCATTCCCACTGACAAAGTAACTTCTGAGACTGTTGGGACAACCTCGGTGTCTGAACCAACTAGTCAGACTGACACATTAACATCACAACATTCAGAGACCACATCAGCACCTGGAACTACAGGTCCCACTGACACTGTAACTTCTGAGCCTGTCAAGACCACATCAGCACCTCAACCAACTAATCCCACCGACAAAGCAACTTCTGAGACTGTGGACACAACCTCGGTAACTAAACCAACTAATCCCACTGACGAAGCAACTTCTGAGACTGTTGACACAACCTCGGTAACTAAACCAACTAATCCCACTGACAAAGTAACTTCTGAGAATGTTGAGACAACCTCGGTATCTGAACCAACTGCTCACACTGACACGTTGACATCACAACCTACAGAGACCATTTCCCCACCTCAGCCTACGAGTCCTACAGACATAGTAACATCCGTGCCTGCTGCTACCACCCCACTATCTGAATCAACCAGTCCAACCCATTCATTGACATCTGAGCCTATAGAGACTACGTCAGCACCTCAGCCAACCATTCCCACTGACAAAGTAACTACTGAGACTGTTGGGACAACCTCGGTATCTGAACCAACTGCTCACACTGACACATTGACATCACAACCTGTAGAGACAATTTCCTCACCTGCAGACTACGAGTCCTACAGACATAGTAACATCTGAGCCTGCTGGTACCACCCTACTGTCTGAATCATCAGTCCAACCCATTCATTGACATCTGAGCCTATAGAGACTACGTCGGCACCTCAGCCAACCATTCCCACTGACACAGTAACTTCTGAGACTGTAGAGACAACCTCTGTATCTGAACAAACTGCTTACACTGACACATTGATATCGAAACCTGCAGAGACCGTTTCCCCACCTCAGCCTACGAGTCCTGCAGAAATTGTCACGTCTGAATCAACATTAGCCCTCCAACCCATCTCATTGACAATCTGAGCCTATAGAGACCACATCAGCACCTCAGCCAACCATTCCCACTGACACAGTAACTTCTGAGACTGTTGAGAAAACCTCGGTATCTGAACCAACTGCTCACACTGACACATTGACATCACAACCTGTGGAGACCATTTCCTCACCTCAGCCTACGAGTCCTACAGAAATGGTCACGTCCTCTTTACCCCCCTCGAATCAACAAGTCCAACCCATTCATTGACATCTGAGCCTATAGAGACTACGTCAGCACCTCAGCCAAGCATTCCCACTGACAAAGTAACTTCTGAGACTGTTGGGACAACCTCGGTGTCTGAACCAACTAGTCAGACTGACACATTAACATCACAACATTCAGAGACCACATCAGCACCTGGAACTACAGGTCCCACTGACACTGTAACTTCTGAGCCTGTCGAGACCACATCAGCACCTCAACCAACTAATCCCACCGACAAAGCAACTTCTGAGACTTTGGACACAACCTCGGTAACTAAACCAACTAATCCCACTGACGAAGCAACTTCTGAGACTGTTGACACAACCTCGGTAACTAAACCAACTAATCCCACTGACAAAGTAACTTCTGAGAATGTAGAGACAACCTCGGTATCTGAACCAACTGCTCACACTGACACGTTGACATCACAACCTGCAGAGACCGATTTCCCCACCTCAGCCTACGAGTCCTACAGATATAGTAACATCCGTTCCTGCTGCTACACCCCACTATCTGAATCAACCAGTCCAACCCATTCATTGACATCTGAGCCTATAGAGACTACTTCAGCACCTCAGCCAAGCATTCCCACTGATCAAAGTAACTACTGAGACTGTTGGGACGACCTCGGTGTCTGAACCAACTAGTCAGACTGATACATTAACATCACATCCTGCGGAAACTATATCAACACCTGGACCTACAGGTCCCACTGACACACAAGCCAACCCTTCTGAGCCTGTAGAGACCACGTCAGCACCTCAACCAACTAATCCCACTGACAAAGTAACTTCTCAGACTGTTGAGACAACCTCGGTATCTGAACCAACTCCTCACACTGGCACATTGACATCACAACATTCAGAGACCACATCAGCACCTGGAACTACAGGTCCCACTGACACTGTAACTTCTGAGCCTGTCGAGACCACATTAGCCTCACCAACTAATCCCACCAAAAAATTTTCAACCTCGTAACCAAACCAACTAATCCCACTGACAAAGCAACTTCTGAAACTGTTGACACAACCTCGGTAACTAAACCAACTAATCCCACTGACAAAGTAACTTCTGAGAATGTTGAGACAACCTCGGTATCTGAACCAACTGCTCACACTGACACGTTGACATCACAACCTACAGAGACCATTTCCCCACCTCAGCCTACGAGTCCTACAGACATAGTAACATCCGTGCCTGCTGCTACCACCCCACTATCTGAATCAACCAGTCCAACCCATTCATTGACATCTGAGCCTATAGAGACTACTTCAGCACCTCAGCCAAGCATTCCCACTGACAAAGTAACTACTGAGACTGTTGGGAAACCTCGCTATTTAAAAAACCCACACACAAAAAAAAAAAAAAAAATTGGAAATTACGACCTACATGGTGTCCGAATCAGTGAACCATTCATTGAATCTGAGCCTATAGAGAACCTCCCCAAACAAACAACTAGTCAGACTGACTGACACATTAACATCACATCCTGCAGAAACTATATCAACACCTGGAACTACAGGTCCCACTGACACAGCAACTTCTGAGCCTGTAGAGACCACATCAGCACCTCAACCAACTAATCCCACTGACAAAGTAACTTCTCAGACTGTTGAGACAACCTCGGTATCTGAACCAACTCCTCACACTGGCACATTGACATCACAACATTCAGAGACCACATCAGCACCTGGAACTACAGGTCCCACTGACACTGTAACTTCTGAGCCTGTCGAGACCACATTAGCACCTCAACCAACTAATCCCACTGACAAAGCAACTTCTGAAACTGTTGACACAACCTCGGTAACTAAACCAACTAATCCCACTGACAAAGTAACTTCTGAGAATGTTGAGACAACCTCGGTATCTGAACCAACTGCTCACACTGACACGTTGACATCACAACCTACAGAGACCATTTCCCCACCTCAGCCTACGAGTCCTACAGACATAGTAACATCCGTGCCTGCTGCTACCACCCCACTATCTGAATCAACCAGTCCAACCCATTCATTGACATCTGAGCCTATAGAGACTACGTCAGCAACTCAGCCAACAATTCCCACTGACAAAGTAACTTCTGAGACTGTTGGGACAACCCCGGTATCTGAACCAACTGCTCACACTGACACATTGACATCACAACCTGTGGAGACAATTTCCTCACCTCAGCCTACGAGTCCTACAGACATAGTAACATACGAGCCTGCTGGTACCACCCTACTGTCTGAATCATCGAGTCCAACCCATTCATTGACATCTGAGCCTATAGAGACTACGTCGGCACCTCAGCCAACCATTCCCACTGTCACAGTAACTTCTGAGACTGTAGAGAAAACCTCTGTATCTGAACAAACTGCTTACACTGACACATTGATATCGAAACCTGCAGAGACCGTTTCCCCACCTCAGCCTACGAGTCCTGCAGAAATTGTCACGTCTGAATCAACAAGTCCAACCCATTCATTGACATCTGAGCCTATAGAGACCACATCAGCACCTCAGCCAACCATTCCCACTGTCACAGTAACTTCTGAGACTGTAGAGAAAACCTCGGTATCTGAACCAACTGCTCACACTGACACATTGACATCACAACCTGTGGAGACAATTTCCTCACCTCAGCCTACGAGTCCTACAGAAATGGTCACGTCCGAATCAACAAGTCCAACCCATTCATTGACATCTGAGCCTATAGAGACTACGTCAGCACCTCAGCCAAGCATTCCCACTGACAAAGTAACTTCTGAGACTGTTGGGACAACCTCGGTGTCTGAACCAACTAGTCAGACTGACACATTAACATCACAACATTCAGAGACCACATCAGCACCTGGAACTACAGGTCCCACTGACACTGTAACTTCTGAGCCTGTCGAGACCACATCAGCACCTCAACCAACTAATCCCACCGACAAAGCAACTTCTGAGACTTTGGACACAACCTCGGTAACTAAACCAACTAATCCCACTGACGAAGCAACTTCTGAGACTGTTGACACAACCTTGGTAACTAAACCAACTAATCCCACTGACAAAGTAACTTCTGAGAATGTTGAGACAACCTCGGTATCTGAACCAACTGCTCACACTGACACGTTGACATCACAACCTACAGAGACCATTTCCCCACCTCAGCCTACGAGTCCTACAGACATAGTAACATCCGTGCCTGCTGCTACCACCCCACTATCTGAATCAACCAGTCCAACCCATTCATTGACATCTGAGCCTATAGAGACTACGTCAGCACCACAGCCAACCATTCCCACTGACACAGTAACTTCTGAGACTGTTGAGACAACCTCGGTATCTGAACCAACTTCTCCCACTGACACATTGACATCGCAACCTGCAGAGACCATTTCCCCACCTCAGCCTACGACTCCTACAGAAATGGTCACGTCCAAATCAACAAGTCCAACCCATTCATTGACATCTGAGCCCATAGAGACTACGTCAGCACCACAGCCAACCATTCCCACTGACACAGTAACTTCTGAGACTGTTGAGACAACCTCGGTATCTGAACCAACTTCTCCCACTGACACATTGACATCGCAACCTACAGAGACCATTTCCCCACCTCAGCCTACGAGTCCTACAGACATAGTAACATCCGTGCCTGCTGCTACCACCCCACTATCTGAATCAACCAGTCCAACCCATTCATTGACATCTGAGCCTATAGAGACTACGTCAGCACCTCAACCAACTAATCCCACTGACAAAGTAACTTCCGAGACTGTAGTGACAACCTCTTTATCTGAACCAACTGCTTACACTGACACATTGATCTCAAAGCCTGCAGAGACCGTTTCCCCACCTCAGCCTACGAGTCCTACAGAAATGGTCACGTCCGAATCAACAAGTCCAACCCATTCATTGACATCTGAGCCTTTAGAGACTACGTCAGCACCTCAGCCAACCATTCCCACTGACAAAGTAACTTCTGAGACTGTTGGGACAACCTCGGTATCTGAACCAACTGCTCACACTGACACATTGACATCACAACCTGTGGAGACCATTTCCTCACCTCAGCCTACGAGTACTACAGACATAGTAACATCCGAGCCTGCTGGTACCACCCCACTGTCTGAATCAACGAGTCCAACCCATTCATTTACATCGGAGCCTATACAGACTACGTCAGCACCTCAGCCAACCATTCCCACTGATACAGTTACTTCTGAGATTGTAGAGACAACCCCGGTATCTGAACCAACTCGTCAGACTGACACATTAACGTCACATCCTTCAGAAACCACATCAAAACCTGGAACTACAGGTCCCACTGCCACAGCAACTTCTGAGCCTGTAGAGACCACATCAGCACCTCAACCAACTAATCCCACTGACGAAGTAACTTCTGAGACTGTTGAGACAACCTCGGTATCTGAACCAACTAGTCAGACTGACACATTAACATCACATCCTGCAGAAACCACATCAAGACCTGGAACAACAGGTCCCACTGACACAGCAACTTCTGAGTTTGTAGAGACCACATCAGCATCTCAACCAACTCATCCCACTGACAAAGCAACTTCTGAGCCTGTAGAGACCGCATCAGCACCTCAACCAACTAGTCAGACTGACACAGTAACTTTTGAGACTGTTGAGACAACCTCATTATCTGAACTAACTGGTCACACTGACACACTGACTTCACAACCTGCGGAGACCATTTCACCATCTCAGCCTACACGTCCTACAGATATAGTAACATCTGAGCCTTCTGGTACCACCCCACTATCAGAATCCACCAGTCCAACCTATTCGGTAACATCTGAGCCCGTAGAGACCACGTCAGCAACTCAACCAACCAATCCTACTGACAAATTAACATCTGATCCTCCAACCACACCGTCAGCCCAACCACCAACCGATCCAACAACCAGACCACCAACAACATCACCCCCCACTCCAACAATTCAAGCAACTACTCGACCAGTCACAACAGTAAAGCCTTTAAACTGTCAAAATGGTGGATTTAATAATGGATTCAACTGCACATGTCTTGTTGGATTCAGCGGACATGTTTGCGAATTCATTGAAACTGTTGAGCCAGGTACTTACATCATCTTGCGACGTCTTTTTTAAGTGTAATTTCAGCATATTTTCCAATATGTTTGTGTATTCTCTTTTCAGATTCTTTCAACAGGTCAGTTATTGTTAATGTGGTGATCAATGAGAAATTTTATGACAATTATGAAGACAAAGACTCATCTGAATACAAGGAGTTTGTAGGAACTTTCACCAACCGGGTAAATATATTTATATATATATATATATATATATATATATAGATGTGTTTGTGTTTGTGTGCGTGTGTGTGTGTGTGTCCTGCTGTTTTACAGCAGTGTAGGTTCTGGACATATCCAGACAATTATTCCAAGATAAAGTAACCTGTATACCATCTTTTTGTTGAATGTTACAGTATGTTGTAAAGTTGGTGACTTTATGCTTGTTATGTGCTTATTGGAGAAAAAGACAGACAAACCTGCAGTCTTGTAATGAACTGGGTTCAATCATATTCCCTATTATACTGTGCTAAGGATGCACATTTTGTTCATGACTAACAGACATGAATAAATCATGCAGCCAAAAACATTCTATCCAGATTACATATCCATAGCTACATGTGGAAAAAATAACATGTATAGTAAAGAATAGTACAAAAATTCAGATTTTAGTGATAATATTAGTGATTGTTATTGTTTCATATGACGAACTACCAAAACATTATTAATATTATGTTGTTACTATTTCAGATGGTAAAGTATTACTTGGAAAAGAAGATAGAAAACTTTAAAGAAGTAGTGGTAACTCGTGTCAGGTATTGTACTTTCATATTTTCAGAAACAAAACCATTGTCATTGTATTTTGCTTTACATTGTATTAAACACAAATGGTCGCCCCAGAAGACATAGATTCAAAATACATTTTTTAACGAAATGTTTTAGTTTCAATATAACAGTGTTGTTAAATTGCCAAGCATGTTTTATGATATTTTCTCTCTTGCTCTTTTTTATTAGCCGCGCTGTGGTCAGATTGTCAGCACTGATGAACATTGTGGAAGTAAAGCAATTCAACCACCTTTGCAGTAAGATTTTGAGTCAGAGATCATATATATAAATGCTAGCCATTCATTGTTTTATCATTTTAGAGATTATCAGCTGAAGCCATGGATTTCTACAGCATGACGCCAAGAGCAGAAGGGTAATTAGACATCTTTAATGTTCTTACACTAATAACGTCCAATTAAACATCATCCACAATATCAACATATATTAGGAAATGGGTAGATAGAAGCAATTTGTGGGAAGATTATCTATTAAAAGAAAAAAAGGAAAAATTAAATAATAACAGCACTCTTCTGATTATTTGTAATAAAGCAGTGTTTGCCTGTATTTATAGGTGATTTCATTGTTTTTACATGTGTAAAATACCTTGAATTAACCATTAAAAAGCCTCCCAAAAAAAAAGCAAAAAAAAAAGGGTGCAATGTCATCACACTTTGGAGAAAAGGTTACTATAATATATATAGTTATACTTTTGTAAAAGTAAAAAAATATATATATATATATTATAATTATTATTGTTATTATTACTAAATATAATATTCTGGCAGCTGGAGCACCAACAAAAAACTGTAAAATAATAATAATAATGTTAAATTAAAGATATTTACATGAACAATGATATTACCTATAAATAAAGGTGAACACTGCAATAATACAAATAATCAGGCTTAAATTAACAGAAGAATGCTGTTATTATTAGATTTTTCTTATCTTAACCTGAAATCTGAAAGTTATAGCTGTAGTAAAGTCACCTGTATTTTGACAGTTTACCAATGCTTATACACTGAAAAAAACATGATTCAACATTTCTGTTGTTAAAACTTCCATAATTATAAGATATCTGATAAATCCATGTAAAAGTACAGAACAAATACTTATTTTTACTGTTTTTACATAATTTTAAAAATGTATTATTGTATTAAACTTGAATTTAACAGTTTAATCTATTAAATAAATAGTTAATATCTTGTCTTTTTATTTGAATTTTTTTCTAAATAAGCAGTAATTGCTTATTACATATTACATACATTACAGTTTACAGGCAATTTTAATTTTGTAATTTTGGTAACATTTCCATGTATTTAAAAAAAATACAGAACAAATCATTGTAAAATAAACGTGAAAAAACTGTAGATTTACAGATGATTATTATTTTTTTTACAGTGCAGGTGTATTCACCAATATTTACTAAAGTAAATCACCTCACCAACATCACACATTTTAAATTGCAAAATCATGCCTTTAACTGTACTAACATGTCGTATGAAATTCTTTCTGCCTCAGCGTTAGTGTCACACATGATGTGGTTTTGGTGATTCCAAACAATGTTAACTCTAATCAGCTATATATGAACGACTTTGAGGCAGTTGAAAAGGCTGTTGACGAGCTTGCTAACTGCACAGGAGGTAAGACAGAAAAACTAAACATACATAATCATATATAGTATGACAAACCATGAGTTTCATTAGCAACTTAATGTTACCACTTCTGCTTCAAACATTTTCCCTTTTCCTCTGATGAAAAGCATGTTTTGCATACCACAAAATACATTACAATACAATACAATTAGTTTTTGTCTTCTGAATTTTCAGACTGTTTTTATGAAATCACAGTTCGACCCATTGTCAATACAACAGAGGCAGATTTGGGATGTAAGTATTACTCCACGTTGTGTGTGTGTGTGTGTGTGTGTGTGTGTGTGTTTGTGTGTGTGTATGTGTATGTGTATGTGTGTGTGTGTGTGTGTGTGTGTGTGTGTGTGTGTGTGTGTGCACTGGTTTGGCCGAAAAAACCTTTGTTTCATTGAGTTAGATGCAAAAATATCAGTATAAAGGGCTACAGTAAGCTAACATGAATCCTTGTTAAACCAGAAAGAGCCGTAATATCATTACTATATATTATATATTTCACATATAGTGAAAGTTTCAGCAAATAAGACAAAAAATTATTTTTATAAAAAAGTTACCTACTGCAGCTTGTGGTGTGTTTATGTATAAGACAATGCCACCCCAGTCATGAAAGTCTGGACACGCCCCTGCCCTGTACTTTAGCAACTGAGAGTAAAGACATATTCGGTGTAGGTTGTCTCCTAATCGGAAGGTTGTTAGTTCAATCCCCGGCTCCTCCTGCCACATGTCGAAGTATCGTTGAGCAAGATACTGAATCCTAAATTGCTCTCTATGGAGAGAATTTTTTCCTTTATTATTTAATCAAATAGAATAGATTTAAAACCAAAAAAGAGATTTGAGAGCAAAAAAGAGTAAGTGGCAACGTTTCCCATATGTAATGAATTTTGCTATATATCGTTGGCTACAGCCTGCTACATTCACCACCACCACCACAACAACAACAACAACAACAACAACACAAGTAATGAATTATAATGCCCTGCTGCTGCAAGCACACTGATTAGCAGCAACATGGTTGTCTCTGCTAGTCACGGCCTGAGCAGAGTAGCCTAATGAGTGAGTGAATTACAACAAACACACGTGGGGAATAATTACAATCACAGGACATGTCTTTTGGTCTGATTATACAGATCAGTGGTGCTGAAATTTGTGTTTCTCTTCTATAGCCTACACATTGTACATCTCTGAGGTCAAAAGCATCATTCAGCTGCTCCTGTATAGACCAGTAATGCTGGCTGGTTAGAAATATGTGTGTGAATTTGTTAAATTATTCGCCACGTGTGTTTGTTGACATTAGAACAGCTGTAGCGAGAACGGGAGCCGGGAGGAGTAGCGGCAGCCCGCTACACAGTGGAAACTGGCACCGCGTTCAGCGGTAGTTTAGTAATCCACGGTAGTACTGTTTTGTAGGACCTGTGACGTTTTGGCACCGCGAGTATCATGCAACACTAAATGTTTAAATCACAGCCCTACGTTGTATACGCCTCCCTGTAATTCACTCACTCATTAGGCTACTCTGCTCAGGCCGTGACTAGCAGAGACAACCATGTTGCTGCTAATCAGTGTGCTTGCAGCAGCAGGGCATTATAATTCATTACTTGTATTGTTGTTGTTGTTGTTGTTGAATGTACGGCAGGCTGTAGCCAACAATATATAGCACAATTCATTACTTATGGGAAACGTTTCAAGAGCAACAGGCTTACCTCCAAGCAGCACAGCACAAGGGAGAAGTGGGTGTAATGCGGAAGACGTAGCCAGGTCAAACCAACCAATAGAAACTCTTCTCTCATCCACCAGCGTAGGCCCCCCTCCCCATCAAGTGCAGTTGAATTCGCAAGCAAAACTTTATAACTTGCAAGCAAAGAGGACTGATTTGCAAACAAAACTTTATAACTCGCAAGCAAAGACGACTGATTTATAAGCAAAATGGTCGTATGTTTTTACTTACAAACATTAGTTTTGATTGAAGTTGAAGAAATATGTTCTCTCATATTTTTTTTAAATTGCAACCTGCTCTGTTTCGATCTCAAAAAAAATTTACTTACTCTTTTTTGCTCTCAAATCTCTTTTTTGGTTTCAAATCTATTCTATTTGATTGAATAATAAAGGAACAAAATTATCTCCATAGCTCTCAATGTCGAAGTATCCTTGAGCAAGATACTGAACCCCAAATTGCATTAGTTTCTGTTGGATGAGCTTTGCCATCACTGTGTGAATATGTGTGAAAGAGTGAATGTGGCTAGAATGAAGACTAGAAAGGCGCTATACAAGTACAGGTCCATTTACCATTTACCATTTAATGTCTTTGTTTCTATCACCAGCTGTATGTAGTAGCTCTGTGGACAATCCAGATGTTGCTGAATACTACGAAGCTGTGCCTGTTGATGGAGTGATCAAATGTGTGACTGTGTGTAACCGTCTACATCCACATCCTAAAACATGCTACAATAATGGAACCTGTAATGTGTACATGAGCATTGGACCTCTTTGCAAGTAAGTTGATCGTGCTCTCAGTTGGATGTTTATAAAAACTTTTATGAACTTTTTTGTATAATAAACAGATTTTTTTTTCAATTCCCTGCACCCACCCACTTTATATCTAGTCCTGCAAAGACATGACCAAACGTATCTTTTGTATATTGCTCCAACTAGATCTTCACTGCAGTGGTGGGAATAGTACTAATATATTATTTGCTGAAACTTTCACTATATACTGAGTTGTACATAAGACAGATAATCTGTGAAAAAATGTGCTTCCTCTGGCTCCTAAGTCTAATGGAATCTGCTACGCTTGAAAACAACCAATCAGAGCCAAGATAGATAGTTGATGTTCATTGCTCATTCCCAGATTGTACAGAAATACTGATGAAATGAGACTCAGTAATTAACTATCTTCAAGCCACTAACACAAAACATCTTTCTATCTTTCTCAGCTCTCATTGGTTGTTTTTGTTCAGGCCTGGCAGAAATTTAACAGATTATCTGTCTCATGTACTACTGTCAGGATATAGTGAAGTTGTATACCTAGTGCAGCTTTGAGTAAAAGTACAGAAGTATTAGCATCAACCACAATACACCAAAAGTAACAGTAGTTATTATGCAGAATGGGCTGTTTTAGAATAATGTATATTATATATGTGGATTATAAATAAAGGTACATCATGTGTAAGGATCACTTTAATGTTGCATCTGGTAAAGGTGGGCCTGATTTCAATGACTTTACTGCTGGGTAACTTTATATTACATCTGATAATACATCATATGGAATGGAAGCATTAGAATCTTACTTTAACTGGAAATAAAAACTATTAGCTATAAAAATACCACTGTAACTTTAACCATTTGCAAAACTGTAAAATGTCACTTGTCAGACAACTTCTCCTGTGGTCCAACATAGGCCCAGAATCAATCAGCTGTGGTCATACAGTGGGCTGAGATATGGCTATGTTATGGGCCATATGTGGCTACCAGATCCAGGCCACATAATTCATTGCTGTATTTGGGCCGAGTCTACGGGCCTGACCAATTTTGCTACCTCTTATATATTCAAAGAGATAGATATTACCAAAAATTTGCAAAATGATGAATCAATGCATACAACTAAGTATATAGTAATCTTATCACCTTAACCTCTTCCGTTTTAAATTATAGTTAACTACATACAATGAACTACAAGTAACTAAACAAATTTAATAAAATTACTAAATCTGCAGTAGATCATTTTTAGATCCGATTATAGTCACATTTGCAGAAACTTTCACTGTATCACGAGAGTAGACCACGAGACAGAAAATCTATGAAAAAATCTGATTTCTCTGGCTCCTCCTAGTGCTCCTAACTCCTAACTTACTGGGCATGAATGAAAACAACCAATCAGAGCCAATAAAAATAGTTTATCTTTGAGTCTCATTTCCAGGCTGGTTCATTACACTTGGGACTCTGAATGAGACTCAATAATCACCTATCCTCAAGCCCCTTTATATCTTTCCCAGCTGTTAGGAGCACTAGAACAAGCCAGAGGAACTTGATTTTCCCTTAGAATATTTTTAGAAAATGTATGATGTACGACTGTTAGGATATAATGAAAGTTTCAGCAAACATTACAAAAAGTTATTTTTATAAAACTTACGGCAGCTTTAATTGTCTTTAAATATTTTTAATAAAAGTTTCTTTGTGGTGCCTTATCGGACTAGCATAGTTGTTCGCTGTAGTTAAACTGTGTTCTTCCTTCTCTGTTTCAGGTGTCAAAATGTGAATTCCACATGGTACCTGAGTGATGACTGTAGCTTCCCAATACAGAGGATTGCTTTCTACGCAGGGTTAAGTGTAACCCTTGCTTTTCTGTTAGTGTCTGTGGGAGCCTTGACTGCATACATTCTTATCAACAAACACAAGCAAACACAGTAAGTACGCTGTCAGTACTGGCTGTCAGTACTTTGACAACTTTAAGGACAAAATGTTCACTTGTTGCCTAATATATCCCATCCACTGACAGGTGCCTTGATAAAAAAGCTAATCTGTTTCCTTTGTGTCTGCAGGAGAAGAAACATTAAAGAGGTGACGGTGAATGATTGGCTGAATGAGGACTTTAACTGGTCCAGATCCAGCAACCCAAGTGACAGATATCATGCTGGTAAGTTTGTTTTATAAAAACACACACCACTGCCTCTCTCCTACTGCAGATGTTACCTATTCATCAGTCAATTATTCCAATTGTATTTTTTGTTCTATATGTAACTTTAAGAAAGCTGTTGTTATTAGTGACACCAGTGGTCTGCAGCAAACTGCAATCAGCATCCCAATGCTTGCAATCTGTACGCAGTTTGTAGGCTGTAGGTTCTGTGGCAATGATTTTCTAGGCTGAACAACTAGCAACCTAAGCAAATAAAGACAACACTGAAGTACCAAAACTACAGTCACTCTAGCAGCCACTTGAGGCTTGCTCCTGCAGTGAGTCAATCTCCATATGGGGCTAAATAGTGAGTCTAAAAAGACATAAAATGACAGCAGTCATTCAACGTGCTAGCTGCCCCAAAATCTTAATTTATGTATAGATCTGTGTTGATCATCCTGGTATCCTTTTACAAGCACAAACTGAAATTTATTATGGTGGAATGTGTGTAAATGTCCCATAAATCCTCACTGTTTTCTAGGAGATTTCAGAAACCCTTCATACACAGAAGAAGAATCTGCTGTCGGAGAAGAGTGCACTGATAACAGACAACCTGTACCTTTCTACCAGCTGACTCGAGAATCGAGCCCATCAGCAAGCATGCACTCTCATTCACGAACAGCACACAGACACGATTCTCTACTTTCGGATGCTCGAAACTTGCAGTCTGCCAGTTGGCCTCAACCAGATATATCCGAACAGCCAGTCAGTCCACATTTATAGAAACACTGAAGAGTTTTGTTTTTGTTTTCCAAATTTCAATCATTCTTTCTCTATTTCTTTCTTCCCACAGATGAGGATAGGCAGGCCTCGGATAAGGACTTCTTGGGATGCCTGAGCTGTGTACTGAAAATTGACAGTCTCAACTGTTGATAATGATGACTTTCTTTGACCTATTTTCGCTGCCTCATATAAGCAACTAAATCTTTATAACATTGTTCAATTTATTTATTGATTTCTTTACTGCAAGCCAAGGTGTTAATATATATTTAATATTTCTGATTCTATTGAAAAGGCCTGTTATAAATGCTTCCTTTATGAAGTTTCTATTCTGCATCTCTGTTGAGGCTGCTCTCGGAGATGTACTGATCCATCTCGGTGCTTGTTTGTGAGCCTGTAGTAAGTGGTGATGTTGTATTATAAAAAATACAAACATGAGGGGCACAGAGTTTCAAGGTCCAGTGTGAAGGGTTTAGTGGCATGGTGTAGTTCCATATTACGACCCGCTCGCCTCACGCTCCAGTTCCAAGCATGGGGCATAAATCGTCAGAACACCTGTTCCTATAAATAAAATAAAAAGTAAATAAAAAAATAATAAAATAAATAATAACAAGTAAAAGTAAGGATAACACAACAATTCTTATTTTCAGGTCATTATACACTAATGAAAACATACCTATTAAAATTCTATTCCATTTCTGACAATAGATGCTCCTAAATGTTACACACTGGACCTTTAAGAGAGACCTCTCAGCTATTAAATCAGCCTACAATGACCCATCATCAACTTTATTAAATTATGTTTCTCCATCTGGCAGTTTTTCCTTGCCCCCGTCGCCAAGTGCTTGCCCATGGTGGTACTGTTGGGTCTCTGTAAATGTTTAAGGAGTTCGGTCTAGACCTGCTCTATTTGAAAAGTGTCCTGAGATAACTTCTGTTATGAATTGGCGCGATACAAATAAAATTGAATTGAATTGAATTGAATCTGCTCCCTAGGTAGTGGGCCATTATTAAAGTGACTGAATCACTGGGACACAAACAATTCAGTGACCTACAGCTGATAATGATGTCATGCCATGTCAACAACACACATACCATCAGTGTAAAATGACATTAAAAACCTACTATCAGTATAAGTTGAGACCAGTCAGAGAGATATTGCCAGTGAGAATTAGTAAAGCAGTTCACTACCGTTTAAACTAAGGACCAGTTTTCTATATGAATGCTTTGAGCTTTCATATAGAGTAAGCGAAGACGTTTGTCATTCAGTGATGATAAGAAGATCAAAAGCAGAAGGAGATTAGAGGCAGAAGACGCAGTGTGGGATACTCAGGATGGAAGATGTTGTAATTTTGCACTATTACTGTTGTTGTGGGCTTAAATGCTTTGGATGCACTTTATGTAAATAAAAAGTTCCAGTTTAATGAAGCATGTCACATATTGTGTGTACTTTCAGTGTGAAGCCACTGAGGGTCACTGTAGTCTTGTTTTAATGGAGCTTCCTATCACTGCACTGAAGGGATAAACTTGGGATAAAAAATGTTTAACCACACTTTTGCAATTGTTTATTTAAATTTGAACTAAAATATAATGTTATATTAACTGTACTTACTACATATTTGAATAAAATTCTATATTGAACAATTTAAAAAGGGTTAATCTGTGAATGTTTAATTATTAAAGGGGACCTATTATGCTCATCTATATGCTCTATAGGTTTTAGGGGTTGTGAGGGCCTGAGGAGATTGAATGTTCAAGTGGTCATTGAGGAGGTTCTGTAATACTAGTAGACTAGTAGTCATTTTAGAGGTTCTACTGGACAGCAAGGAGGTTTTAGTGGTCAGTGAAAAGGTCCTAGAGTTCCTTTAGGAGGTTCTATTGGTTATTGAAAGGGTTCAAGGCCATTGATAATGTTCTTGAGGTTATTTAGGAGGTTCTAGTGGCCATTGATAATGTTTTAGAGGTTCTTTAGGAGGTTGATTAGAGGGTCCATTGGCCACTTGGGAGGTTCTACAGGTCATCTTGACAGGTAATGTTTCAGAAGGTTTCTAGTGGGCTTTTAAGGGTCCTGCTTCATGTTACTTTAGTACATGAGCTGAAACATGCCTTCATGTACATGCAATGGTCCTTTAGGTAGAACAAGCCACTCACTGTATGTAATGAAATACGGTATACTCAAGTAAAGATACATTCGAAAGCTGGCATCAGTAAACTAAACTGTGAGAAAGTAAGTGCTTTGAGTCTTGCACAATGCTATAAATGTGTGGGAATCTGTGTGGGAATATTTCCAGTGTGAATAGTTGTAAAGATGCACTCAGATGTTGTCCATCCACATGGCTGAAGAACTATAATAAAGAGATTCTAAAACACTTTGAATGGAGGGGGAGAAAAAAACTGTCCATTTCTCTCTGGTGGTTTGAATGGGTGTTAAAAATGTCTGTGTGACTGAAAGGCACATTTGTGATGTTGATATATTTAGCACATTAATTTATTAACTAGAACACTGCGTTCTCTGAATGCAGGGCTACTTGTGGTTCCTATAGTCTCTAAAAGTAGAACAGGAGCCAGAGCCTTCAGTTACCAAGCTCCTCTCCTGTGGAACCAGCTTCCAGTTGTGGTTCAGGAGGCAGACACCCTCTCCACATTCAAGAGTAGGCTTAAGACATTCCTCTTTGATAAAGCTTATAGGTAGGGCTGGATCAGGTGAGTCCTGAACCATCCCTTAGTTATGCTGCTATAGGCCTAGACTATCGGGGGATTTCTCATGGTCCAGTGAGCTCCTCTCTTCCGCTCTCTCTCTTTCTGCACTCTTTTATGTCCCATTAATGCATGTTACTAACTTCACTTCTTCCCCGGAGTTCTTGTGCTTTCTCGTCTTGCAGGTTCTCATGGATCCTGGTGGTGCCTCCTGCCATGGTCCTGCTTGACTGCCATTGCTAATATCACTGATAATACTGTTATTATTATTATTATTAATATTATTATTACTACAGTTACTATAATTATTATTGTCACTGCTCATTGTCCCCTATCGTCGCTGTTGTCGTCGTCATCATCTACTGTTAGCGTGGTTGTTGCTACTGTTGTGGTTGCTGTGCAACTGTCTGTCTATCTGTCTATCTGTCTATCTGTCTGTCTCTCTCTCTCTCTCTCTCTCTCTCTCTCTCTCTCTCTCTCACCCCAACTGGTCGAGGTAGAAGACCACCCACCTAGAGCCGAAGGGTCTGTCCTAGGTTTCTGCCTTTTAACAGGCAGTTTTTCCTTGCCCCCGTCGCCAAGTGCTTGCTCATGGTGGTACTGTTGGGTCTCTGTAAATGTTATAACGAGTTCGGTCTAGACCTGCTCTATTTGATTAGCGTCCTGAGATAACTTCTGTTATGAATTGGCGCTATACAAATAAAATTGAATTGAATTGAATTGAAATTGAATTGAAATATGACCGGTATGTTTTTGTTGTCCAGTGTTATATTAAAGGTTGTCCTATACAGGTAGTTCAATATTGCTGGCAGTGCAAAGAATTATGGAACAAATTTTGTATTGCATTAATAACTTATTCTATATACAGATTGAGTCTATGTACACTATATACAACATGCTTAGACTTTTATTTGGCAGTAAAAGGATGCACATTCTATTCTAAAATGTTTTCAGGGCTGTCTTCTAGAGGGGGAAAGATGAAACAGGTTATATGGGGTCTGATTTTAAGCTCTTCTGCATTTCCTTGTGGGGTGTGATGCCTAAATATAAACTAAATAAGAAAATGGTGATTGAGACTAAAGGTAAATGTATGACAAACCCTGGTAATGTGCATAAAGTGTATGTACAGAGTGTCTTAGTAAGCAGTGAGTGATGGACAGAGAAAAAACTAATTACACAGCAGATATGGGAGGCAGGGAAAGAGGGAGAGGAGGTAGGGAGGGAGGGAGAGATTGATGTGTTATGCCCAGTCAGTGTTGCTGCAGTAGCAATTAGATAATAGGTCTGGATCAGCAGCACACAGCCTGCTCAATACCATTAGAGATTAGACTGAGAAAGCTGTTTCACTGCGTGGTCATAGACCAGTTCATGAGCACTTGGACTTTCTGGATCTCATCTGTACACCCGTCTAACCCCATAGGCCTAGAAGTGTTAGACCAGGACATACCATTAGTGACATTGGTTGTTTTGGGACTGGCGTGTTCTCAGACATTCTCACCCAGGCGACACAAAAAAGCAATTTTCAAGCAATGCTTAATGCACTATTTTGCAAAAGGTGAAAAGTTATAGATAAATTATGAAGTCATACAGAATGCTTGCATTGCATGGGCCATTACTTTAGCATTTGTTTTGGTAAGTGAAATGTGTCAAAATTAAAATAAGAGGAAATTCAATCCCATGAAGAATCTAGTGTTCCAACCCCAAACCTGTCTGGTTCCCCAGAAGCACTAACTCAACGGATCACTTCTTGTGATCCACTACCATCTGGAGGTTCAGCAGCCTCCCTTCTTTTCAAAAACTGATTTGCAAGCACTGCTTACATGCAGATTGTGGCATCACCTTTCACAAATGAAAGCTGCTGCAGTCCTGCATAGGTTGTCAATTTGGCACTTGCTTTGCAGCATGTTTATTGCTTCGAGTGTCAAACTGAATCAAAATTGCAGATTTGGTGAAACATAGCTCAAGGTTGATTACACCCCAACTTAATTTCCAGCAGCATTATCCAAGTGATACCCATTGGTGTGAAAATATCATCTTCTTCATGTTCATCATCGTCAGTCACTACTATTAGTGTAGTTGTTGCTACCGTTGTTGCTGTGCTCCTCTGTCTGTCTGTCTGTCTGTTTCTCTCTCTCTCTCTCTCTCTCTCTCTCTCTCTCTCTCTCTCTCTCTCTCATCCCAACTGGTCGAGGCAGACGACCACCCACCTAGAGCCGAGGGGTCTGTCCTAGGTTTCTGCCTCTTAAAAGGCAGTTTTTCCTTGCCCTCATTGCCAAGTGCTTGCTCATGGTGGTACTGTTGGGTCTCTGTAAATAATGTTATAAGGAGTTCGGTCTAGACCTGCTCTATTTGAAAAGTGTCCTGAGATAACTTCTGTTATGAATTGAATTGTGAAAGCTGGGCAGAGTGAGTGGCCAGCAAGGCCCCATCTCTGTGGGTATGTAGCTTTTCATACCTGCCTCCAACACTGCTCTACCCGCATCTGATATTTGACTCTTTCATGTCTCTTTCAAGGGGCTTCTCGATCTGTTCTGTTCTCAGCAATTCTCAGTAAGCTCATACATGAACACATAGTCCATGCATCCTGCTGCTGCATACTTGTCATCATGGTGGTACATGCCTCATTAAAGCTGCTGTGCACCTCCTACTGGATTAGCTGGCATCTGTTTGGGCTCTGGGTCTTGTTGTAGCGAATGGTAGAGAAGCTGCCTTGCACACACAACGTATTGCTGCCACCACCTTCAGAACTGTATGCATCAGCTGAGATTCAATAGAATATAATCATTGTTTTGTAATGTGGTTTCAATTTATGTGAATTGCTTTTCCTCTTAAAAGGAAAGGCTGGTATAGCTAATGGAATGGCTAATTTAAGTAGCTAATGTAAAATAGTTGCATATCAGCATAATCTATAGGGGTCCTTCAACATCTGCAAAAAACTGTGGTAGCCAGCGTGCTCTTTTATGCTGTAGTTTGCTGGGGAGGAAGCAGCAAGAGGAGAGATGCCGGTCGACTGGACAGACTGGTGAGGAGGGCTGGCTCAGTGGTGGGCACAGAGTTGGACACTGTGGTGACAGTGGCAGAGAGAAGGACCCTGGACAAACTGCTGTCCATACTGGACAACGCCCACCACCCTCTGCACAACACCTTCACCAGGCAGAGGAGTGTGTTCAGTGACAGACTGCTGTCCCAGTCCAGCTCCACCAACAGACTCAAAAACTCTTTCGTCCCCCTGGCCATCAAACTGTACAACAGCTCTCAGTAAAAGCAGGGAGGACAATAGATAATAGATAATATACAATGGACAGTTTCTACCTGTAATGGCACATCCATTTGCACTGTTTTACTTCCATTTGCACTCCACTCCATTTGCACTGTTTACTGATTGCACTGTTTACTGTAAGCTACTGTTAATTTTATATTTTATATATATAATACTTCATATTTTGTCTTTTATTTTATTTTTAATTCTATTCTTACGTTTAGGGTTTTTAATTTTAGTTTAATGTATGTTTAATGTATGTTTTGTATCTTGTATGCTACTAGATACTTGAATTCCCCTCGGGATAAATAAAGTATCTATCTATCTATCTATCTATCTATCTATCTATCTATCTATCTATCTATCTATCTGTCTGTCTGTCTGTCTGTCTGTCTGTCTGTCTGTCTGTCTGTCTGTCTGTCTGTCTGTCTATCTATCTATCTATCTATCTATTCTATCTATCTATCTATCTATCTATCTATCTGGTGTTCTATCAAGACATAACTAATGATCTTGTGCGGGAAGGTACACATACACAGCATGTTTATAGAGAGCCTGGTCACTAAGGTTGATATGATTTTAAAATGTAATGCTGGATTGATTATTCAGACTCTGTTTAATGACAGTGACAGCACCTTGTTAGCTGAAAGCTTCAAATTTCACAGGTGAGGTATTTACTGTTGTATTTTAAATCGT